CAGAGCCGCGGGACATCACCTTGACCGTGGTCGACAAGGTCCTGTCTGCCAGTCTGGTGTCTTTTCGTGAGTGCTCTGGCGCTCGATGCTTGACGCTGGTCATGCTGCGAGCCTCACTGCATTGCAAATCGTCCAGTCCCTCAACGTCCAACCCTACTCTGCAGCCGGCTGTCCCGTTCGTAAGTCAAGGCAGCCATGCGAGCATTCGAACGGGCGGCCAGGGCGACAAACATACGTCCAAAGCCCCCGGCGCGCTGTCAACGGCGTGTTTGAGGCCTCAAGGCCCGTTCTTGACACACGCCCCTTTGCCATGGATCCCATAACGGTAAAGCCAATGGGCCAGTGGGAGACGGGCCCCCAGTCTGCGCGCGCGAGTGCCCCCCGGTTCAAGGCTGATACGACACAAGGTGCCTGGCTCTGGGGCCAGGGGCCTTGCCTTGTGCAGCAGAAAGTCCGTGTAATCTTGTGCTCGTCGGCCAATTACCCGGGGGGACCCGGTATTCGTCCAACCTTCTCGAAGTATTCCAGAAGGAGTGGAGAGGAGAAAGAGGCCTTCCAGGGATAGATTGACATCGAGCACCCCACCCTCGTCGCAGATGAAGCGGCGAGACGGCGGCGCAGCCCATCCCTTTGACGCAGCTGTAATTCCACGGCGGCTCACACGCCGTCGACGCCTTCTAGAAGAATTCTGGAAACCTTCCCCGCTAGGCCTAGCATCAATCTCCTGGCTGCATGCGAGGGCCACTATGCCTCCCCACGCACTCAACTTTGCGCCAAGTTTGTGCTCATATCCCTGTGGGTTTCGGTCAGAGATGCTGGCAACACCCCTTTTTGGCCGTTGCTCCCTAGCTCTGATGTTCAATTGTCCTCAGCGCAAAGGGCGGCCCCAAGAGTGGCAGAGTCCTCCATCGTGATCATGAAGATCCTCGCCAAACAGACGGTACCTGCGTCTTGATGTAGTCGTCGTATCTTTACGCGTGACAACTAGTAGGGCATCGCAAGCCATGCATATTTGTTGTGAGCTTGCCCGTATTAGGTGATGCCAATGCAGGGCTTCGGTCATGGGTGACCAATCCGAGGAGAAATTATTCGACGTCGGCCGTCGCGTCATTCGACTCTGCTTTTTTAATTATCACTTACGCTACCGAATGTTAGCGTGCAGCGATGTTTGCCATCGGAGTTCGAGAAAGTCGATGTAGCATTTTCTTACTTTGAACAAGACGTAACAGGGCCAGAGCCGCACAGAGTCGCCAAAGGTTTCCGAGATATTTAGTTGAGAATAAAGACGAAAAAAAGGGGGCAGGAAGGAGTACGACCATCGAGGACGTTGAGAAATAACATATTGCAAGTTATTCAACTGTTGTCTTTCTGTCACTCTTCCGATGTGCCAATCTGTTTGTCATCCCAAGAGCCGTGGGCAGACCCCGGTTCCAATAATTTGGGCACATGACAACGGTGACGGCATCAGCCAAACCATCTTGTCAATCTCGAGCCGCTTGTGCCTGATTGTCGGGCCTCTGCATCGACATCGAAACGGCACTCCACAGAGGTTTTGGCAAACAGCCAATCTTTTCCAGAAGCAATGGAGCCCTTCCACGACCATGCCCCTTTGAATCTTTGGTATGGCGGAGCAGCCGGGAGCCCCTGCACCTTGTACTGTCGCACCCTCGCACCTTTTACAGGGCCCTTGGATCGAGATTGGCTATGCTAAGGCATCCATACGGCGTAAGACCTGGTTGTGCGCTAAACGTCAGTGACAAGAGCCGGATAGGAATGGGCAAGAAATAACAAGCAGGGGGTCGTTCAAACAGCTCCAGCGTAACTTTGTTTCGCGACTTTGATACGTGCTCTGAGGGTGGTAGCAAATTTGGAAGTGTCCGAGCGTTCATTAGATGGCACTCTGCACCTCGTTGCCGTAACATTGCAGCCCGGCATAATCAATGGAACTTGTAGAAGCGGCCGCCAAGAGGAAGTCAACCCAAACAAGAGGGAAGCGACAGTATCTGAGGCGGCTAGGTCTCGGGTTCTCTTGATGAGCGTGATGCGTGGGAGATGAGTGGTGAGAAGAGGTGCGGTCAACCATCAGTGTTCCATTTGTAATTTTCGCAATTGGAGAGCAAGGGTGGATATTTGAACTCGCGAGGTATTTTGTAGTGGATGGGCAGTTGTATCGTCAGTATAGGAAACCGTATTGTAGTATCCGTACTGCGGCGCAATGGCGTTGCGAAATGGAGTGGCTTTGACCACACTCTGTCTGTCCTCATTGACAGCGTACGCTCGAGGGTGCTCGGCCAGCGCCAACGGTGATTGCCCAATTGAGAAGGGCAGTAGCCATATGGAAGCTTTGGAACATTCGTCCGGCGCAGGGTCAAAGCACCGCCAAGTCTAGCTTATCTGATGAGCTTTGAGTGCTGCTGGGTAGCGGCTCATACGGAGCACTCCGTAGATGCTTGCTTGCGGACGTAGCCATCGATAGGCGGGCAGCATATTCGCGTGCGGTGCCGAATGATCAATGGTTGATACGTGTCTGGCTAAGAGGACGAAGACATTTTGTCTTTCATCATTGACCCAACGTGGTTGATCAATTCGAAAGAAAGCAACGCAAGAGTGAGTTCTTTAGGTTGCCACACAGCTTGGCCGAGTGCTGGACCGGAGGAAAAGCGAATTGACGGGAGGCAAGACCTGACTCTCGACTCTCGACTCTCGAGGCAAAGGAAACACATGCGAGCACCCAAGCCCCTGGTCCGCCCTATCGTAGGTTTTGTCTGTGGGGTTGCGAAAGGTAAATTGGATGTGCCATTCTCGCTCCTGAGTGGGAGACGAGCGACCCACTACCGGGGTGGAGATGATGGCAGAAATAACCCGATTGTTTGATGATGACGAGGCAAAACGAGAGAAAAGCCAAATAGCATTGCTGGGGTCTGTGTTAGGCGAGGGCAGCTGCCAGCCAGCCGGAGGCATACTGTGTGCAACCGAAAGGTATTGGTAAAGTAAGGTACGCAGCAAGGCCTGTCGTTTTGGCGAGGTACCCCTGAGCTGAGTGGAAGGATGGAAGAAAAGAAGGGGGTCGAAGAAGTTTGAGAGTTGGATGCATTCGGACAGTATTACTTTGCGTCTGCATGGCGGCGGGCTGAGGGTGATGATGATGAGCAGCGGAGGTGACAGTGGTAGCGGATTCGAGTGATGAAAGATGGTCCCCTATTCCCCTTTTCGTCCATTGATGATGCATTGCTTGCAGATTGGTCTGACAACGAGCGTGATGTTTGTCTGCATTGTCGAGGGCCCATTTGTCCATTGCGTTGGTGGTGTTGAGACTCGAGGGCAGTGGCCTTGTGGTGCTCCGTCGGCGTTGGCAAGCTGTCAGCCGCACACCGTCGATGGCATGAACCCTGTACGAAAGCCAGCCGCAGGGCTTTGGCCAAAGACAGCTTGAGAAGAAGCAGAACAGGAGGCGTATTGGATGGGGGAAAAGCATAGCAGGACGTTGAATGAGGTTGCCGCTTCATATCCGTACGAGTGCCTTACTCTGTATTTCACAGTGAAGAAGGTGCGGTGTCGTGGTAGGTACTTGTTCTCCTGGTGTAAGAAAAAGGCACACGATGTACACCTGCTGAGAGGCATCAGGAGCAGGTGCAAGGCAGCATCTCTTTCTGGCCACTGACACTTGCTATTCTTATCGATTACCTCAGGTAAGCCGCTGCGTCTGGCGCTGCATTGCAAATCTGTTTAGGAAAAGATGATGCCGTCACTTTCTTTCTTCCTCTAAGGTATCCATAGGTAACAGATGCATGGGAAATGGAAGGCGCAGAATAAACGGTTGCTTCACGCATAGTTAGGTAGAGCTCGTAAGATGGTCACAACCCCTGGAGGTCGGCGGTGGCCCAACCGGCAGCACAGAGACGATCGCCGCCGACTCCAGGTTGAGCAGGCCCAGCAGTGTGGAGCAGAGGCAGGGACGTTGAGCACTGGAGCCCCCTTCCACTTGCCGAAGAGACAAGATCGGCCTCGCACTGTCAGCACTGTATACACCGTGCGTCGGCAAGGTACGGCAAGAGCAGTCGGTGGCAGGCACACTGCAAGGTACCTCGACATTTTGAACATCGTCACAGCCGGTGCCAGCCAAGGTAGGAGAGGGAGAGGATGGGAAAGAGAGGGAGTACCTCACGCAGCAGGACATGGGGCGAAGCAGAAAGAGAGAGAAAAGGGCGAGGAAGGTACAACAGCAGGGCAGGGGCGAGTGGAGAGCTCCAAGACTGGAACAAGGGAAACCTGGAAGGGGGCAGACCGCACGCACCCTCGCACCTACCCATAATCGGTTCTTGTGTCGTTGCTCTTTCCATGCGGCAACACCAGCCCGACGCGACGTAGAAAGTACCTTACCACCTCTAAGTGGGCACTGCGGTACCTCACCTTAGCATGAAGGTTGTCTGTCTCCATGCGCTACCCAAGTACCCAAGTATCCAAGTGCTTTGCAAAAGTGCTGAGCGTGAAGTGAGTAACATTTGGAAGTCTCCTTGTACCTTCGTACCCATGTACTTCTGTACCTTACTTCGCACCCCCGTTCGTTCCTGCTTCAGTGTCCATGGCCCCCAGTTGTCCCAGCTAAACCGTTCGTTTCAATTCACCAAGCTTCCGCACTTGGGATCTCACTTGACCTGACTTGGGGGGAGGGTGCGCTCTCTGGTTCTCGACATGTCATGTACCCTCTCCTCTTGTTCCAAGACTGACGATACGTGCGTGTTGCGTGTGTGTGCGCGAGTCCATGTGTGAGTGCGATGTGTGAGGACATCGTCTTTACCTTACGACTAGAGACGGTAGGTATCTGAGGTTTGTGACAAATGTGCGTAAGGTAGGTAGGTACTGATACGTGTGGTTGTGTGGTGTGAGCAATGGGTCAAGCAGCAAAGGTACATGTTCGCCCAATTTGCATGCAGGAAATTCATATTACACGCTGTCCTCTTTCCTCTTTTTTTTTTCCCTTCCAATTTCTCATATCCATAGTCTGGCCCGTCTACCTCTTTTCGTACATGCGTATCCGAACGATATTGTTCGATTCAGAAGATTATTAAGGATTCCGACGCCAGCCGCCCTCCTTCGATCCATCCATCCCACTCATCCAGCAAGCTACAACAACGCAAAAGCCAAACCAGTCATACATACCTTACCGTACGGATACTTTGTGTACCGACTCGACTCGACGACTCGACGTATCGACCCCATTCTTTTTTCTCACCGATCCGTTTTACTACGCAAACCACACCAGTCCCTCAGGTGCAGGAACAGGAGTAGGGACCAGGAGCAGCAATACGGACAGGCCTAGTAACAGCAAGCTGTATCCGTACTGCGTGTGCTGTGCGTGACGTGCCCCTAGGTACATCGCACACCCCCCCCTCCCCCCTTCCTTCCATTATTCCTTCCTTTCTTCCATCTCCCCCCCGGTCTCACTAAAAGGATCGTCTCCGTGGTTGACATTTTTATAACACCTGCCGAACCCCGTCCGTCCGTCCCTGTCTACGCTCCGCTTGCTGCGTCACAGCTTCTTTTCCCTTCACCTTTCCCCCTTGCTCTTTCCCATACAACGCACACACAACACTCGATCCTCGACCCTCACTCGACCCTTTGCACGCCAACGCCAACGCCAGCGCCAACGCGCCAACTCGCAACCCCAACGCCAAAAAGCCAAGGGCCGACCTTACACCACCACCTTGCTCCCTCCTCTCACCTTGACTTCCTTCTCCATACATATTCATACCCTTCCTCTGCCTCTGCAGCACCGACAAAATTCAAGTCAACCGTGCTTTCTTTTTTCTTCTTCATTTTTGTCCCATTCCTCCATTTCCTTGCGACGGGCAACGTTCCCATCTTCAATCCCCAGAAAAGGAACTCCCCTACGCCTACCGACAGCCGTTCTTGAGATACCCATTGCTCCCACTCTCTACAGTAAGTCGAAGCTTCTTGTCTTTTTTTTCTTTTTCTTTCTTTCAACTATCCCTATCCTCCTCCTGCATTCGCATAACAGTACGCCATCCCTTGTCGTCTACTCCTCGTCATTGCGCTTCAAGGCAAATTTCGAGTCCCAGACCGAAGCTTTCCTTTCACTCTCTGTAAATCCACCACATGTTGTTTTATTTTCGGCTTTACCTTGCTTCCGCTCGCTAGTCAACGGAAAGTCTTTTGTCACCGCGTCTTCCATTCTTGTGGCTGTGTCCGCAGGCTTGTTGGCCGGTTGCTGCACAAACGATACGTACCCTGCACATACACCTGCCGCGCCTCCTGGCTGTGGCTGCCCTGGCTTCTCATGCCAGGTGCTGCTGCTTCAACAATTTTTCCCGCGCTTTTCCTCATTGACCCACTTTTCCTTCCCTAACCCTGCCGGACCGTCTGCACCCCCGATCAAGGTTTCTTGGCCCCTGTTACCTCATCTCTCGTCCGAGACCTCCTACACGCGAACTTTGACAAACACCCACCCATCTCTCTCGATACAACTGGTTGAGCCCTCGGTCCGGAGGCACCAGTCTTTTTTTTTCCCTTCCTCTTTACTCATCCTTTGGCTTTCGCACATGCTCTGCTGTGCATGCCACATCAACCTTTTCTCTCGACTGTCTACGGTTAGGTGCCGACGAGATCACTAACTAGTGGCGCGTCATCTAGGTCATATTGACTGAGCCGCCCTCTATACCTTGACTATCCCTCTCATTCTCCTTTTCCGTCACACGTCGGCTCAATCACGCATATCCGAAAGAAAGGCATCCTCATCCTTTCCTCAAAGACGACTAGCGATCAGCACACACCTTGACCCCGCGACTTCCCGGCGTATACGTGGTGGGCTGTGCCTTCGAGAGACAAATTTTTCTATTGCGCCACGTCACGATACTGAGTTGTGACGACGCTGGAGATCGCTATATATTCCGGATCACCAAAAGTCCAACCGACCAAACGAGCGTCCCGGTTAGAAATCCGATTGATTATCACATCGTCAACTCTTCAGTACGGTCGAGGCGAAGCTCAAGTCTAGTCTTCGAGAACGAGCAACATACTGGTCTGTGATCGGTCTGTCCCGGATTCCATCCATCATCCGCACAAGGTAAGCCTGCGAGCGAAACCCGTCAGTCTGATTCAAATAGCCCGCCGCCAGGTGCTCCTGGCACACCTAGTCATGCCACAGTCCATCCCAGGCTACCCCCGCCCTGGAGAACTCTACACAACCCTGCCCGTGGACGCTGCTCAAACGCTCCCACTCGTGGCGATGTGCTGCCCCCCCAAAAACGTCGCCCTCACACACCTCCCTTATTCAGAGCCTTCGCCCCTCGGAAGATGACCACGCTAACAACCTCTCAGACAGTGCAGTCTTTATAAACTCAAAGTCACCTTCGCCTGACGCGGAGAGTCGTCCGAAAACATATCTCAAGCTGGCTATCCACGCAGGGATCCCGACTATTGCTAGCGATTTTCTTCGCCGTAATATGAGGTCGCCTATTCCAGGCGAGGTAATGGACATTGGCAACTTGATGAATCAAAGAGGTGCCGCCGCTATGCAACACATTCACAACGGAACTACTCCCGAACGTCAAATGCATCAACTCCCCCAACTCACCGCGAGAAACATGCCCGAACCACCGATGGACCGTGCCGGTTCTCCCCACGGCTCCGAATACTCTCAACACTCCCGTCACACAATGGAAGGCGTCCCGCGTTCCTACCCTTCACCCAGTGCCATGGTCGGCGCTCCGATGCAGATGCAGATGCCTGTCTCCCACATGGGACCTGGCCCTGTAATCCTGCCCGGAATCCCTCAGCATGATATGTCTCAGGGCATGCCCCAATACAAGGCACCCGAGCAGCAGGCACCTCAGCAGCCCACCAAGGCCTATCCGTGCAGCACATGTGGCAAGGGCTTTGCTCGCCGAAGTGATCTTGCCCGTCACGGTATGTTATGATGTATGATGATCTACAAGATTTCATCTCTGACCTTTGCTTCCAGAACGTATCCACAGCGGAATCCGCCCTCACGTTTGCGACTTCCCCAACTGCGGAAAGCAGTTCATCCAGCGATCTGCTCTCACTGTCCATCAGCGAGTCCACACCGGAGAGAAGCCTCACATGTGTGAGCGCTGTGGCAAGGTAAGCTGACTCTCCAGCGAGGAATCCTGTTTCATGCTAACAAATGCCTTAGCCTTTCAGCGACAGCAGCTCTCTGGCACGCCATCGTCGTATCCACTCTGGCAAGCGTCCGTACAAGTGCCCGTACGCCGATTGTCAGAAGACGTTCACTCGCCGTACTACCTTGACCAGACATCAAAATCACCACACTGGTACCGTAGAGGAGGCCGCTGCGGCTACAGCTGCTGCTCTGGCGGCTCGTGGAGCCACTGGCAAGCCAAACACGACTCGTTCTGACGGAGATGCCATGTCCAACCGTGGATCGCCTCTTACCACACCTTCGCCTGGCCAGCGCACCCTCTCGATGTCCCCTAGTGCCGACAGCATGCACCGTGCCAACTCCGAATTCCAGTACATGGGCAACAGCTCACTTCCGGTTCACCTTCAGCGAGACATGCATGTTGGCAGCCCGGCATCGACATCTTCTGGAGGTTACAACACTGGTATGCGACCTACCTCGCACCCCACCAGCTACGGACCGCCTCCGACACTCGAGCCCAGCGTCGAGCAGCACTCTGGCCCCGGCAGTGCTGGCGGTAGCCCTCACATGGGCTCCGTCGGATGGCAGTCTCCATCGCACGTGCCGTCGCCCTCGCACAGCAGCAACGGTGGTGGCTACACCTACCCCGATCCCGATGCCTACCCCTCTGCGCCTTCGCTTGGTGGTCAGATGTTTTACGGCAACCCAGCTCAGGTCCGCCGCCCTCAGAGCACCGAGCCCCCCGCTGGCGCCTACGATATTAAGGGCCGTCAAGGCGAGCTGTGGGCAGGTGCTCATTAGGGACGGCACATGTAACACTATCGCCAGCAGTCACTCCTAGAGCCCTTTGGGATTACCAGGAATGCAGATGGCCGGAAAGATTTCCTTGGTGTGGATTCATCTTCTTCTTTTTGCGGTACGAAAAGTTTGTGCATGGCAAGGGTGGGGATGGTAAATAACATACAACTTTAATATTGCGGGCTGCACCGGGACAAGGTCAGGAAGATACCAAGGGACGGGCAGTCATCCGGTTCGTTTTACAACCGCCTTTTCTTTTGTTATCATAGACTGGCGGGAAGCACACACACTTCATGATGGCTGGGTCTCCATGGGCATTGGCTGGAGGCAAAAAAGGTTGGGAGGAGTTCCCAGACAGGACACGGCGTGCGCTTGAGCAGCACGCCGACGGATTTGGTGGAGACTCGCTCGAGAAAGGAACGTGCCTCTTTTTTTTTTCTGATATGCAATGTTTTGTATGCAACACTGTACTCTGTACTAGACAATGAATGCGCGTAGCAATCTTTTTCTCTCCTCAATCGTTCAACTTGTCTTTGATGCATGCATGTTCCTCCTGGGTTACAAAACTGTAGAAGAAGACGGAGCTAGAGCCGTAAGGTGACCGGGAGAGCTTGAGGACCGATCTCATGATGGTCAGTGTGCGCGTGCATATCTGCTTGCCTGTGCATCATCAGTGGAGGTGGGAATTAATCTAGATCCCGTTGGAGGGCGATCCGGGGTTGGCGCATGTGTCCCACTACCTAACGCACGCTGCACTTGGCGGTTGGTTGAAATCCAGCCGCAAAAGAATGTCGCAAATTTCGTACATAGGTAGTACAAGGCGAACACGAGGTGAGTTGCGCGTTCGTTGTCACGTTTTTTCAGAAAGGTACGCAGGTATTGTGAAATGATTGGTAGGTGTTCATTGTACATGCTTTTTTTCCATGCTCATATACACAAACATACGCACGCACGCACACTCTAATTCATCACTGTTGTCTCTTACTCAGCACTCATCCTTCCTTTTTGGGATGGAGAACTTGTTTTCAATGAAGTCTTTGTAGAAAGTAAATGGGTGACAAAGTAGATGTCGGGCAATTGCCTCTCGTTGTACCCACCACGGCATTACTATAGTTCCGTTTCTGCGCTCTTAAAGGCGTGCTCTTCCAGGAACACATGAAAGATGAAAAAGATGATAACGATAATAGTAATAACAGTAGCAATAGCAATAGCAGCAGCAGCAGCAGCAATAGTGGTAGTTGAAGTAGTGAGAATGGAGCTAAGGTATTGAGCGGCATATGATTCATTTGGGAGGGTGTTATGCGGCAGGCAGTGGGTGGTCATTGTATGAAGATCTCGCTCGCTGTCATGTAAGAGGTTTCTTGGTCGACTTTTCCGTTACGAAATGACCAAGGCTCGAGGTCTACTACCCTGTTAAAATACTTGCCCAGAAGTGTCGATGATCCATCGATGCCACTCAACCAAAAGATGCTTGCTTCTGCGTGAGATTGAGACTGATGAGAGTGGAACAATTGAAGGGGGAAAATAACAAAGTCGACAGATTAGGAGAGAGTAAGACCAAAGAGTCTGGGCACTGCAACGATGGCAGCGAAGGAAATGGTTGGCGGTAATATCTGTAAACCAGAACCGGAACCGAGCCGCCGAGGTTTACGAAACGAATCCGAGGCGATTCCATTTCTCTCTCACGTCGCCTTTCTTATTTCCGTACTTTGTACTTTTTGTCTGTTGACGTTTGGATGTAATCAGAAATGATGATATAATCAGAAAATCGAAAAACCCCGGGGTGGGGAGACGAGGCACATGGCGTTCGTTGCCCCGAGTGCCGATATCAAATCAAGCGTGCGCCTTTCCGAGTTTTTGTGGTAAGCCGTGTGGGAGATGATTAGTGAACTTTGTACTTGAGTCTTGACTCTTGCCTGGCCTTGCGAAAAAGTCTTGTCCATTGTTCAGAGTGAGGGGGACGGAAGCCGGCGGGATGCGGTGGGATCTGACATTTCCAGTGTTGAATCCGAAAAGCCCGGTGCGAGATATTTCGGGGGTTTGATGGTTCTTTTTCCTTGGCCATAACGTTATGAACCAGAGGTGATGATGTCGTGACGGTCCTTTTTCCAAGCATCTCGGGTTTCGGGCTACTTGGGTGGGGAGAGCGCGCGCGCGCTCCGGAGAAATTTGGTCATTGTGTCTTTGGATTAGTAGTCGAGGGAAAAGAGAAAGACAAGAGTGCGAGGTTGTGGGTGTGTATCGGGAGAGGGAGGACGAAGGAAAGGATTATGTATTATTCTTCCCAGTCCTCTCTTACTGTTCGCCCGAAGGGTGACACATTCGAGAAGGGACAACACAAGGAAGGTGGAAAAGTGGTCCGTCCTCGCTCTCTCACGCGTTTCCTGAGGAGCGACATTTGTTGGTTTATCAATCACCCAGCCGCGCTGAGCAAGCTACGAGCCCGATGATTAGTATTCATTTCAGTACTGTCGTTCCTTGGACCTTGTGTCTTTAATTCCAAGTAGGCAAGCTTGGCAGAGTACTTTGTTGTCGTGCCTCGTTTCCAAGGATTTTTCCCCTACCCAACCCACGCGCCCACCACCACCACCCATACGCAAACACATGCGCGCACACACACACACCATATGCCAACAATGTGGGATTAGACTGGTGGTGCAAAGCCATGAGATGACGGGGAGTCCACGGCACAAATTACCTATTATATATCCGCGAGATCGCCGCAACTTCTGACAAAGTTGGCGCAGCTTGTAGAAAGGAAACTCTAATACCCACACCTTCTATTCTTTCCCTTCCCCCCTTCTCTCCCCCCAACTGTACCTTTGCTGCCCTTGACGTTCCCGAAGAAATCTAGAAGGTCCAGCAAGTTCAGTCTGACCCAAAGAGAGTTTTTGGAGCTGGACACTGTCGAGTCCAACCTTGGATTGACAAACGGGACCGGTCATCCTCTGTGGCTTACACGAACTCGCCCTGACCACGCCCTTGGCGGGTGCCGAGAAATCACGGCAGAAGGCACAACGAATGCCTTGGTCTTTTTCTCATCACTCGTTTACTCATCAGACTCAAACAACCAAAACAGCCAAGTGATTCTATTTTCATCATCGACAAACTCATCATATTTGTTTTTCCACCGGCGGTCTACCATCGTATGGCATATACTTGACGAACACTACACACTACTCATCCATCTCATCCTTCACAATCACAACACAAACCCACCTTCGTCAGTATAAGCCAGGACTCAACGACAACACAACAACGAAGGTAGCCATCTATCGAGATAACAAAGAATGACGGTCATCAAGATCGAGGCCGTCACGGACCTGCTATGTCCGTGGTGCTACGTCGGCAAGAGGAACCTCGACCGCGCAATCTCACAATACCGCGCCGTGGACCCTACCGCCGAGTTCGAGGTCGTCTGGAAGCCGTTCTATCTGAGCCCGGCGTTGAAGAGCACCGGTACGTTATTTTTTTCGTCTCTTCATACTTCTTACTCGTAGTTTTTCTTTCTCTTGAAATGTAAAACATGTCTTCCGCTTCATATCGTTTCCTCGGAGAGGAAAAGCTCTCTCACGTTCCCTCACTCTCACTTACACCAAAAAACTTACGACAACCTCACTTCCCCGGTTTCTCATCCTTTCTCATCCTTTCACATCAGCCGCCAAACCTATTTCACAGCTCCAACACCACACCCATGAAAATAAGAACACAAACAAGCAGTTTTACTAACACAACCTCACAAAGGCTACGACAAACGCGAAATGTACACAACCCGCTTCTCCCTAGCAGGCGACCTCCCCGCCGCCCTATCCCGCATCACCTCCGCCTGCGCCCAAACCGGCATCGCCCTAAACGTCACAGGCCGCACCGGCAACTCGCGCCAATCCCACAAACTCCTGCGCCTCGCCCTCGTCTCCCGCGGCCCCGCGGCCCAAGACGCCCTCCTCGAGGCGCTCTTCAGGGGCCACTTCGAGCTCGGCGCAGACATCACGGACCGCGCCTACCTCGTCAAGACGGCCGCCGAGGCCGCGGGCCTGAAGGAGTCCGACGTCGAGGCCGCGCTGGATAGCGATCGCGCGGGGGAGGTCGTCGACGAAGAGGTCGTGGGCGCGAGGAAGGCGGGGGTCACGGGGGTGCCGACGTTTACGGTGCAGGGGCGGTGGAGGGTCGGTGGGAATCAGGAGCCGGATGTGTTTTTGAGGGTGTTTGAGAGGGTTACGGAGGGGTGCTGAGTTTCTTGGTGGTGGTTTGTTGTTGTGGTCTCTTCCGGTTTCCCTTCTCTATGAGGTTTCTTGTAAGCGACGATGAGAGGAATGAGGATGATGTGAGAAAGGGAGGAGAGGGGGTCGGTGGTATGTCCTATCTGTTCGTTTGGCTTCTTGTTTTATTCTCTTGTTGAGTTTCAGCGATATGGCATGGCGGTGGCAATAACATCATTTCCCATAGCACAGCGTCAAAGAATGTAGTAATGTTGGATATTCATCATTCTTCTTCTGTCCTTCGTTTTGGGGTGTAAGTTTCTTAGTTTCTCTGCCTCCTGCACAAGTGAAATGCGTGTCCTGCATTGACTGCGGCACAAAGACCCACCGCGAACCTGCCCATCCATCTATAAGGGAAAAAGAACTAGACACGGAAAAAAGGACAGCAATACCTGTCCCAGGTCTTTGCCAAATAAAGTGTGTCTGCCCGTTCGTCGTCTCTCTCTCCGCCGTCCAAACCCAAAACGCCGTTTCGAAAATGCATTTCCCTGTATATAAACACTAGGTAGCCCGTGTCTACCGCTTCACCATGTGGCTGTAATCCTTGAGCAGATGCTCCATGTGCGTATTCGTCGTCTTGCCGGTGCGCCTAACAGCCCGCTTCTTCTGCTGCTTCTTGGAGTCGACCTTTTTGATCGTGCTGGGGTCGGCGCTGGCCGGCTTCTGGCCCACGGAAACAAGCTTCTTGACAATGTCATCGGTGGAGGGGACCTCGACAACGTTCCACATGCGCTTGAACTCGTCGTCGACGTGGTGGTGCAGCGTCGCGTCGTCGAGCCAGATGGCGCGCGGGTGCTGCTCCTTCTTGGTCTTGACAATCAGGATCTTGTGCTCGCGCTCCAGCTCCATCAGCGCCTGGTCGCAGTCGGGCCACCCGTCCTTGAGGTCCTTGACGTTGGTCCCCTCGGCGTCCCGCTTGCTCTGCAGGTGCCGCAGGAGCGTCATCTTGTCCTTGACGCCGGGGATAATGGGCCGGTGGACGTACGTACCCGTCCGCCACGTCTGCTCCGACATTTTCGGGTCGGGCACCCACTGGATGCGCGGGTGCCGCCGCATGCCCTCCACCAGCTGCTGCTTGTGCTTGTCGGTGCTGCGCGTCTGGCCCAGGTGGTCAAAGATCTCGGTCGCCGTCTTGGGCTCGTCCTTGCCCTTGAGCCACTCCAGCGCATACTGCATCTGCGTAAAGACCTCCTGACCAAAACTAGTGTTCTGAGGCTGCGAGTACACAATTGCATTGGGGTCGCGCTTCCGCTTGCCCGATGCGGTGGTGTCGTTCTTGGATGCTGACGCCATGCTGCTGACGGACGGGGAGGGTGACGGCGGCGCGAGAGACGTGCTCTTGGATTGCAGCTTGCTCGCGGCCGAGGCCAGCGAGCTGCTGAACATCGCCTTCTGCTTTTCAAGAAGGGAAGACATGATGGGCTATAGTGGGGGGCAGTCGATGCCGTAGGATATGGTCTTTCCGAAGCTCGTGACTTTCCTTGCGGGACGTTTGTAGTGGCGTCAGGAAGATGGACTATCCAAAGCCTGGCGCAACAAGTTGTAGTCGTGGGATGATTCACAACGTAACTGGCCGGAAGGTGGTCGATATAGTGAGGATTTGGCGTATCTCAGCTCAAAAGCTACCACGTCGAAGGCCGCCTTCCCGTAAGGAGATGCTGCCAAAAGAAACCCTCTCAATCCTTCTTCCTTCGTCTCAACCGTATCAAAATCCCTCGTTTCAATCCAGATCGATCGTCGCTCGCGCTTCGCACCGCTGTTGTCCACTCTCTTTCAATCGTCGAGCTATCGCAGCTTCAGCCGCTAAAAGTCGCCGACCGTATCCCCTCGACTCGATCGCTAATCAGCCCGGAAGCCTGCAAATATCCGAAATCTTTTGTCGCGGTTCGATTTACCCCGCAGATATTCGTCCGCGTCGCGAGGTTGGCAGCCGGAGTGGGAGAGAAGCAAAAAGGATGCTTGGTCGATACAATGGAAAGTAATGAACTTCAAGGTGCTTGGCTGTCTGCCTGCTGCTGGTCAGTTCAATTCTCCGGGACGGGACGTTGGAATATGTGGCGCACGGACGTGGCTGGTGAATGGGTGGAGACTGGAGAATGAGATAACTCAGCCACGGTGCAATCCGGTTGGTTCGGAATACGGAGACGCCCCGATTCCGCTTCTCGAGCACAAAAATTCCGAGCTGATGGGTTCGAGCACATTGAGTCTCCGAGATTAACAGCATGGGCGAGGGACCTGATTGCGGGTCATGATTTGCACGGGCCACGCTGGCTCATGGAAAGACCAGGTTGACGCAATAGTTGTAGCTTTCTTGGGAGAAGCAGACCTTGGTTTCTCGAGGCAATTTGTGGACGCAAGCTTGCGACCATTCGTGAAACTGTAGCAGCTCAACCTTCAATCTTCGTGGGTGAAGTCACTGTGACTGCAATCTCAATTGCCGTACCTAAAGCTCCGTCTGTTGCTCTCACTGCTAAGCGGTTCGTACAATCACCGGTTGCGTTACCACGTGCCTAGAGTAACGACGCCCACTACCCAGTATATCCAGTGCAGAATCTCCAACAAAGTATCATGACCAGAACGTATATTCTATTAAAAGCATATCTTCTCCCGGCAGATTTGGTTCGGTCGTTGCTCGACCAGCCAGATCCTCTGCCCGTGAATAAAAGCTCCCCTGTAACCCGTCTGCGTCAGCTCGTAACACATCCATGGGACCTGAAGGTGACGCAAAGGCTTTCAAAATAGACCTTTGCGCCCCCATTGCTCTCGCTCTTCAAAACCAAGTTTCCGCCTGTTGAAGACAATGACCAGAGCCCCCGCCTTCATAGCCGTGGCGGCGGCGCGCGCATCCTTGTTTCCCCCTTTTCGGGGAAGCGGCGGCGGCGATCGTGGTGGGAGCCCCTTGACCCTCTCAGCATCTTCTGTTTTGCTGTAAAAAGAAGTCCAAGACTGTAGCAATGCAGCTTGTGTCTTATGCGGACTGCTGCTGTTGCTGCTGCTGGTAGTTGTAGGCGACGTATGCGAGGACGCCACCGACGAGGAGAACGGCGTACAGGCCGATGCCGAAGCCGGGGCTCTCGGTGCTGGAAGCTGAGCTGCTGGCGGCGACCTGCTTCTTGGGGGCAGGGTCTCCGGGCTGTAAAAGGGGGAAAGGTCAGCACAATTGTTTTCCGAGGCTTAGAAGATGCGCGCGCGATCGCGGCAAGATGGGAATCGCTGTTATTGACTCACCTGACGCTTCAGGTCACCGAGGTACAATTGGTCCAGGGTCTCGCGGGCCTCGTCGCTGTGTCCGACATCCTCGAAAGCCTCGGTGGCATCCTGACCACCGACGTCAAGAAGAACCTCCTCGCCACCGCTGTTAAAGAAATGAGGTTAGTTGGAGGTACTCGTCGAGAGAGATTGAGATCCATGAGAGGAGGATACTGGCGCAAGAATGGCAGGAGGCAGAAGCAGGTCTGGCTGGTTACTTACGGGTGCTCGTCGACAAACTTGGTGCAGTCGTAAATCTTGTCGTGGATCACCATGTAGATGTCCTTCTTGGTGTTGTGCTCAGCAACATCCTGGTAGGTGAGTTCGACAGCGCCCATTGTGACTGATTTGTGTGTGGAGAGACGGCAAAGGATTGTTGTTGGTAAACGTGGCTCCTATTTTTTTCTTCCTTCCTTGTTTATCGGAGGGGTGGGAAGTTTGTTGAGGGTCCTTGCTGATTTGGCTAGGATTCGGTGTGAAGAATTCGAGTTGGTTTGCGCAACACAAGGCTGAGGGGAAGAATCGCAGGCGGGAAAGTTTGGTTTTGGGTATGGGATTAGGTGAGAGAGGAAGGGGAGGTTTTTTGGTGCAGGAAGAAGTAAGGAAAAAGGAATCGGGCGAGAAGGAGGTCCCTCGGATGTTGTTGAGCCCGTTCACACTGCTTTATCGCGGGACCCCGTTAAAAATCGGGGGGGAAAGCGCAGCACTTTGCGGACTGGGACTGACAGCTGATGGAAGCTTCCGCTGGGACCAAGCGGTCACTACCTGTGGACACCTCACAACAGTACTGGGCTTGGTACCAGCAGTCCGCTCAGGGGTGGACGATGTCTTAAGCCAATAGGAAAAGAAGAAATTAGTGCACAGTTGCCGTGATTCGCTGGAGTAAATGTGGGCTGGGGATACTCAAGAGAGGCACCACAGTAAGGCAAGCGGCAGCACAAGGAAGAAGGTGCGATTCCAAAGGGGGGAGCCAATTTAGCTGGCGGAACTTGGTACCTTGTAGAGTCAGAACACTCGCTACCTTAGTAGGCAAGTAAGGTATTACCGGTAGGTATGTGACAATGGAAAGGACCCGACTACTTCCACAAGTTCCATTGCCTTCTTGCTTAGACCAGAGAGGAGAAGCTCGCCGGCCTCCTTCTCGGCATCGCACTCGGGTAGTTGAACCCCAGCCAAACAGACATTTGACACCCTTCCAAGGCTGCCACCGTTTGATGCATAGCACACACACCTTGTTCACATACCCCGAATTCTCACATTTCAGGCCAAGGTAATTCGTATACTCAAGTCTCACTCACCTATACTACAACACCCGTGTCGATTTGCCATAGCCATCAACCGGAACCAAGGACCTTGGACCTAGGTAAAACTGCCCTTCCTGGACCAGCCACGTCTTCCTTCGCTTCACCCCGCCCGTTGATACTCCCAAAGCGACTTGTCGAGTCAGGGCTCCCGCTGTAAAACTTAAACACTCGCCGCTTAGTACCGGGGGCTACTTCGTACCTAGTCTTCCACCTCTTTACCGCCCCCAGCTTCCGTGGTCGATCAACACTTTGAGAACGAAAGAGAGCACGTTGCTAGCTCGTTTCGAAACGCATGGCCCCTCCAATGCTTCAACGGGGCGGAATCACATCGGTGTCCGCTACCGAAGCGGTTCTATTATGCAAAATGCCCTTCCTTCTACACAGTATTCGGTACAGCTTGTATAACAGGAATCTTGGAGGAAACCGACTGCAACGTCCCCCCCAAGCACACCGAGTGTCTGTCTGTACTCTTCACAAGGGTCCGGCACGGCCTCTCGTCTCCGGGGTCCAAGTCCCCAGTTATTCGTGTTCGTAAACTCGCATTGCCAATCGCTGCTGCTTCCCACGCCTTCTCGTGGTTCACCAGCAGCCCGACTGCAACACCAAGTCCCGCAAATGCCCACACGTACCGCTGCAAGGTCATTGTTCCCAAATCCCGCTTCCACGGGGGATACATACCGTCGTCCCCCACCCTTGCCATCTGCGCCGTTCCCTCCCCCCTCGTTGTCAATCGACTCAATCCTGACGCTATCGTTCCGTCGGATCTTGCCTTATCTCGCCGTTCCGCGGGGTTTCCTGGGCTGGACTAGGTGGATTAGCCTGGCTCCCCGGGCTGAGAGTCTGGACTGGACCAACCTGGGGCACACACGTACGGGATACACTACTACACTGCATATCTGTACCTCGCGGCTCTGACAGCGCAAATAAAGGGCCGCTCACACACACGCACACACACTCACACTTCGGACGGACTGATCACTGACCATTAAAAGAGTCCGGATCCCACGGAGCATACGGGCAGTCCAATTCCTCCAACGGAACATTACCTCAGCCATCATGAACTCACGAAATACAAAAGAGAGAGAGGCCAGCATCAACTTCCTTGATTCTCCGAACGACACGTTTTCCTGACGTATGGAACCTATCGAGTGTCCAATTCCGCCGTACGGACATTTCCCCCCAATCCCGCAACCCACCCTTCGGGAAATTCGGGATGATGCCGAGGCAGTCCCGTGCGGTCTCCGGCCTCCGGTATCGTCATTTCCCTTGACTCTCCCTCCCGAGTCCCAGTCTGCCACTTGTGACTTGGTATGAGCCCAAAAGGCGGGGAACGCGCGGGGTAACAAGATTGAGATCCGGGCCTCAGCTCCTGACTCTTTCTTAGATAGTGGGCTGCGATAGCTCTTTTCTTTTTGGGCGGTCGTGAAGATGTCATCGCGATATGTTACCCGATTAGGTAATTTCCGCCGGTTCGATTGACAATCCGTCTACCACACATTTCCTCCTCTATTTTCTAGACGATTGCTGCAATGGACAACCTGCTGGCCCGAAAGCTGAAAGGAGTAATTCAGCTACATTCCTTTTCTGCAAGATTGTCTCGGATCTCTCTGTCGAAGTAAAAGGTGACTTCCGCTGTCTATTTTTGTCTGCACCCTTCCCAGGATCACACGTGGAAATGAAGTGTACGTCCTTACCAAGGTACTTACTTGCACTGGAAACCCTCCTGACAGCGAAAATGATGTGTTGGTAAAGAAAGCTTTTTAAACGATTCCTAGCTTTGGCATGCTGAATGCGCCAGTCGAGCAAACACTCTATATGTAGCCCTTAACAATCAAAAGACTCTCTCTTTCTCTGCCCTTCTTCCCCCACGTCATCTCTCTCTCTCCCCCCTCTCTCTCTCTATTTCCGGCCACCGCCAATATCCTGGCCCAGCCTGTACGAGGTAATCTTGTCCCACTCAATCTTCTGCCTCGTCACCGGCAGCTGTCGTCGTAGGCCCTTGAACGCGCCCTCGCTGAGACTCGTGAACCCCCTGTTGAGCTCCTCCTGGTACTTCTTCTCTGACGCCGCAATCTCCTTGACGATGCCCGCGCCCGTGCCCGATGACACCGACGCCTGGCTGGGCCGGCTCGTGAGCAGCCTGACGTTGCCGTCTTCGTAATAGTGCACGTCGACCTTGACGGAGCCCTCGAGGGCCTCGGAGGAGGGGTCGAAGATGTAGACGGATCGCCAGCGGCCGTTCCTGTGGGTAATCCCATGTGTTAGTACGTGCACCCGCGGCGACGGGGAACGCTTTGGGAAGAGCGCTATAGGGGTAGCACGTACCAGAAGTTGTTGGGAGAGTACTTGTTCGAGACGATGATGACTGCCACCTTGGAATCGTTCTCGGTGGGGTAGACGCCGTACGCGGCGTTTGGGAAGTGTTCCTGGACGTAGGGACCGAGGCTCTTCAACGTCGACTTGCTGTTTACGTAGTCCCTCAGCATCACTGCCCTCATATTGTTGTCTTAATTCCCGTCAGGAAACCTACATCAAGTCCGAGTTGGCGCTCTCCAAAACGTAGCTCTGCACGTTGCTCGCCTTCTGTGTGGTGTGGTCAAAGGAGAAGCTCGTGGAGCTCTCCACGTCAAAGTACTGGCCGTCGCCGAGCGAGCTGTGGGCGCTGACAATGACCTGCTGGCTTCCGCCCGGCAGCTTCACCGTGACGAACTGCTCCTCGTTGTACTTTTCAAACGCCGGCTCGAGGCTGGACACGATCTCGGGGTCCGATACGGTGAGCGACTTGATATCTTGGCGACGGGGTTAGCAATTCGTTCGGAGCTGTCGGCCCATTTCGTCTTCGTGGTAGAGTCGGGGGGTAGGGTAGGCATGTGCGGTTTACCTGCAATAACATCTGCGAGCTTCAATCGAGGTCAGCTTGGGGTGCGGCTCGCGACGTCATGCGCGTCGTAAGGGGATGGAGCTCGAGGTAAGTGGGAATGTACCTCGCCTGGGGGAGCGCCCTCCACGAAGGAGGACACGGTCTCGACTTGGGACATTGTGAGGTTGCGATCTGGTGCGGCGGGGAGAGTCAAAGGTTCTGCTCGCGCAATCAGTCTGTCGTTGAGTCGGTGACGATTGCGGCTGTACGGAGTAAATGGAGAGCTGTCTGCCTCTCTCGAACGTTGAAACGTAATGCGGGGCAGTTGGAGGTGGGACATGGGGAGGGGCGGATTGGCTGGGAAAGGGGGTTAATTGTTAGCGCGGGACCTCCACTTGAGCTGAAGGAAGTGGGCTCATTGTGTACTTCCTCATCACGAAGCGAACATGTCGATGGACTCGCTGTCACCTGCATGTAACTCATATTCAATGCTAGCAGAACAATGGCTGTGAAGTTGATGCCATGTCATTAAGGGTATGTACTATGTTTTCGGATTTCTTTTTCTTTTTGTTTTCTCCATCCTTCCTAGTCCCTCGCCAAGTCTCAATAATCCAGAACCCGCTTAATATTGTCATAAACCCCTGAGATACGTTAAAAATCGTGGCAGCATATCATGGGGAGGAGATAACACTTACTTGCAACATCAGGAATGTTGAACTTCTCATAAAGCAGCGGAGTGTGAATGCTCCATCCAGCAACTCTTGCAACCGGTGCCTCCAGCCTCAAAAAGGTATCATGATCCTCCTGGATTGTGGCAGCAACCTCAGCACCGATACCAGCATTCACCATCGCCTCGTGTACCACGATGCAGTGACCAGTCTTGCGCACGCTCTGGAATACCGTCTCCTTATCCCAGGGGTATAGCGTCCTGAGATCAATGAGTTCGACAGAGACTCCTAGCTCCTCTTCGGCCTTTTGTATCGCCGACATGCAAGTATACAGCGGCTGTCCGTACGAGATAATCGTCACGTCCTTGCCCTCCTTCAGGACCTCCGCCTTGGACAACGGCAGCGTGTACGCTCCCGCGGGCACCTGCTCGACGGCCGCGCGGTACAGAATCTTGGGCTCCATGAAGATGCACGGGTCATTGCTGCGGATGGCCGCCAGCAACAGGCCCTTGGCTTGTAGAGGTGACCGTGGCATGATCACCCGCAAACCGGGGATGTGCGTGAACAAGCTCTCGGGCGACTGAGAGTGATAGAGGGCGCCGTGGCCGACGCCGCCGCAGGGCATGCGTACCGTCAGACCACCAACGCTCCGGCCGCAGGCGCCGTCTCTGTACCGGTACTTGGCCGCCTCGTTGACGAGCTGGTCAAAGGCCGGGTAGATGTAGTCGGCAAACTGTATCTCAGCAACCGGCCGCATACCCTCCGCGGCCGCGCCAATGGCGAAGCCCATGATGCCCTGTTCCGTCAATGGCGTGTTGAAGATGCGGTCGGCACCGTAGGTCTCTGCCAGCTTCATTGTGCATCGAAAGACGCCGCCAAAGGCGACGTCCTCGCCAAAGACCATCACGGAGTCGTCCTCAGCCAGAGCGATGGAGAGGGCATCGTTGATGGCTTGAAACAGGTTCATCTTCTTTGTCGTGCCATCGCGCACCTCCGCTGGTAATTCAGCCGTTCCGAGAGCAGTTTGTGAAGAGTGCGCGAGGAGTGACGTTGTCGCGTAGTCCACGGGTATGTTGAGCTTCGCATTGGGCGGGTGCGTCGAGTAGAGCCGGGGGCCCGTAACAAGGGGTGGCAGCAGCTGTGTCGATACCGACGGCGCCAGCGCTCGCCGCAGTGGACGTAATGAAATTGACGACGACCTCATTGTAAATGGTACAGAGAGAAATAGGAAACCCAAAGAACCCTTTTTGAGAAGCCAATGCCTTGTGGTTTGTGTGAGTTCTACATGTAGAGATGAAGGGAATAGAAGGACGGGCGCCGGCTCAGACGAGGTAGGCCCTCGTTGCTAACCCGAAGGATGGCGGGTGATGTAAGTCAATCTTCGGCTTGCGACGGCGTTCGCGGGGTTGAAGCGGCTCCTGTCAGCCACAGACCCCTGCGGCCACTTAACGCCCTGATAAGGAGGTACTGGGGACACTGGGGCCGCTGGGACCAGAGCTCAGGTCGATTGTTGCCCTGCCAACAGCCGATGCGCCAAAGCACCTCCAAAAACAAGGCAGGAGCAATTGGAATACGACATCTTGGTACCTTGGCACCAAGCGAAGGCCAACGAGTACTTCGTACACGACGCATACGTATTTCCCGCAAATCTGTGCCTTTTTCAATCTAACCGCTAGGAATGTCATCCGAGTCGCAAACATTCCAGTGCAACGGCGACTAGGTCACTTTCACCCAACGACGACGACATTTTGCGACAAAATAGAAGATGGCGCCCGGTGAATCTTCGAGACCGTCGTCGCATCGACCACGAGACTCATCGGGCAGGAAACACCACAACAAGAAAAGGCGATCACGCGCAGAGGGATCCAGACGACCGGCCACAGACTCGGGCGAAAGCAGGGACGAGAGGAGGTCACAATCGCTGTCCGCGGATGCGTTGGCGAAGCTGAATCAGGATAACGTCAAGAGGCAAAAGAGAAGGGAGAAGAAGGAAAGAAGCGCGGGCGCTGGCAGACCACCGAGAGACGCAGATGCAGACGCAGACGCAGAGCGGCGGGAGAGGCGGAGGGCACGTCGCGAAGCAGCCTACAGAGATGCACCCACAGAACGACCAAAGCGGGTGCGACGAGAGGTGGATACAGAGGCAGTCTACGAAAAGCCCAGGAGAGACCATAAGAACAAAAAGAAACGGGTGGTGAGCGGCGCGATCATGGAGGAGGGACGGTCAAGGGGCCACTTGAGAGGCGGAGGGTGGAACAGCTCTGACCACAGCTTCGAGAAGGAGTATCTCATGGAGGACCCTCCAAAACCCGTCAAGAAGCGGAAGAAGCTTTGTAAGTTGCTTTAAAATGGGAGCTGGAGACGTTAGCTAACTGTCCGTCAGGGATATGTCTCAGTGTATCCTTAGTTCTTCTTATCATCATCATCGTAGTAGCGGTGGTGGTCAGCAAGAACAATAACAAAAGCAGCAACACGAAAACGACCCTCGACGACGGAAACAAGGACAGCGTCCCGATGAAGTGGCGCGGCACCTACCTCGATCCGTGGTCATGGGACGACACAACCGATTTCAATGTCACCTTCACCGACCAAATGGTCGGCGATTTGCCCGTCATGGGCCTCTACACCGACTGGGACGACTCGAAAAGGGCAAACGACAAGGTGCCGGCGCTCAAAGACGCCTGGGGCTCCTACGGCTCGCGGCCCGCCCGCGGCGTCAACGTTGGTGGCTGGCTGAATCTTGAGCCCTTCATTACCCCCTCGCTCTTCAACTACGATTCCCGCCTCGGCATCATTGATGAGTACACGCTCTGCAAGCACCTCGGCACGAAGCAGACGGCCGAGGTCCTCGAGAAGCATTACTCAACTTTTGTCACCGAGTCCACCTTTAAGGAGATCGCCGACGCCGGCCTCGACCACGTCCGCATCCCCTTTAACTACTGGGCCGTCGAGGTCTACGACGGCGACCCCTACCTCTTCCGCACCTCGTGGCGCTACCTCCTCCGCGGCATCGAGTGGGCCCGCAAGTATGGCCTCCGCGTCAACCTCGACGTCCACGGCCTCCCCGGCAGTCAAAACGGCTGGAACCACTCGGGCCGTCAGGGCGCCATCGGCTGGCTCAACGGCACCGACGGCGCGACCAACGCCCAGCGCAGCCTGGATATGCACGACCGCCTGTCCAAGTTCTTCGCCCAGGACCGCTACAAGAACATCATTGCCTTTTACGGTCTCGCCAACGAGCCGCGCAACGTGGACCTCAACAACGCCGACGTGGTCTCGTGGACCGCGCAGGCCTACAAGCTCGTCAAGGGCAACGGCATCGGCGGCGTCGTGGTGTTCGGCGACGGATTCATGGGCCTGGCCAACTGGCAGGGGAAACTGACGGGCTACAGCGACCTCGCGCTCGACGTGCACCAGTACGTCATTTTCAACACCGACCAAATCGTCTACACGCACAAGAAGAAGGTCGAGTACGCCTGCAGCGGGTGGACGGAGCAGACGGAGCAGTCGATGGACACCTCCACGGGCTACGGCCCCACGCTCTTCGCCGAGTGGTCCCAGGCCGACACGGACTGCGCCAAGCACCTGACCAACGTCGGCTGGGGCAACCGGTGGACGGGCACCTACAACACGGGCAACGCGACGACGTCGATCCTCGAGCCGCGGTGCCCGACCGAGGACTCCAAGTGCGACTGCGACACGGCCAACGGCGACGCGGGCGGCTTCAGCAGCGACTACAAGAAGTTCTTGCAAATGTTTGCCGAGGCGCAGATGCACTCGTTCGAAAAGGGGTGGGGGTGGTGGTACTGGACGTGGGACACGGAGAGCGCGCCGCTGTGGAGTTACAAAAAGGGCCTCGCGGCCGGGATCCTGCCGGCCAAGGCGTACGATCGGGACTTTGACTGCTCCGGGACCGTGCCGGACTTTGGGAGCCTGGCGGAGACCTACCGGATGTGAGAGGTGATGAAACGGACGGAAAGGTGAGGCAACTTTCGGAAGTTCCGTACCGGAGGTCCGGTGGTGAGGTGCTTTATGAGTGGGCCTAGTTGTGCGGCTCTGTTGACGACGTGCATTGTGTTATCCGACGACATGCGTACCGGGGATTTTATATATAGGTGCTGTCTTGCATGTAATAGGCGTTTTTTTGTTCTTTTTTTGTTTCTCATCTTTATTGTATTTCTTGTCATTTGCCCCCCATCTTCGGAGGTCAAGGGTTCAGCAATTTGCATTTCAAAATCCAACGAAAGCGAGAAACATCAGTATACTAGAAAGTGTAGCGGGCTCATCATGATGATGATCATGTATGTAAACAGAGATACGAAGGAAACAAATGGAAAGGGGGGCTCATGTATGATAATAACGCGTATCGAGATTGCACATGATCATAACTCCATCATAGTAGATAGATAGAGAGTAAGGGAAGGGAAAAAATGATGAAAAAAATCACGAATTGCCGAGGATTACCTGACCTACCTCACTATCCTGTCCCATTCTGCTAGTAAGTTTCAATGTTGTAAATCATAGGCAGTAATTAGTAGTGAATCTTTGGATTACCAATCCTCACCGTAACTCCGTGGCCCGTGGGGTACTCAGCCTGAAGGATCTCCACGCCTCAAAACACAAATCAAAACACGTGGTTTCCCTTACTCTCAATCCCATCTGAGCTAAACCACCCCCAAAGGCCCCGATCGGCGAGCCGGCGCCGCGGGGAGAAGAGGCCCAAATATTGAAGTGTCTGTCTGTGTGGCAAGCTGTCAGAAAAATTGGCAATGCGCACAGACACTGGGCGGGAGACCAAGATAACGGTCTCGCCCGGTGCCGGGAAAAGCTGCCGACAATTCAACGTGACTGACAACCCTCTCGCGGCTTCGGCCCTCTACGAAAGAAGCGAAAGTGACAATCCAGTGTTTTTTTTTGCTGGGCCTGCGACATGCGAGAGCGGGGATCGACCACCTCAGGAGCCCACATGCTGGGCAGTCTGAACTCTGAACCCATCTAGTCAGATCTCAAGAGGGACAGAGTCGGAAGCTAGCCAAAGTATGATAGATGGGGGAGGACCACCAAGCTTATCGCGGATTCGCACGTCCTCTGCGAGCCTGTGATCGGTGAACCATTCCATCGGGCCGCGTCTAACAGCCGTGGAGTGGAATTCCGCCAAGACGGGTTGGGTTTCTACTCAGCACCACCTCTCGACGTATGCTGCTCGAATAGTCGACAGATCAAGGTTACAGGGCCAATTTTAGCACCTGTGACTCGTTGCAGAAGTGACAAGAGGTGTGGCAGGCGCCTCCTGTCTCAAATGATCCCAGGTTCCAGACGTCGAGGATCCCCCCGTCTCTTCCCGCTGCTGCCAGCTGAATGAGGAACCGCGACTTGTGAAAAGTCTGGAATGAGCCAAAAAGGTCGTGGTGAATCTCGGGTCTTCCGACGTCATATCCATGACGGTTTATTTCCGAGAGAACCCCGTCCCTTCTGTCACCCTTTTGGCCAACGTAAGTGCAGCCAAAAGATAATAACAATACTAATAAAATGTTAGCAATTGCAAACTCGCGCGAACTAACGCCGAATAGCTCGAGGCCTCTTCTCATTGGACCCTTTCATCCACCTCTCGCAAGAATAGGCTGTTGGCTCCGATGCAGAACTGGAAGATCCCCAAGGCGATGGAGGGTCCAACGCAGCGTCATCCATCCCACAGTTTGTCACCCATCCAGGGGGCTCTATGACACGCTTGCATGCCCCTCTCCATCTCCTCTCCTCTCCTCTCCTCTACCTTATTCCTCTTCTGGGCTGAATGACATGGATCCAAACCGTAAGGTCGTCGACTTGCGTGCTTCACGCTGATCTTCCATCAGTCCTCTCCAAACTCGTCCCTTTCGCTGTTTCTTCTTTTGCGTCTTTGAAACAATTGGAAGAGTTACAATGAGAAGAGCCGTTTCTCCCACTTCCAAATAAAAACCATTGCCAATCCACTTTGAGGTCCTCGCGCCTTTCTTTGCCTTGTTATCGGGAAAACTGCAAAATCCATCAAAAAGAGGTCCTCTTCCATGAACAAACTCGTCCCTTTCGCTGTTTCTTCTTTTGCGTCTTTGAAACAATTGGAAGAGTTACAATGAGAGAGGAGCCGTTTCTCCCACTTCCAAATAAAAACCATTGCCCTGCACATACCTCCGTTCGAAGTAACGCCCAGCCCAGCAACAGACTGATCTGATCCTGTCACGATCCACACGACCGCTGGAACTCGGAACCAGGCCCATAATAACCACGCGGGATATCCGTACAAATATCCGACATCCGCAATCGGCCGACTACTGCGCCCTTGATATCAAGTCGTTATCAAGTGGCCCTGAGTAAGACCCAAGTTGGAGAAAAAAAAATTGTCGAGGATCGTTGCTGCTTTTCTCCCTTGCGGCATTTGACGATAATCATGACGAACGAAGTCGAAAAAGACATTGAAAAGGCCGAGAGCCATTCATCAAATCAGGATGATGACAGCGCCACAGTCCACGAGGACTCGGGCTTCGAGCCCATCCGCACGGGCGCCGCCGGTACACGGTCACTCCGTCAGTCGAGATCATTGACCCGGACGCGGTCACAAAACGGCTACAGCTGTGACGACTACCAAGAGGACGACAGCTCACCAAGAGAACCGGAAAAGGACCAGTATGAAGTGACTTTCGAGGGCGGCGACAGCGATCCCATGAGTCCACGTAGTTTGGGCAAGGCGAGAAAGTGGCTCATTGTATCCATTGTATCGTGCGCGAGTTTTTGCGTGTAAGTGAAGCCAACCACCGACTCTGTAATGAGATGTTGACATGCAAGACAGTACAGCTGCAAGCTCCATATACACCTCGACGTATGCCCAGATGGATGCAGAATTCGGCAACTCCCGACTGGTGAGCACTATTGGCCTGTCAGTCTTTGTTCTTGGCATCAGCTTGGGCCCCATGTTCCTGAGCCCTCTCAGCGAGTTTTACGGACGCCGGCCCATCTACCTCGTCTCTTGGTCCATGTATGTCATCTGGATCATCCCGTCAGCAGTCGCCAAGAACATTGCAACCATGATTGTTGCCCGATTTTTCGACGGTTTGTCTGGCAGTGCCTTCCTCGCCGTATCCGGTGGCACAGTGAGTGACTTGTTTGCTCGTCATGAGCTCCAAGCCCCTATGCTCATGTACTCACTTGCTCCCTTCATCGGACCTTGCATCGGCCCGCTGATTGGTGGCTTCGTCAACTACAACGCACACTGGAGGTGGACGTACTATGTCATGATCATCTGGGCTTTTGCGCTTTTGGTCGCCATTGTCGTATTCGTCCCTGAGACTTATCGTGAGTGTCTATGGAGGGTGCGCCCCTAGACTAGCTTGTCAGAGCTGACTTTTTTTGCTTCCAGATCCGATCGTCCTGCGGACCAAGGCACGCAAGATCCGAAAAGAGACAGGTGACGAGCGGTGGAAGGCCCCTGTTGAGAACATGACCAAGTCTGTCATCAAGACAATCGGCATATCCTTGATGCGTCCCTTCCAGCTCATTGCCTTTGAACCCATGGTCCTCAGCCTCGATATCTTCTCGGCCATTCTCTTGGGTATTCTGTACCTTTTCTTCGGCGCATTCCCCCTCGTCTTCACAACGATCCATGGCTTCAACCTATGGCAAGTCGGTCTCACCTTCCTGGGTATCCTCGTGGGTATGTTCCTTGCCGCCGCCACGGACCCCTTGTGGCACCGTATCCGTAGTCGACTCATGGCCGACTTGGAGAAGGAGACGGGCGTCAAGGGTGCCAGCGAGCCAGAGTTCCGCCTTCCACCAGTCATCCTGGGGGCCTTCCTCTGTCCCATTGGCATCTTTTGGTTTGGATGGAGCCTTCATGTGCACTGGATCATGCCCATAATTGGATCCGCCATTTTTGGAGCTGGGTAAGTTCACATTTCCCTTCGCACAGCATCGCAACCATGACCCAAAGTTGGAAAAAGGCCCGTGGTTCCGCAACATGCGCATCTTGCTGCCGTGACAAGACAACCCCGTGGTTGCTTTGAGCAGGCCCTCTGCAGGCTTCTGCAGGTTCATGTGCTGGCGTGTGCTTTCGGCCGTTAGGCATGCTTTGTCAGGCTTCCACGGACCGTGGGGTGATGTTGTTTTCCCATCTTGTATGCAGGAGTATGCAGCTGACCGTCTTGATGTGCCGCAGGACTCTCCTCGTCTTCACTGGAATCTTTACGTTTCTTGTAAGTGGAATATGTCCCGCCAGCTCCCCGCTTGTGGCGTTCCAGGGGTTTGGAATCAGTCTCAGGACCGGAGGTTACACGACAGGAATTGTGCTAAAGTTAGGGCTTACAGGTTGATGCTTATCCTTTATACGCCGCCTCGGCCCTCGCAAGTAATGCGTTTGTGCGATGCATGTTCGCTGGTGAGTTGCCCCGTGGCACCAACGCTCTCAACCACTCAGTTGGGAGGCGTCGTGTTTTGTTCGCGATGCTGACTTGGACTTCTCTTTCGACAGCCGCATTCCCGTTGTTCGGAACGCAAATGTATAACAAGCTTGGATATTCTTGGGCTTCGTCACTGCTCGCCTTCTTGACGGTGGCCATGCTCCCGTTCCCGTACATCTTCTTCAAGTATGGCAAGAAGATCAGAAGTCGTAGTCGGTTCGCCACGCGGGCGTGAGACAAGGCGGCAGAGGGAAGAAGTCCACCACGGACAAAAAGAAAGTTGACGAGGGTGACAATGCAACGAGAGATTCAGCGAAGGCCGGTGAAGGATCAGGCGTGGACGGCACCGCACAGACTTTCCGCATCGGTGTGGAGGACTAGCAAAGAGGCTGCCGGACTGTGAATGGTTGACAGTGACCGCATCTCGCCTCGCTGCCGGTCTTGTTGGTTGTGGGTGCCCATCTTGCCATGATGAGCGCGTTCCTGACCCAGGCAGTCGAGCTGGGCTGCCACTCTGCATTATTGGACGACTAGTGAGCGGGAGTCGGCGCGCAACAGATGCGGCTGTTGATCGCGTCGATCGTCATGAGGTGGACGGCAGTAACCGTCTACAAGTGCCCAAAGTGTCGGGCTGTCATTGATGGAAAGGTCATCAGGCAGCCATAGCGAGAAGGCTGGATGGTAACGCGGCATACGGAGGCTGGCCGAGTGGCTGCCAGTGACGGGCGAGAAGCCTTGGTTGATTTTGTGCTCACATGCAATGAGATACCCCGAGCGGTTGATGGGCTGCAGATGGATAGACAGACCGGTGCTCGGCACGTCGGCTAGAACCAACGTTACTTAATGCGATGATACCACCCTCATCCTCAGCGAGCCGTGGCACGTATAGCAGTGTCACGACTGTCCAGGGACGTGAAGCTGGGTGTAAGTCGTCACTCGGCCCTCGGCTTGGCTTGTCTTGGGACCAGGCAAACTGCGGACTGCGGATGTTGGATGCGGAGATCGTATTGGATCTCACATGCAGCAATGGGAACAGTGAGAATGCCAGATGTCCAATAAAGTGGCTTGCAGTTGCGTCGCTAACGTAATGCCGTGCGACTGAACCTGGCCATATTGGAATCGTTGAGACCAAGGCTCAGCAGATGACAAACGGATGGTCATCGTTTCCTGGGTTCGAATTCCGGTCTTGTCGTGGATGAGGTAAGTTGACATGATGGAATTCAAATCGTGGGTGAGGTGAGCAGAGTATGGCCTGACCAACCTGGTCGGAATCCAGCTGCGAGGATGCAAAGTTGCGAGTTTGTGTCTTGAGGAGCCTTTGCTAGGATCGCGTCTGGCGCAAGTGGCATGGCAAGGCAAGGCAAGTGCACAGGTGCATAATAGGCAAGGCATGGAAGGTATTCTGCAGGAGCAGGCGGCAGGCATGTGTCCAACTTTTAAACTACCTTCCTTCCTTGAGGTATCCGTAGTACCTACTTACTTTATGTACGGTGTAAAGTCTAAGAAAGTACAGACGAAGATGGGTTGTTTCCGTTTCTGTTCGGAACTACCGTACCGCCTTCCACAATCCACAACGGTAACTGCGAGTCCGACTGTCCGTCACCTTACCTTACCTTAGTTTGGATGGATATGACGGGAAGGAGAGAACCTACACCAACGGGAGACTCGAGGACCTGGATGACTGTGCAGCCGTGGCAGCGTCCCGTCGAGGGAAGGACAGACCTGTGCATTGTATTATATACATCTTCAACATCCCACTTTGCGTGGTGCTTCGTGTAGCAGGGACTCGTAAGGCACGAATAGTGGATTCCTCGGCCGGTGCACCCACATTCCCCCTTGGCCCAACGAATGACGAGTGTGACATTTTCTCCAAGAAAACCCCGCAGCTCAGCACGCAAATCTTTGACCAACAGCAGCGAGGCTGGGGCATCCGTTTTCTCCTTGGACCTGTAAACTGCTGTATTTTACCACCTTACGGATACTGCCCGTAACTTTGGTACCTTGTCTATCCCGTCCCTCTCGTTTTCTTTACCGACCGCCGTCAGCTCTGACGACAAACCTCTCGCGTGCTCCTCTTCCACCCGACCGAGGATAAACATCACGACTCCAAAATCTGCCCCGACCTCCCGCCCACGCCGCTTTCCCCTCAATTGCGCCGCTGCGCTTGCGATCGAGAACCTGCGAATGCGATCCGCCCTACGAGTGCTACTTATTGCAGAGTAGCCCACCAAACTCTCGTACCGCGTGTCAATGCTTGCATTAGACAAGCACAGGGACTACGGCTTCCTGCATATACCATTTACTCCCTCGACCTCTAAAATCCTCCCTCACATCACCCCGGCCCAGTGCCGTCAGTCGGCTATCCGCCCAGCGACCCTGTCTACCACCTTGTCCCCGCGACCTCATGTGGTCCGCGACGCGAACACCGGTCTCGAGACGACTGCGCCAACCATCGAGTCCAAGAGACCTAGTCCTGTGGTGACGAGCACGTCGCACCAGAAACGCCTCTTTCCTCTCCACCAACTCACTATTGGAGACTCCTGACTGCTGAGGATACGAGCTGTAGGAGACCCAAGGCTCGCCGCCTCCGTTCTTCCTGCCCTGCTCTGCTTGTAAGCCGCCTGCCCCCCTGCGGCGCAAAGAGAACCAAAAGAGAGAGAGGGAGAAAACAAGGCTCTACCCGGCCTATATCGCGGGAGCGCACAGCGCCTATTTCTGGCCCTATTCTCCCATACTACGTCGTCGCGGGAAACAATTGTCCGGCTCGACTCCTATTCGCAGATTCGAACTGCCACTACGCATACGGGTCTTGGAGATAGCTAGTCACGCAGTGGTGGTGTACTTTGAGCTGTGTGTGTGGCAGCAGCCCAGCTAGAAAGAACCCCGGCGTGTGTCACTCTACACCAACGCAGGAGGATTTTCCTGCTTTCTTTCCTATTATACGACGCCTATCCAGCGCGACGCCGGGTCCGCCCACATACGTTTGAAAGTGAGCCGTGTGGTTTCGCAAACGGACCATCAGGGACATTCGTGGACCGGGGCTTGCAGTGCCGTGCCGTGCCGTCACTGCGCCAGCTCCCACGCACGCCGTAATCGCATTTCTGCCCAAGGGGAGGCTTGTATATATAAATCCACGACACCATGCCTGACGGCCAGGACGACACCGGGCCAGAGGTCTCGGATGCCATGTCAGATAATGACCACGACTACGACGACGATACCCCCGTAAGAGACGACGACGACGAAAAGATGGCTGAATCTCATGACAGTGGCGCCGATACCAACGGCGAGGTCAAGAAGAAGTACGATCCCAAGGATCCGTCACGACCAAGGAGGAAGAAGGCTCGCCGGGCGTGCTTCGCCTGCCAACGAGCCCATCTGACTTGCGGTAAGCTTTGCCCGATTCCTCAGGGTCCGGCTCGCGATAGTCTCTGGTCAAGTGAACACCCGTGAAGTCATGTAATGCTTTGACATAAAACCCCGTGGTAACCGGGGTTTAGCTGCCTACTCCACTCACATGGCCGTCTGCGATGCAACCTTGCTGATGGGATGGCTACAGGAGATGAACGACCTTGTCAGCGATGCATCAAGCGTGGACTCGCAGAGGCTTGCCAAGACGGCGTCCGTAAGAAGGCAAAGTATCTGCATGATGCTCCCCCGGAAGCTCTGCGGCCCGTACTGGGTCCGAACTACAACCCGAACGCGGCGCCCGCCCGCCCCAACGGCCAACGGCATCACAGCGGGGCCTCGGATACGGCCTCGACAGCAGGCAGCACGTACTTCGGTCAGAGCTCAACCGCATCATTTCCCGTCTACTCGGGCCAGCAAACGCCCGTCGGCATTCCCGATGGCCTGCCGTATCAGGCGCAACCATCGCCGATATCACCGTCTTTCCCGCAGCCGAGCAACACTGCGCGATCTATCGGCGGCATGATCTCGCCGCAGGTCGCCAACGACCCCTTTAATACGTTATTCGATCCAAGCAACCCAGCAATCTTCAACTTTGATCTGGAAGGGCTCAACTTTGGCAGCCAGTATGGCGCCATGGAGTTCGGCATGCTAGGGCACATGTCATCAGGCGCCGCAGAGACCCCTCCGCGTGACGGCTCCCTGTCAGGACCAAGTGGTGAAGTCAACTTTGGATCCACAAACGTCTTTGGCAACAATGGCAATAACCAATTTGGCCAAGTATACGATAGCGGTATGATCAACGATTTCATGGGTGTAGACCAGTCTTCCAACGGCATGTACCAACAAGGCAATCTGCAACATGGCCTTCCACATGCCTACGCCATTGCTGCTGGCCCAACAAGCCTACATAGTCCAAGCACAGACAACACCGCCAGCCCGCAACCTACTAACTTTACCTTTGAAGGATCTCCAAGTGGGAACTTTGGCGCTGTTGGAAACTCCCAGACCATAACCGCCCCGACGCGGCCCAAAGCAAAGACCGGCGCCCCTCAAAAGAGCGGCCCTCACACGCTGCTCGGCAAGAGGCAGCGCGACCCTTCGTCCATTTACGAGACCGTAAAAGAGCCGTATCCGTATCTCGCCGGCTTCCACGCTCTCATCGACTACCTGCCGAAACGCTTCTCGGCCAACATGACGCTGCGCATCGCAAAGGCGCTCGCCAGCATTCGCCCGTCATTTATTGCCTGCACCAAGACCCTCAGCCGTCAGGATCTCATCTTCATGGAGAAGTGTTTTCAACGCACTCTATTCGAGTACGAAGAGTTCATGCACCACACCTCGGCACCCACTATTGTCCTCCGCCGCACTGGCGAGATTGCCGCCGTCAACAAGGAGTTCATCGCTCTAACAGGCTGGACCAAGGATGTTCTCCTCGGGAACGACCCCAACTTGAACGTCAATACCGGCGGTACTGGGTCGACTACCAACAGTGGCCGCAACACTGGCCGTGCGGGCTTCTCAACGCCAAAGGCACCCGCCGCAACGCTTGCCGACCAGATCAAGAACGAGAGCGGACCACGGAAACAGCCTGTCTTCATTGCCGAGATCCTCGACGATGACAGTGTGGTTGAGTTTTACGACGACTTTTCGCATCTTGCTTTTGGCGACAGCCGAGGCAGCGTTAACCGCACATGTCGGATCCTCAAGTACCGCACGAAAGAGCAGACGGAAAGCGCGGCGTCGTCAGATATGACGCCGCAGCAGGACCCGCGCAAGAGCATACTCAGCAACCGCGTTACCCGAATCGATGGCGAGCACGGCATCTCAAAGATTGAGAAGGACGGCAAGGTGGACTGCCGGTATTGCTGGATGATTAAACGAGACGTATTCGATATCCCCATGTTGATTGTTATGAACGTGAGTATCTCTACTCTTAAGAGTGTGGTTGTCGAAGAAGACATGGACTGACAGATGGCAGTTTCTTCCATGCTATTCCCAGAATAAGGAAACTCATGGACTGGCTGTGTGAGGTGAGGTACTAAAAAAAGGGGCGATCAGAGCACACAAGAGGGAGGGGAGAGGCATTGGAGGCGTTTTTCACTTTTGATTTAAAGGTTCAGTGTGTTCTCTCGTCATTTGTTTGACATTACCCTTTCTCGTTATAGGGAGAGGCCGGGAAAGGCGCATCTTTGCGGAAAGGATTGATCGATGGTCATATAACTCATTGTTTTCCTTCACAAATACTTCACTTCAGCCAACAACCCCTCGGGGAGAGAGGGGGAATACCCAAGGACCCTATACGTTTTGGACAGACAGAACCTTTTTTTCCGAATGAATGCATTCTTCTATATTTCTAACGCTTCGTTTGTTTGTTGTTTGTGTACCTTTTGTGAAGAGACTTCATAATCATGAGAGGTGAATGAGACGAGGATGTGATGTGATGATGAGATATTTCGGCTTCTCGTTTTTTGCAAAGCCTAAGCCTTGGGCAGCTCCTCGACCAACCACTGGGCATCGAGCGTCCCGTCCACGGTGCCCTTGGGCCGCAGCGCCTTGGGCGGGTGCCACGCGTCCCTGGCGAGCGAGGTCCTGGCCACCTCGCAATCGGTGTTGATGTCCGCGATCAGCGCCTCGAGGCTCGTGTAGTCGAGCTCGTCGCGGACGAAGCCGAGGATCAGCAGGCGCATGTGGGCGTCGTAAAAGTCGGCAGAGAACTTGTGCAGGACGTGGACCTCGGCGGAGCGGACCGTGTTCTTGTAAAAGGGGTTGTAGCCGATGGACATGACCATGGGGTAGAGCTGGAAGTCGACGTGCGGCTGGGCGGGGCCGGCGCCGGCGGTGGAGGACGTGCCGGGGGCGGCGACGCGGTCTGGGTGCGAGGGGGGCAGGGAGAGGGAGGCCCAGCCGAAGTAGACGCCTGATTTTATGGTGTCGATCCAGGGGGTGAGGGAGGCGTCTACGGGGAGGTTTGCGGTTGGGATGCCGAGCTGGGGGTGGGTTAGTATGGGGAAGGTTTGATGAGATGTCGTGCTCGGGGAGGATGATGAGTAGATGGAGAAGTATTGGGTGTGAGTTTGAGGCGTTTTTGTGTGTAGATCATGAGAATGAGCAGAGCCAGAGAGAAGCCAACGGGGAAGTGATTGCCTTGGAAAGAGACGTGACCGACTGACCTCCTTGGACCCCCGACCGAAGCCAGAGATGACCTTGCCTTCCATCTTGTACGGGTAAGGAGCCTCCGGGCCCGACTCCGGGCCGACGATGAGGGGACGAGTTGTCTCTGATGCCACCATCTTTGCTGTTTCTGGTTTCTTCTAGCCTGTCTCTTGACTCCTTTTTGTACACCCTGCCCTCTGTGTTGAGAGATGGTTGAAATATGTGGTTGTCGCGATGCTGATTAATCCAACACCGAGGTGAGTGAGTGAGATTCTCAACAGTAAGCCTGGTGGAGCTTGGTATCTGACAAAATGTGTTAATTCAGGGGAATCAGACGGAACGAGGTAGCATAGCTCACATTGAAAAGAAGTTTGCGGCTGTAAGACAAGATCTCAAAATTATCTTTTTCCCAGTGTGAGAGCGAGAAACGTTAGACAGATTGCGACATTGGGTGAGAGAGAGAGAGCCGCTTCGATGATGAGATGAAAGTGGTGGTGGGGCGGCGGGATGAAATGGAGGGGTCGCCGTTCCGGTGTGACTGATTGGAGTCGGAAGGTCCAATGCGGGCGATTCGGGCGGCTTCGATAAGGCTCTCGAGGGAGAGTGGGTGCAGGTGCACCTTGCACCTTGCACCTGCCCTGGTGCGTTATCGATTTCGCGATCGGGAGGGGCACGACGTTGCGCCGACCACCTCAGTGGGGCCTCCCTCTCCCACCTTTTGGAGGGGGAAGGACAAGCTGGCTGGCAGGCCGGGGGGCTGCCGTATGACAATGCAGTCATCTTCTTTGCTTATTCTCGTCCAATGATTTTCACAGATGCACTTGATTCGTCCCGTGTAAGTGTAAGACGTGAGCAGGTTGATCATAGGAAGCACAGTTGACTACATTTCTCAATAAGTTATATAAATAAGTAGATGGATACATGACATTCTGTTGCCTGGACGCAAACTTTCTTCGTTTATCTAAGACAGTTGGGTGGTATTTTCTTACACAAGAGGGGATATCAACAAATTCCAGCAAAACTAATCAAATCCGACAATATCAACAAGGGGAAAAGGAAAACAAAAGCATCACGATGTTGCTGACGGCCTCGTCTCTCAACGTTCCCACTGACAACGGATAAAGACAAAATTCGTGATTCCACACGAAACAAGCTTTTTTCCACCCGAACCGTTTGTCACCCATCATCCGCGATACCCGTGACCTGTGTCTCTGCGTCGCCGTAACCACGATTAAAGAAGCCATTGGGCCACAAGCAGAGTGTAGCCCCGGGCCGGGACGCCGTGATACCACCGAAACATCCCGCAAGACAAGACAGATGGCGTGAGACCAGGAGAGGAAAAGAACGATTTCGACGAGGGGCGTACTTGTCCTCTTGAGAAGGTTTGACCTTGGCTCTCTGGGTGCCACTGACAAACACCCGTCTGAACCTCCCCGAGACCTAAGACCGGGGCCAGGCGCCGTGCTTCCACTCGGTCCGCCCAAGCCTCACAATCTCGGGCGCCTCAATGACCCACAGACCGGCAGGCGCCTTGCCCTGCTCGACGAGGACGGCGGCGTGCACGGCAGCGCGGGCAATCACCTCGGCCTCCTGGCCAAACGTATCCTGCACTCCCCGGTGCAGCATGCCCAACCCGCGCACGACGGACTGGAACACGCCCTCGCCGGCGCGGCTCTCCTCGCGCGCGCCCAAGATCAGGCCCGGCTTGAGGATGATGCCGTGGTCGAACCCGGCTTCTTTAATCGCATCCTCGACGCCGTTCTTCATCTTGCTGTAGGGCGCCTGGGCGCTCAGCGCGCCGCGGGTGCCGCCGCTCGAGATGAAGATGAAGGCCTTGGAGCCGGCGGCCTTGGCGGCCTTGACGAGCTCGACGTTGAGGTCGTGGTCGATCTTCCACTGGTCGGCGATGCTGCCGGCCGCGGCGCGGGTGGTGCCGAGGGCGGAGAAGACGACGGTGGGGGTGGGCTGCAGGGCGGCGAGCTTGGGGGGCCAGGCCGAGGTGTCCTGCTCGATGACGGGCTTGAGGGTCAGGCCGCCGGCTTTGGGGGGCCGACGGGAGATTGTGTTGACGGCGGCGAAGGCTTCCGAGGTGATGAGGTTCCCGAGGATGTGGGAGCCCACGAGGCCGGTGGAGCCGATGACTGCGGCGTTGTGCGCCATTGTGTTGTGTTTGGGTTTGTTGTTTTGTTAGAATTTGGATCAAATCGGAGTCTGACTGTTTTTTTTTGCTGTAGCTTTTTCCCTTTGTCGCTATGGAACAGAGAGAAGAAGAAAAAGGTGAGATGATTGATACGACGAAGATGTCGGGTCCGACGGGTTGGGTATCTGGCGCAGTGGTAAACGGGTATGGTTGTCTGTGATGCTGCTGCGGTTGGCGCTTCTTTCCAGTCTGTGGGAAAAAGAAAAAGAAAAGAACAAGTTGAGAGAAAGAGAGGCGCGAGAGCAGAGTGCAGGACGTCTGTGGGATATGTTGATGCGGGCTTTATGAGAGCTTGGCTGGCGCTGGTGCTTTATCGAACCCTAATGAAGTTTGCTTGATCTTTACAATGTCTGTGTGTACTTGGTGAGACAGGGCCGCGAGAAGGGGGGGCGTGGTGATTTAAAGACGAGGCTATATGGGGGGAGTGCGAGACTGAGCACAGAGGGGGGGGGTGAAGCGTGAGGCTATTGTACCTTTTGATAGAAGGTCTTAGGCAAAGAGACGGAGAGGTTAAGAGTAGACGCGTGTGCTGGTTGACGAGCTGGAGTGGAAGAGGCAGGCTGTCGAGCAATGTTCCTTGGATATGACGACAAGATGGCACCTGCGTCTGCGACTGGAGACCGTTGACAACTAGGATGGTACTTGATGGGGAGGGGGTGTTTGCGAACTACAGCGGGGGGAAGAGGGAAAACCCAAATGAAAGAGACGATTGCGAAAAGTTGGAACGGTTTGTCTTTCAAGCTTGGACAGGGGAGGTCGGAGCGGTTTTCTACTTATCTCTTGAGCGTCTAGTTCCTCCCTCTGCGGAGAGTGCAAGTATAGAGGTTATTACAGATGTCTGTGGATTACAAAGAAGGCTCCACTCTCTTAACGCCGTCACGGTAAAAGAAGTAGAAGTAGGTACAAGGTAGCGTCGATGTGGAATGACGCCGGGGAGACCGCCTCGGGATCATGACAACGGGTTCTCCACGCTCGGGGTTCCACATCAGGTTCGCAGAGTCTCGAGCTTTTCGTCTCTGATTTTGAGAGAGAGGGGGGGGGGGGGGTTCACGGTTCACCTTGAAGTCCGTATTGGCATTACTTGGCGGTTACTCATCTACACTTACACCGTGGAGCACAATCTCGCATTCAGGCAAAACGGTCTTTGCATGAACTTGAAGAATGCCAAAGCACATTTCGCACATGACTAGCAACCACGTACTCGGCTAGAAAGCCCTGCCTACCTTACCTTACCTTACCTTGGTCATGCTCTATGTCCTTCCAGCAATTTTTTGACCGCAAATCCGACGAGACGTTTTGGGTGCCTAGGAAGCGATAACGAGGACCAAAGAAAGAGAGAAAGAAAAGGACGGGGGAAGGAAGCCAAGACGGAAGACCTCGAGCTGGGAAAAGTCCGCAAGTCATGCAGAGCTCCGCCTTACACGGAGAGCTCGGTGGCTGCTTAACGCCGGATGATGGATCTTCTCTCTCCATCCAGACATGATCTGGTCAGCCCCTCAAGCCTCCCCGAAGACATTATTCTTTCTGAAATATTTTGACTGCTTCATGTAATATCAGTAGTAGATAGCCCCTGATGGGTGGTGTTCAAAGTTTCAGCGGCAGCTTTCGAACCCAGCCTGTAAATCTACAACGAATGGTGTATGTCTTACCTTTTCGGCGTTAAGGCCCACACTGGACGGACGTGGGGAACGCGGACAGTCCGCCGAATCGTAAACTCCACCACCGCGGAATCCGCTACCGTAGAATGCGGAATTTCTCTCAATTGGAGGTCTTCGATTAGCAGGCCTTGGTAACGGCTCTCCCGAAAAACTGAGAATCATGACGAGGAGAATAAAAAGTTGTGATAAGTCAAGAGGCAGGATTTCCTCTGATGGGAAGTTTTTGACTTGGTACCTGCTATCGTACGTTAAACCGATGAACATTTTGAAGAGACCTCGGAACACTGGGATGAATTCCACGACCTGAGAATCTGAAGGAGACTAATCAATTTAGTCGCCTTATGGAAGAGTGTTTCATTGGATTTACAGAGATGAAGGCTTGTCAGAGTTGAAGAAACAATGAAATGAGCTTACTCAAGGTGAAAGGTAAATGAAGCAAAGGCAAAGCGAGCCAGACCAACGCGGGGTGCCTGATCCCTGCAGCCAGCTCCGCGCTAGAAGCTCTCTGAGGTGGGTTCCGACTCCAATCCCCCGCGGAGGCTGGAGCTCGCTGCTTTTCCCCTCACCTTTTTCCAATTTCTGCCATCCGTCCATCCCACCACCCCGCGTTGACCGAGACGTGCGACACCGAACGACTGCCTAGGCCACATCATCGCGGCAGCCTCCATCCTTGCACCAAAGAAAATCTAGCCAACCACCTACACCCGCGTCCTCTACTCAAACCTCAATTCCTGGGTTCTATCGGTGGACCTCTATCCAGAGCTCAGTCAGACCTCGTCGCTTCACTCCAGTATCATCACAGAAAGATCTGCCAAAATCGAAGCAAGCAGAGCATCCGCCCACCATGGCTACACAATACGAAGGTATACCAATAACCCTCCTATGCTCTCTCCCCAAACTCAATCCAACAATGACTAACTCCCCCCAACCAGTCGAGCACAACATCAAGCCCGGGCCCTCAACCCAAGACGGAACCCGCCGCATCGACATGTCCTCCTTCACCTCCTTCCTCTCAAACCTCACAACCGACAACCATGCAGCCGCCGCCGCCGCCGCCCACCACAACCCGCACGCGACACCGACCCCCGTAGACGCAGCAGCCCTCTACACCCTCCTCCAGCAACAGTTCCAAACCCTCTTCTCCACCGCGCCCAACACCCAAAACGCAGCCTTCCTCTCTTCCCTGGTCGAGGCCCTCGAATCGGACATCTCCTCCCCGCCCACCGAGATCCCGGGCGTATCCCACGAGTACCTCGACTCCCTCGACCGCGTCCCCAAGAAATCCCTAAAGGAAGACGAGGCCTGCCCGATCTGCGCCGAAAAGTTTCTTAACGACAAGTACCCGCTCGTCGTCGAGCTCCCCTGCCACAGCAGCCACCGCTTCGACCTCGAGTGCGTGAGCCCCTGGCTGAGGAGTAAGGGCAGCTGTCCGATGTGTCGCAAGGACTTGACCAAGAAGAAGGAGCCTGTTGTTGTGGTGGATGATGATGATGAGGAGAATGATGACCCCGATGGATTGTATGCGTAAAGGCTGCCAGTGTGGCTCAGGCGTGGACTGGGATTTGCGAGGAGAAAGAGAGAGAGAGAGAGACAGAACAAGACATCATCGGCATGACGATTGGCAGACGGCAGGCGCGCGGTGGGAAGGGGAGTAGGGGATATCTCAAATTCGATTGGGAGTGAGTGGTTTGGCGTTGAGGCTGCATTTGATATCCCCCATGCATATTACGACAACTTGAGAAAAGTAGGAAACTGAGGAAGAAAAGGGAGAAAAAAAAAATACAAAAAATACAAAAAAACAACAATGGGACGACCGATCGAGGAATCGAACTTGGATCCCGAAATAGACAGGAGACTTCACTGCCTAACCGGGGCCTCTGCAGCCCGATTAACCCCTCGACCATACGGCCCAGGTACTTGTTGTTGACGAGCGGTGGTGATTCATCGGCTATAGAGCCTCGCGAGGCTGTCTGGTGAGTATTCTGGGCGGGTAGGTCATATCCCAGGGCGGGCAAGGCAGTGAATCACTCGGGCGTCCTGAAATACTCATACACCAGGAGCCCCGCCTTCGATTTCCATACGTATAGCACACGAGATATCTAGGTCCATGGTAGGGAGCTACTCAATACGCATGGTACATACCGGGACTGATAGTTCGGTATACACATACACACATGCATCTGGCTTGACCACCTAGGAGGCCTGCCTTATCAGAAGTTTTGTGCCTTCCTGTCCTAACAACAAATATCGGGCCTTGGTGACCGAGGGGTGAAAGCCGTGAAGTGCTGACTAGTGCGTGATGCTCCGTACTCTTCAGGACTCCTGCGTTCGAACCTCGGTCGGCTTCTGTTGTTTTTGCCTTTTTTATGCTCTTTTGACTGTTTTCTGGATTACATCGTGTACGGCAGGCATGCACCTTTTTCTCTTTAGCCCGGCAGCACCTTTATAGCCCAGCACCAAGAAAGATGTTAGGTGAACTCACAAGCTGCTGCCCTCGTAGTTGCTCAATGGTCATGTAATTAAAAGTCGGGATAGGAACGATCTCTCTCCCGGTTCTGATGCTGATGATAATGATATCTTCCGTTACCACCTCTGCCATGCCATGCCATACCCTCTTGACCCTCACCTCCCATTCAATCCCAGCTTCCTTCACCCCGCCACGCATCTCCCACCCCCTTCGCCAAACCTCTCATCACGACAAACCCGACACCAAGTATTCCACTTCACGACAGCAAACCTCACGCCTCCCCAGCCTTGGGCGCACTCCCAGCACCGCTACTCCCCTCACCACCCCCCTCCTTCCGTCCAGCACCCTTCCCGCCCGGGTTATCCCCCTGCGGCTTCGACGCGGCCTGGTTCGCGCCGCTAACGTCAAGCGTGCCGCTGTCCTCGCTCTTCTCGCCCTTGGGCCGCGTCGTCGACGGGTCAAACGCCTCCTTCTCGTGCGCCACCTCCGTGTCGCGGCCCGTCTTGGTCCCCTCGTTGGAGGCCGGGTTCAGCGACTCGCGGTCCTGGGTGTCCTTGTACGCGAACCTCGTCGTCGAGGACGCCGTGAAGGGTCTCGTCGCGGTCGTCGTGGGGAGCGAGGCACGGAATGACGACGTGCGGGCCGCTGCAGCGCGGAGGGTGAGGGTGCGGAGGAGAGCTTGGGAGGTCATGGTTGTGGTTTTGTGGCTGTGGTTTTACGGTTTATAGTGATGGGGGCGAAGAAGTATGTTGTAAACTAGAGAAGCTGCGTCTTTCTTGGCACGGAATTGTAATGGCAATTGAAGAATTGAGGCTCCGAATGATAGGAATACTCTGCGTAGAAGTTCAGCAAAGGAATTGCAATCACGACATAGGACTGTGAGGGAGGAGCTACCTTAGCTACGTCGAGATGCTCTCATTCGGGACCATGACGTCATCCATACGTTTAGCCAGACCAGACAGGTGCGACTCTGGCCACTTGCGGCTTACCCCGGATTCTCATCAAATCAATAATCATTCTTATTTCCACTGCCTACTTGCAAGGTAAGCCTCCATCCTTGGACTGACTGCAAAGTCAGCAAAGAATGACATGTGTACACCGGGCAATTGAACCAGGAGCTGGCGCCAACCTAGCTCTTCCCAATGCCTCTAGATACCGTAGCTACCCCTAAGCTATTCCGATGAGCTCTCAACAAGATCTCTTCGTGTCACCTTGCACCACCAGCAAATCAACCTTGAAGCGGCTCAATAGTCGACAGTCGATGCTCTGCCAAGAGGTTGAGCTTCTACGTTTGTTCGCAAAGATCCAGAATCTTGCGCCGTCTAGCGTTTACGGCCGAGTTGACCAGATGGCGCTCTCTAGAGAGCGCCGCATTCGGACTTGGTCTCGACGCCACACACTGAATGGAAGGCTTGGCTTTATCAAATCGTTTCGTTCTCGGTCCAATCCGGTAGAAAATTGGCAACATGCGTGTTCGTCCACGGGTACCAGAGAAGGCCTAGACGACTATTGATTGGTCTTGTGGTCGCAAAGTCGACTTGCACCATGTCTGCATCCCATCGAGGCAGTCTGATCGATATGGTATAATATCCTCACCCCCAATATTCCTCGTTGATGATGCTGTTCGATGCTCTTTCTCGCTGGCTGTTGACGTTTGGAATTGCTGGAGATCGCATCGCATCTAACAAGAGCGACTGAGCCGCCGGGAGCGGCTGACCAAGGGGCTCAAACGCCATGCTGCGATGTTGTCGTTGCTCTGCACATTGTTGGCAAAGGCCTGACTGTTGCTGTCGCTTCCTGTGTCTGAAGCTGTAGATCTCGGCCGAAGCGATGCTTGAGCCCATTAGTGCTTGATTCGCTGAATACCTCGGGTGGCGCGGGATGGCTGCGTGACGAGTCCAAAGGCAGTCGACCAAACGGACTTGCATCCTTTCAGACATCAACGTTACCACCCACGCAAATTCCGAGGCTTGGCTTTCGGGGTGCCCATTGCTTTGGGTCCATAACTCTTACAAGGACCAAGCCACGATCGTTTGCGCCTCCTCCAGGAACGATCTTGAAGTTGTCCATAAGCCGGGCCATCCACTGCAATGTTCCTCCTGTCTCTCGCAGGATTTGGGACTCGACAATATTAGTCCAAACGCCCGGAAGTGTGATCCCAGTTTGACAGAAATAGGAGGCGGCACAGCGCCGATGATGGCGCGTGCAGAATGAGGTTGCACACAACGATGACTATAGACCATTTTCAGATTAACCGCAACACTGGTTGACACTACCTTATGCCATACCATATGCGGACTGAAATGAGACCCATGTTTGGGATCCTGCGGGCCAATTCATCCAAAAATCTGTCCATGTCAATGTGTTATATGCCGTATGCAAGACGGCTACTTACTTGTGATGATCGTTTGTTCTTCTATAGCCTTGTCGTCCGAGTAGTCCTGAAGTAAGCAATGCCACCCGCCCCCCTGATCCGGCGAGCCTGGCGGCCTTGTGTCTCCCGGCTGACCGGCGAGAGCCGAGATTGTATGCATTGTCAAATTCAGGGCCATGCAGCAAGTTGACATGGTTTCCACGCTAGCCAGGCGAGCTCGAGGCCAGTTTTCAAACGGAGAAATTCCAAACAAGCATTTTAGACAGCAGTCCGACTCTTTTGCTGGAATGGAAGCAGGGGATCGAGCGTGGCACTCTGCTTCTCGACACGCGACTCACGAAGAAGGCTGATCGGCCGTATACATGACCGAATCCTATTCAGACGATGATCCCATTCCGTGAGACTCATTATTGTGTCTGCAGCAGCTTGCCATCCGGCGTGTGCGTGCAGCTGTTCCGGCTCGCCGCAATATACAATGCAACGTCGAGGGTCGCGTTGCGGACACGGGTTTGGTTGCTTTCACATGACTTCTCATGTGCCATCAAGCCTTTCGAGTATCAGTAATAGCGCCCCCGTTTCAAGAATGGAAGGTGGGCAAGCTTAAATATATTGAATACGGGGTTAGTTTAAAATGAGGCTCCTGGCAGACGCGTCGAGATGTCAAAAAATCGATACGACCAATGCGTGCGGCCTGCCGTGGAACTCGCGGGGCGCCGTTAGCCCCTGCTTATGGGGCCTGCCAGACTAGGCGAAGGGGGCCGACTTTCGCGGCAGTATTGTTTTGGGTTTGAATGTGATCTGCGGGATCAGCAGCGTTAAGAAGCGAGGCCTGCAGAGAAAAGTCCACCACGACGTTATTGCCGGCGAAAAGTCCTCAGGTGAGCCGCGACGGCAGAAGGTCTGCCTGGCTGACAGCGTGTCATCAGCTGTCAAATGTCGGATAAGGGGGAGCCTAGGGGATCGCGTTGCGTGTTTGACACGGAGATGACCGGTGATGGATGTTCGCGGGTAGGCTCCTCCAGTTGGAACTTCTGAAACGGAGCCTGCAGATGTTGGGATGATCTTCCAGGTCGGCATTGCGCATACTGCGAAGACTGTGCCTTCCATGCCTTCCGCTGCTACCGGACGTCTGTTTGTGGCATCTTTGTCATTCGGGACTGCGTATATTCGAGATTTGAATCAACAAGAACTTGTCTCTTTCGGGTTACGGCGGTTGCAAAGGGGTGGTTTTCCCTCTCCTTATTTTGGATATTTCGACATGTGCATGTTTGACATGCATGACGGGGCGTGGCGTTGAACGGAAAGGCTGTCTTGTTTGGTCTTTTGCTCCGACAGCGGTTACCATCGCAGCACCTCAGCATGGCGAGGCTGACGTCCCGTCTGCACAGGGTCCTATCGGGACCCGCGTGGCCCAGTGGAGGGTAGGCGGGAAAGAGACGAGTCGCTAATCTGGGACGGCAGGAAATCTAAGGGGCAGAATTCTTCCAGAAGACCGCACAATGTTCCTATTCCATGGACCACATCGGCTCAATGTCTCGGATTGATCCAGCCCTGCACTTCGTTGTAAAGGTGGAACCATCATCCCTCAAGGGCGAACAGGACGGCACGATGTATGCAGCTGGTATTGGAGAGACACGCCGTACAACCATTCCCGACTACTAGTTGGAAGCGCAAAAAGGATGCATTCGCCGTGGAACACCCCTACTAAGTCGACCAGCCCTGTCTCGTGGTGGATTGCACGAATACAGGCGGCTAGGCACGAGCTTTGGCGTAAGGTCGGTGCCGATGAGTCCTGAATAGTAGCGGTCACACAGCCAGACGCGCCGTCGGGGGAAAACATCTCTTGCAGGGTTGGTCCGGCCCACGATGGCCATGAGTCGTACTCCGTAGGATGTCGGACCTGCCAGCCCTGGAAGGAAGTGGAGGTCGTACCTTGCAAGATGACGCATCGGCACGGCGAAATCGACGAGGCTCCATGATACGATATTCTGGGCCGTACTGATAGAATTGAAAAGTGTTGTTACGGTGGCTTGCCACGGCCAGCAGTTGGGCCTCTGTAATCGAGTTTGCGGCAGAGCGGCCCCAAACTCCAAGCAAGATTGCGGGAGGTGGGATACGGGTACGGCTGCGCATTCTTCGCACGTGGCTAGCAAGGATGCCACATTGAACTAACCTGGCCTGAAAGCGGCAACGCTCCTAATGCGCCGCCCGTTTGCAGGGCGGGATGCAGTTGGCTGTGGTAGCATCCGTGTTTTCTGTGTCAGCTTCTGTGGGCGTAGGAATGCGGAAATGCGCTAGTTTGACGCTGGGTTTCCATGCTCTCTGGGTTGTTGGTTCCCAGCACTGCGTTTTCGTGCCAATAGTGGATCTGACTAGATGGATTGAGGTATTGATTCCAGCGTCTTGATCCAAGCATGTTGCTACTTGTCAGCAGATCCGACGGCCGATAATTGGTGGCATTGCGGATCAAGGCTGGTCTTCAATCCTCCGGTAGGTCCGCGACGCCCATGATGAATGGAACAGAAACGTTGTACACTCGGAAGCTCAGAACATGCCCAAGATGGATCCATCGGGAAAAAAGCAGCAAAGAAAGCTAAGGTTCCTAGGCTGGGGGACCGAGATGCTCGGAAGACTCGGCCGGCTCGCTAGGCCAAGGTCCGTTCGAGACCCGGGGCAGTTCATCGGCGGTTGGCCTCGTGGCGACGGCACCTCGGTCTGAGCGGCGGGCATGGCGTGGGACGCCGCGTGCGTTGTGCCCTCTTGTCATGGTTGGTTATGGCTGCAGCTCGCAAGGCCCGCGGGGGAGCGGATGATGTGCCTGCGGGCTGAGGCAAGAATTAGCTTCTTCCGATGTCTAGCTAGTGCAATGGACTTCGTCGTTCTTGGTACTTTTTGCCCCGATTCGTTGTTGGCCAGACTCAGACCTCAGAGACAGAGACAGGATGGTCTAAGATAGATGCGGATGGTTTTGCAGACACTGAGAGACACTAGGGATTTGGTCGGGTCGAGGCTGGCGGCTGCTGGTTCAGTTGATGCTTGAGATCGACTGGATGTTCGTTCGAGCTGCCCGTTTCAAATCGAGTCTTGAGCCCAATGTTACCGAAAGAGCAGCTTCAAAGTTTGGTAGAGCCCCGGTACCGACGCAGAAAGAGGCGGACGCACCGCTGTGCCCTTTTGGTACAGACTTGGTGTATTCAATGCGCAAGGTAGTCGATGTCGTGGGGTAAACATTCTGATTCTGCAACTATCCGAGGAAAATGATGGTTAACGCCCTCAAGTGATGCGCGATTGGACGTACGTACCATGCGACGAAGCAGTCAGCAGGAATTGTCTACCTACGAAAAGAGGAACAATCATCTTTCTTCTCTTGCTGAAACTAGTCATGAGTGTCCGTACCTACCTACCTCACCTTGACATCTGGTGGAAACATCTGTACAGGCAGGTACCTCAAGAGGAAGGACTGGACGAAAATCCGAAGGACCATACGGCGTACCTACGCATAAGGGAGGTTTCCTCGTCGGAAGGTCCAGTCCAACTCACTTTGGCGACAGGCGCACGCTCCTCGGAAGGTCCCAGGGCGCCCCAGGAAACGGACAAATCACAGCAGGCGCGGCCTCGACGATACTTTAGACCATGTGGATACCTTGGAGGACTTGCCCATCTCAGCAGGCTTCCAGAGTCCAGAGTCCAGACGCCATTTCAAGTTTGCACCGGACGAGCTGCTCCTGGCTGAACCATGGACCTCAGGTGGGCAGCTCCTCCCTAATTTACCCTCTTGTCTGTTCATCGCGGGCACTCCGACCGGGCCAATAAGACAATACCAATCCCAAGAACACATGAGAGCTCACGTGTAGGTATCCATCCCTGGCGGATACTTCCGCTACTTTGTACCTTACATCGCCATACGGCCCACGGATATCCTCTGACATGCAACAGCAACGTTGATGAGGTACCTCACCAAACATCACATTGCTTTTGTTGCCCGCGCAGAGACCGAGGGCCGGGAAGCGCCGCTTCGAAGACCCTTGAATCTATTTCACAGACACAAGGTTGTATTCTGCTTGATTTCAGTGGACAGCCGCGTCACAAAAGCAAAATGGAAACGGCCCCAGTCAACCACTGATGACCAGGGGAAGAAACAAACGGTCGCTTGTTACAGGTTTCCATCCGATGGGCCCTGTCTTCTGGATTTCCTTCCATTGCTCATATGCTCTATCCTACATTATCCCGTTGACTTAGTACACTGCCACCACCGCCGCAATGTGGCTTGGTTGGAAATGAAATGGCATTCACCATCTCATACTTCGTACCAACGATCCTAATTCAAAGGGCCGGTACTAGGAAAGATCCCGCGGTGACTTCATTTTCCTATTTTGCTCGCTTCTGGAAACCTCTTCGTCGTCTTCTCAACCAGAACCATCCGAAACCTGACGCCTCTTTGTCTCTTCCTTTTTTTTCCCCCTCTCTCTTATTTCCTTCCCGGCCCCCGGCCAGGAGATTTGCTTTGCTTGTTTGCTGATCGTGCTTCACACTTGCCTGGTAACCTGGTTAGGTCCAGGGCTTCCATTGGCATTCTTTGCGTTTTGGGATCGGCCTGTGGCTTTCTTGTCGTTGCTTTCTTTTTCCCCCAAGAGAGTCTTGGATTCTCTAATCTGGGGAACGGGCCAGTTCTCGCAAGGGCCCGTCTCCTTCCCTGTCCTGTCTTGCAGTGCTACTGAGGAATGACACGGTACCATGGCATGTACATGAGGCGTAATCGGGAAGACTGAGAGGCACGGAGAGAGGGACAGCCAAAGGAAAGTAACGAAAAGAAGAAAAAAAGGACACAAACAGCAGGATCAGGGTATCTCGGTTTGCTACAGGAGGTTGCGTTGCTTTGCTACGTACTAGCATCATCCCATCGTGCATGCTCCCTGGCTGAGGATGAGGAGCAAACAGCAGTTTCTCTGTCTCTGGAGACTGGAAATTGGGCCTGGAAGGCTAAAGGCTGGTTCTCTCTGAGCAGGCCTGTCTCTGAGAGACTGAGAGAGACTGAACCATCTTACTCGGTCCATGATCCCTGCCTCGTTGCACAAGCCTGTCGGTTCCCACTTTCGCTCCCACTCCGACTCCCACGTCCATTCCCATTGTGTTTTCCCCCCTGCCATTTGCAAAGCAACCCGCCCACCCACCTCCCACTTTGCAATTCCAAGGCACGAATAGAACAATGTGAAGAAGACATGGCCCAAAAGACTGAGGTGAGTAAGGGGAGCATGGGGAGGAAAGGGACTCACACCGCACGGTATTACTGGAGGTGCTCTGCGCAGTACACTACTATCCGTACCTTAGCATGCATCAAATGTACGTGATCCGCACATGCTAACTCAGAAGGAAATTCTCAGCCGAAAGGACGTCGGCACGCTATCAATGAACCTCGAGCAAAAAGCAAGCTTGCACTAGAGCTGACCTAACCTTAGTTGACCTACATGACCGATCCGATTCTGCGTCCATCCTGGCCCGGCGTCTTTTACGCTCTCTCTCTCTTTTTCTTTTTTTCCTTTTGCTTTTCTCGCCATGAGGTGCTTTGCTATGCAGATAGGTAAGGTAGGTATCCGTAGACTCATTGCTTTAGTTGGTAGTAGGGTCCCAGCGGCGGGAGAAAACAGGTAGCCTCGGCGGCGGATATCGAGCCGCCAAAAAGCAAAAGCTAAAGAAACAAGTACAACTTCAACAGCCGGGAAACCCAATCCCACATGGCAACGCGGACGCGGCGTTGCGTCCCAATTGCGTTCACACACACGAGACGGGCAGAAGATATTAATCATGGTCCCAAGTAGTCGCCGACACTAGAGGACCAGCGTTCTCTTGAGTCTTGAATATGGCCTGATATGGGCGTTTAACGTACAGAGTAGCAGCGTGAGTGTTCTTCCCGTCGAGAAAAGATGCCGCGAATGGATCGGGCCCAACTAAACAGGGCCATTCAGAAATATGGCCGTGTCTTGCCCACACTTTTTCATGGTTCACGGCAAGCTCACGAGCACAACCTCAAGCACGCGAGCGAGGTACCTTATCGCGGTAGATGCGGTAAGGTTATGTGGATGGGCACACGTACCGTCCGGAGCGAGCTATCGTGGTGTACTTTGCTACCTATGATTTTGCCTGGCCCTTGCCGATGATGCCTTGCCTTACTTGTTCCCCATTTCATTGGGCTGGCTAGCACCGGCCGGCCTGATCTGGGCCTTCACCGCAAGGTAAGGTACAGGCACGGCACATGGAATAAGAGGTAGGGACTGTGGGATACCATCCGTACAAGCAGACGTACCTACCTACCCCCACCCGGAGTCAGTGCTTGGGGGCGGCTTTGAATTTGTGACAGCGCAGGACAACGACGTGGCGGCTGCTTGTTCTTTCTTTCTCTTGTTCCCTTTCTTGTTGCCGGCGGCGGTTGAAAGTCCTTCTTGAGGCGAACTTGAGGTGGCCCCAACCTTACGGTATTTGCCTTGCCCTGCCTCATTGCCCCTGGAGTAACCAGATAGAGTTACAAGAGCGATGGGAGATGATGTTGTAAACTCGTGCTCACCGCATGTCAAATACCTTGCCTTAGTTTCGTAGAGGTATTCCGAGGAGAAAGAGATGACGAGGTGAAGACTGGAAGTGCATGTTTCTCCTTTTTTCTGATTTGCCCATGCTGGCCAATTTGGAAATCCAGGCCTGGGCCTCAGCGTAATGAGGAGGAAGGACAAAAAGTAGCTTGAGCCTGCTTTCTTTTGGTCTTGTGTCCGAGTATCTGGGTCTATTCTGTTCTGCTTCCCGCCCGAGTCTTTCTTCGGTTTCCCGCTTTTCATTCAGTTAATACGAATTTACATGAGAGAGATACATACTTTACATACCTTGCCTAGGATCATTACCCTCGATTGCATACACAGGAAAGAAGGCACTGAATAGTACAGTATCCGGCGCGCCTTTTTGCCGTGATTCTGGTACTTTGCAGTACCTTGGTTTCTGAGCCCCCTGGTCTCCCACGCCCCGTGTCACTCGCTCTCTCTCTCTCTCTCTCTTTTTGGGGGTACCCTCGACCTGGTCTGGCCTACCTATCCTATCCTCCCCTCTTTCCCCCCTTCCCCCCTCTCATTCATTCGCTCATACTCGGTACAATCCTATCCTATCCTATCCTACTGCCCCTTCCCCTCTGTATTATCCCTCCCCTCCCCCTTCCGTTGCAGCAAGCAGGACCAGACACACAGTACCTACCTTACCTTCCTCCGTACCTACTGGACAGCGAACAAGGCAAGCACCACCTCAGACGGCCCTCTTCTTTACTTTCCCATTCTATTGTCTGCGAGGTATCCATCGGTACCTCCATTGCCTTCCATTGGACAACCTGAAGAGAGGAGGCAAGAGGTAGTTGAAGGACAAAGTACCATTGCATACAAAGTACCTCGGAGAAGTACCTCACGGAGTACAGGTCCCCGATTTTGACACCGTCATTCGAGGCAACTGGCCTTCTATCCTCCCTCGCACCCCTGTCACCCCGTGCCAGCTGACTGCAACGGACTCCACTCCTATCTATCTGCCTCCATTTCTGTTGCTGGCGCTCTTTCTCTTGTCTCTCTTTCTCGCTCCTTGCCATTTTGTTCCTCTCTCGTTTTACGCATCTGCCCCGAATTCCCATTTACCGCCCGCCCTCCTCCATCCGCGTCTCTTTCCCCCGTTCACGTCCACGTCTACGCCTACCTATCCTACGTCCACCACCACCACAACCACCACCACCACCACCAGTCGACCTTCGTCCCAAAAATATTCACCGCCCCCCGTTTGGATCATGGTGCACTCGAGTCGTCACCTTTTCCCGTAAGATCGAATCCAACAAAAGTGCAGACGTGAGACGCCATTGAAAAGACGACTGCACCGTCGAAATGGGCAACAGCCAGGGCAAGCCCATCGACTTGGATGGCGAAGGTATGTCTCGAACACCTCCCCTCGCTGGATTCATTGCATAGCACAACGAACACACCGGGAAACCACCATGCCCAACGCAAACCACCACGACCTACACACCTATACACATATACACAAACTTCACACATTCTCTGCCGACACCAACCGCCACCGAGAACACATTGGCTATCTGCCTGCTGCTGCGGCTGCATCTGCATTGCACCGCGCAGTCTTGGTTGGGCTCCATCTCGCCTCTTTCCCTCCCCCACCACAACCGCCGCCATCGCTACCTCAATTGCTCCATCTCCCGTTGCCAAGCTAATCGTCATCCTTCCCGCCATTTAGTCAACCTCAACCATTTCCGTCTGCTGCGAGTAGTCGGCCGAGGCGCCTTTGGTAAAGTGCGCATCGTCGAGAGAAAAGACACCAATCTGTCTTTTGCCCTGAAATACATCCGGAAAGATGAAGGTACACACCGCCTCAACACTCCTTCCACCTCGACACGCCTCCCCAACCCAAACGCGATACACAACCTTGATGCAATATCTTCAATACTGATACCGGGTTCCTGAGAATAGTCGTACGATCCGAAAGTGTGCGGAATATCATACGAGAGCGCCGGATGCTCGAGCACGTGAACCATCCGTTCATTTGCAACTTGCGATACAGTTTCCAAGACATCGAATACATGTGGGACCAATCCTTTTACCGGTCATGCTTGATGCATCCAACTGACACCAATCGTGCAGGTATCTGGTTGTCGATCTGATGAGCGGAGGTGATCTACGATTCCACATCTCGAGAAAGACCTTTACCGAAGACGCAGTGCGGTTCTGGATTGCCGAATTGGGATGTGCACTCCGCTACATTCACAGCCAAAACATTATCCATCGCGATGTGAAACCCGACAATGTCCTGCTTGATGCCGACGGACACGTGCATTTGACCGACTTTGTAAGTTTTGGCGGAAACATTTCTTGGCACGCCCAAATGCTGATCGAGTCAGAACGTCGCCTCCGATATCATTCCCGGCAAGGTTCTGTCAAGCAAATCGGGTACACTGGCCTACCTTGCTCCCGAAGTGTACGCTGGTAAGGGCTACGATGTTCGTGCAGATTGGTGGTCGCTTGGTGTGCTATTCTACGAATGCATATACAACAAGGTGGGTCAATTCGTCTCTGGGGAGATGCACCACTGGCACAATGACTGACAACTTCCTACAGAGGCCATTCGACGGCAACTCGGAGAGCACCCTTAGCCAGCAAATACAACTCGCCAACCCGAAATGCCCCATCACTTCGCCACCCGTCAGCTTACCCTGTTTATATGCCATCCGCGATGCCTTGGATTCGAACCGTGATCAACGAATGGGTGCGACATGGGAGAGCTTTACGAAGCACGAATTCTTCATGATGATTGATTTTGAGGCGCTGGAGCGAAAAGAGATTGAGCCAGTCTTTGTTCCGGCCGCGGATAAGACTAACTTTGATGCTACGTACGACCTCGAGGAGTTGCTTTTGGAGGAGGCTCCTCTGGAAGCGCGGGCCCGACGGCAGAAGCCTCGCGAGCGGTTAAAGGAGGACGCTTCAGACAAGGAGATCCGCGAAGACGAGCTTTACCGCATGATTGAAAACGACTTCCGTCCATTCGATTACACGCTGGCTGCGTACAAAAAGTAAGTTTTGCAAATCTCCACGGTAAATTAAAAGGTACTAACGGTAGTAGAATCACCGGCCAAGGTGAAGAGGTCGGATACGTTAATGGCGATATGGTCAACATGAACCAGCCCCAGGCGTTGACCACCGATGAGGCTACACCGGCAGCAATGGCTACGAATGGAGGAAGACCTATGCCACCCCCGGGACCATTACGAAAGAGTTCGAGCCTGGAGAGACGGCCAGGCAGCAGTCAATCCGGTGTTCCCCGTCGACCAGTATCCAAGCCGCCTCCGATACCGCATTATCCTAGCGAATATTCTAATCAACGAGCGGCACCGCCAGCTGCAGGAAAGAGGGTCACCAGCCCGACAGGCGGCATGCAGGTTACGTTGGACGGTGGCGGCAGCTGGTCTGATCTCGCCCGGCAGGATGCTACACTGCCGACAGATGCCAACGCCATCAGCGAGGGCAAATCTGAGAGCTCAAGTGGCGTATTCGGCTTCCTCAGGGGCAAGAAAGGAAGAGGTCACAGCCCCAAGCCGAAGGAAAGGGGAGTGTTGGGCAAAGAGGGAGCAAGACAAGTCATTGGATAGAAGACACTCGTGGTCTTGGGAAGAGTTGGAAAGACGTACAGGGAGAGGTGACGGATCGATACCCGAGGAATTCAGCAAAACACAAAGGAATCGCCGAACCACGCCTACCCGAAGACGCACTGTGAAAGGCCTGAAAAGATGACGGCTAGATCGTGGCATCCCAGCAACCGATTCTTGAGCCAGTGTGCCTATCATTGGAAGGGTTACACTGTGGACGTTTCATTGGGAACAGACTGCGACGCCGAAGCGGGCAAAGGTTGCACGAGGCCGGCCCCAGGCTGTCTTACACAAGAAAGATTGTGAGGCCGTCCATCACCGACCGGAAAGACAATGGCAATCGGCATGCTTTTCACGACAGCTGGGAACCATTCGTCAAGGTCGTGGCCCGAGAAGATGGGAAAGTCTAGGCCGGTATTTTCACCTACCTAATGGCAGAATCTAGAAGGAGTATTCCGACGGGGCGGCTCCCAATTCACAAAGCATCAGGTGGGGCGTAGCGTGGACTAGCGGAGAGAAATAGGCCAGACCATGAAGAATATACCCTTCGTAATAACAGTCTACTTTGTACATGCGTTGTGAGCGGGTGTTGTGCATGAAACTTTGAGCCGCGATCTTCAAAGAGGCTGTCTTGCCAGTGACCCAAAGGTCCGGAGCCTCTTTTCCTCACTGTCACTCTTAGTCGTCTGTAGTGTACCTTGAGTGGACAGGAGGCAATGGGTGTCGTTGAGGTTTCCAAGGTCCGGCAGCTCAAAGACGGGGGGTTGGATTGGATGACGTTGGCACGATTGAAGCAGGTGAGGCCCCGGTCTCTGAGCTCGTCATTGGCCATCTGCATGCTGCAACCGGTAGTCGGGGGAGGGACTTTGCAGATCCTCCTCCTCTTCCTTCTCGCCTCCCATGGCCTCCCAGTGCCTCTCCCACACACACGACACGGCAACCCCTCTTTTTTTCCCCCAAGTATCCCGTACTGCGTACGACCAAGGTTTTCCTTTCGGATTTCCTTTTTCTGATGTGCCACGCGCAGAGCGGTGACAGGCCAACCCAGAGGACTGGACCTGCTGTGCGGGCAGACGCATGGCACGGCAGAGTGACACTTGCCCCCCTTTCGATGGAGGTGGCTTATGGAGATGGAGATGGGATGGCCCCACGATACGTTTGGTGGGTGGATGCGGCGAGTCTAACTCCTCGAATGCCGAGGGGGGTTTGCTGCTTGCCGTCTTGGCGACCGACGATGGGGGGCAGACTATACCTATGCACTAAAGACTCTTTACTGTGTTAGAAGTGGTCTACCTAGGAGTTGGGACTACGGACTACTCCGTATAGATCAGACGTACAAGGGGGAAACATGGAAACACGGAGGCACGGAGGCATGGAGGCACGAGGGGGGGCCATTGACGATGGAATGACTTGACAGCAAGATGCAAGGGTTCTTTTTGGGGCACAGAGCCCGCCTGGGGGTAAAGGTGATGGATTGATGATAATGGTTGACGAAAAAGTGATTGAGGAGAGTGGGTGGCGGTTCGTGGTGGAAAGGACCCGATAGCATACCTAGCATACCTAGCTCTAGCAACTAGGTACATTGGCTGAGTTGATTGAGGCTTTGTTTTGGATAAGATGAGTGTTCGAGACCTCAAGCTTTGGGGTTTGGTACCTAGCCTTTTGTCCAAAGTATCCGAGGTGTCATTTCGATGTCTTGTGGGATTAGGTTAGGTATCACTTGAGTCCATTGAATCTGGTCTCGTTCTCTCTAAGGTAGACTCTCATTGACGGCCGCTACGGCTCCAGATGCGGGGGTTTCCCGTTGTTATCGGGTCTGGGGGGTTGATTTCCGTTCCATCTACCACTAACCAGGAGATAAACACAACCCCCATGCTTCCAGCCTGCCAGGCATTTACACGGATATACGTAGCGTACCGCAGGGTCCACGATAGCTGACCTAGCGTGCGGGCGTTGGCTTACACTGAACCAGGCTACGGAGCACACTATCGAAAATCCGAGGTCAGAGACGAGATGGGATGTAGATTTCATACTCCGTGTCCGGTGCCGTTGGAGAGCATAGAACAGACAGGCTGACGACGCTAACCAGGCCCCTCCTGGCATTCGGTGAGCTTGCCGTTTACATTGTTTTGATAGGTATGGATGGCTAAGATGAGGTCGAGGCAGAAGCATGAGAGTGGTGGCAAAGGTAAAAGGTAGATGAAGTCTGTATCACGGCATCCTCCGTGACTCCGAACCGTACACCGCTCATCTAGGTAGGCATCCCTCGGTTTTTCTCCAACCCCTTGCTCATGACACCATTCCTCTAGGTCTGTGATTCCCGTTGTTTCCCCAAGCTTGCTGCAGACTGCAAAGAGCGGGGGAGTGGGATAGAGGGGGGTGAAGTTGGAACTTCGATAAGGACCAGGAAGTGGGAAACCCAAAAAGAACACCACGTGCCGCTCTTTGCCATTTTTTTTGCCTTTCCTACATCACCCCATCGGACCATGGCACCATTTAAACGTGCGTGCGCATGCGCAAAATGGCACCGTACGCATGGGTGAGAGAGAGGTAGCTATCTCAACATCCTATTCCTTCATGCCTTTCTTCTGTTGCCTGCCCCGCCCCCGCAAACCCAAACTCTCCGCGACGGATGGATGGGGGTGTTGGACGGGATGAGTGGGTGAGGGACTGTAAGAAGGAGAGAGAGAGAGGACAAGTGTACGTGCGTCTTCAAGACATACGCATACAGAGAGACGTCTTTGCTATGTTGCCATCTTGATGTCCTATACCCTGTTCCCGTACCTTCCTTTCCCGGTCGATCCAAACTTCAGGTCGTTACAAAACCTCGGGTTTTCCGCACCTCCAACAACATGACATGACATAACACGCAGTCAACGGAGTACAAGAGTCATTCTTTCCACCAAACTCCCGCCCCCATCACCGGGGGGAGATAGGGGCGGGATAGAAGCGGAATAGAAGCGGGGGCCGGAGATATTCACATGATGAGACGAAAAAAAAAAAAAAGAGAGTGCACACAGCACGCAGGACGGTCCTCGCTCCAACGAAGCGGACGGGAATTATCAAGAAGCCTATACTGTATTGCACTTACACTCGCTGAACAGGGCGGTCTCTGGCCGCCTGCCTTGAGCCATTGCCCAGGTCCTAGGTCCAAGGTCCAAGGTCCAAGGCTCGATAGGTGCGCAGGATGGTGTTAGTGGCACTTTTGGTGTTTGAACTGCCCAGAGCACATCACCGCAACTCCTTACCGTCCGCAAATTCCCTTCTTTCTGATTTGTCTTCGGGCTTCTCTTCGGGCTTGGCACTGCTCTGCACTGCTCTGCCCCTACTCTGCTCTGCTCGACTCTTTTCTGCTCCTGCCTGCCGACCAATCTTTTCTCCCTCCCCCCTCGGCTCGGGCCCCCCTTTCATCTCTTTCTTGACTTTGCCTGCCCGCCTCATTGATACGCCCCGACTCATCGGATGCGGGAAAGACGGACGGGGATGCGGGCGGGAACGGACGGGTGCCGGGGTTTCTGGGCAGGCAAAGGCATAAACATACGCCGCAACGGTTCAGACCTAGTTCTTCAGAAATAACATGAGGCCGGGCCGGTGGGAGCCCAGGGGGCGTTCAGGTTGACGATAAGAAAGAGTGAGAGTAAAGGAGAGTAATAGTGTGAGAGAGAGGGGCAATGAGGCAGTGAAGTAAACAAAGAGCAGAAAAAGCATGCTGGAATTGTAAATACCATGTTGACATTGATATCCGCGTCCGCGTCCGCCTCCCTCCGCAACTCTCGATACCTACCTACCTTACCTAGACAAATGTTACATTCATGTACCTAACTTATAGCTAAAGTAAGGTAGGTAGGAGCTAGTGCTGCGCTGCCCCCCTCCGTACCTTTCCCCCGTAGGATCTGATTCAAAACCCAGATTTACGCCGCCGGCAGCATGCACCCCAGCCTTCGCGGGCCGGGATTGCCAAAAAACCGCCACGCCCTGCCCTTCCGTACCGGCAAACCCTCCACCCCTTTCCGGGAAAGCTAGGTTCCTCCCACAAACCACTCCCGCTGCCTCCGTCATTCTTCGTCCGCGGCCGAACGCCGAGGGCCGAACCTTGACGAGTCTTGATAAGAGTTGCGAGCCTCGGTAGTGACGCAACAGAATCCGTGAACAGCCTCTTTCTCTCCCCCTTTCTCTACGACGTAGCATTCCGTATCGGTGGACGGACGAATATCCGGACTCGATATCGACCGCAGCTCTCCCCGAACGAATATTGAGGACTAAAAGGATTGCGTGAAACACAGCTCCAGCCCTGGCCGACCACGGTACCTTACACTTCAGCATAAAATAAACACAATGTGGAGATTCTCTTATTCGTTCGTCATTGTCGAACCAAACTAGCCGAATACTGTAGCAAAACAATTACATCTGCAGAAAACCAAAGTTCCTTCTTTCTCGTCGAAAAAGACAGCCAATTGAGCTTGCCTGGAATTTCATCATCATAGCCTCCTTACCCATTCTCAATCTCTCTTTCGGAAGGAGTCTCCAGCCAAGTACAATACAGACCGGTGTCCGCCTGACCACTAGACCAGATCTCCCCCCGGCCATCTCTAGATGTCCGATGTGGATGAATACAACCATTCGCCTTTGCCGTTGGGGTCAAAACTTCAGCCTCGAGTTTGCCCTTTGTTTTTGGTCCGTGATTAAAACGCCTGCTTTCCCCAAAGTGTCCCATCCGTTTCCTCAGATATGCCTCCTGATGTGGCCGCCTGACCTATTGCCGGGTTCGTGAATGCCAATGTACAATTAGACGTCGAGATGATGATTTAGGCCTTTGCCTGGGTGTTCTTCTCCTGGTTCGAGAAGCAGGCGGCGGCGTCCTTGCCCATCCACTTATTGACGACAGTCTGGAAGTCTGTTTCGGAAACCACAGGACCTTGACCTGAACACTTGGCCTTCTTCTGCAACTCAGAGCACAGGCCGTCAAGATCGAACTCGCCAGCCTGCACACTGGGGCAGGTTTGAAGCTTCTCCCTGTTAAAGGTGTCAGTGTCGAATTCGTAATTGCCTGGAAGGTGTGTTTCGTACCAAATCTTGTTGCAGTTGTAATTCTCGGCCTTGACAGCCTCCTTAACCACATCATCGTCTGCATTCTTAGCAGCGTCGATTTGATCGATGAGATTCTTCTTGGGAACGTTGGGACTGGGGGCCATGTTGTATGGTGTAATGAAGTCGGCATCGAGAGCGTCATTGAAGAAGCTTTCATCAAACGTAGTTGCGGCGAGAATATTTTCTTGCGGTTCACGGTATCCGCCAAAGAGCTGGGGATCAAATTGGCCACCATTCTGCTGGGCAAGCCAGTCGAAATTGTTGGTGTCGATACCGGCAAACAATGACTGCTGTACAGTTGACTCCTCTCCGATGGTGGTCATGGTATCAACAGGCTTGAAGCCCATCGGTGACTGAGTGAAGGGCTCAGGGGAAGTTCCACAAGACGAGCTGGGGCCTCCATTTGACTGGGATGACGCTGATGGTGAGCTTGTCGATGTGCCATTGTTCATGGTGTAAGAACCAGAGTCGACACTGGCGCGCGATGTGTTGGTGCCCAATGACCCATTGGCAAGCGAAGGGCTGAAGAGAGAAGTGAAGTTGGCCAGGTCGTCCTTGGTACCAAAGTCAAGTCCTGCAATAATACCAGGGCTGTTGTCCTTGGTGTGGTTGAGAGGGCTGACGGGGTTGCTTCCGTTCATTTGCAAAGGCGATGAGGAGGATCTTGCAGGCTGCGCCGGCTTGGTGGGCATTTGAGAGCCGGGCAAGACACCAAACTTGGGGAATTCGAACTGAAAGTTGACGTCGCTGAGGTTGCCAATGGCAGAGTTTCCAAAGCCCATGGGAGACTTGCTGTGGGAGACTGAGCGGGTGCTCATGGCCGCAATCTTTGTCTTGTACTCGTTGAGCTCAGAAGTCATGCGGTCGATCTTTGCCTTGAGTTGGCTGTTTTCGCTGTTAACGTCCTTGGACGCCTTCTCAAGCTCTTCGACCTTTGTCTCGAGATCCTTCAGGTGCTTCTCCTTACGCTCACGGAATGCCCGCTGCGCAGCGCGGTTCTGTGCCTTGCGTTTCTTGGAAGTGTTAGATTCATGGATGTTACTAGAACAATCACTGAAACTTACTGAGGTCGGCTCGGAAGTAAGTGGCTTACGGCCGGGCTTCTTGGGGGCCTTCTCGCTACCCTCGCGTCTCTTTGCGTCGTTGCCAGGAGAATCCTCATCTTCATCGTCGTCAGGGTGAGATCTCTTGTCGTTTCCATCGTTCTCAGTCGAGTCAGACTTGGTTGACTTGGCCGATTGAGCGCCACCAGGGATGTCGCCGATCATCTTGGCCTGGCCCACGGTGCTGACATCGAAGTCGAAGCTCGAGTCACCAAAGTCGTAGTCGTAGTTGTCAAGGTAGGGAGACTCTTGGAAACCGGTGGCGGCGGCGCCCTGCGCCGGCGACGTCTGATAAGAGGAAGGCGACATTGAGTTATCCTTGGTGGTGGGAGACTGGTTCGCGAGCTGCTGCTTGTTGGAGTTGAGAGCGGCGTAGAGCAGGCTCTGCTGCTGCGGGGTCAAGATGAAGTTGGTTGGGAAACCACTGTTGGTAGTGGAAGCCATTGCGAAAGGAGTGTGAGAGGGCGGCGAAGTGTAGGTAAGGTAAACGGGAGTCAATTCGGTGCAAGAGGGCTATGAAAGGAGGCGAAGTCGGAATGCCGATTGCGGCTCAGGGTGCCGGGGTCACGATGGGTTGGATTCCAGATAGGCCGGATCGAACGGTGATGTTGTCTGAAAGGACAAGGAAACACTCGACTACTTGGCGACACCTATGGTCCTTGACCGAGGGATTCTTGGACGTCGAGGTCGTCGTCGTCAAGGAAAAGGTTGAAGAAGGATAGTATGAAGTCCTCGAGTAGGAGTGGTGGTCCGACTGGTTAGAGGTGACGAAATGCAATGGTCCTACACTGGCTGGGGTGGGATGCGGATGGAGAGAAGTTGATGCCTTTCGGGGACAAAGTTGCTGCCTGACTCACAGGCCGGTGTCCAAGGGCCACCTGCTGTGCTCTGTGGACAAAATTCGCAGGATCCAGAATCCACGGAAAGCGGGAGAAAAGACGTGCTTGAGAAAGGGTGTGCAGTGATGCGTGTGTGCGGTGTAGTGAGAAAAAAGTTGTTGGTTCGCGGTGACGGCAAATGCGTCTGAGTAGGAAGTGGAGAGAATCGAACTGAATGGACGACCGCAGACGGTGAGGAGGGGGAAGAATTTCAGCGTTCTTCAGTGTCAATTTGTCAGCCGTCATGGACGCCAAATGGAGGAAGGGCCCAAGGGGAGGGGGGAAATGGGGGTCGGCCGAGGGGGGGAAGGTACGGATACCACAGTACGTACTGCCTAGGTATCGCGGCAGGTAGGTAGATACATATGTACACTAAGAACTGGGAGAGGTCGGGGGGTCCCAGCGGGGGGATGACGGGGCCAGTATGGGTCGATTGGAGCTTATCCATTGGTTCTGAGGCCCGGTTATCACCGATAAGGCGAAGGGCGCAGCTGTGCCGCCAGTGTCGTTTTCGCATCATCCAGCCGTCGACGGATCCATTTCTGTTGCACAATTGTCCATGTTTCTAGTCCTCTTCCCCCCCATTTGCCTCCATTTACCCTCCATTTGGTCCTGTTCCTTCCACGGTACGGAGGTACACCGACTCTGTGTCTTTAGGACCTGCCCACCTGAGCTGCTCTCGCCCTGAAAGAGGGATCGCGGCACCGCGCGCTACTGTTGCAGGGGTTGCTAGTCTGGTGATGCCTCGAGGGGTTCTGTTCCATCTTCCAGGGTACGGAGTAAGGTACGGAGTAGAAGAAGGACAATATTCGCCACGCATCCTTCTTGCTGCCTCCCCGTTGGCCTTAACTTGCTCACTCTCTTATTATACCTATCACTATGGGAATCAATCACACACACATATCTTCGGCAACGACCGTCCGGCAAGATGGAAGCGAGGACGACTGGACTTACACACACACACACACACACACACACACACACACACACACACACACACACAGTGGAGGTCCCGACAGACGGACATTATCCAACCGAGGGCCGACTTCAGTCCAGCAAATCCCATCTGATGTTGCCAATCGAATTCATCGCGAGTCCGCAGGTTCTGAGCCCAGGCTCCCCCGATATCTCACCACAACATAAAGGCCACCAGTTAGCCAGAACTCGCCCATACCAAATTCGCCCAATCTGTCGCATGACGTGGGTATAGCACTTTCTGCGTAACAATGCGAGTGGCGGGTCGCAACCTCAGTCATCGGCCAAATGCCAAGGGCGAGCTCCGCCTGCTGGCCTCGACTGCAATCTTCCATGGGAAATGGGTCCTCTCCCCGTAACGTCCAAGACACTAACCAGACCCGGCTGTCAATTCTTCAAACGGCGCGCCCGACCTGCTGGATATGAGTCAGGGCCATCCTCTGCACCTGCCACCGTACTGCGTAGTCAGATTCTGCTCCAGTGCTCACTGCTGTTGGGGGGCTTGCTATGCAGCCGCTTCGTGCCGCACAGCCTCTGCAGGTCGCTGTAAATCCGGCATATGTCCATATCCGCCGGAGGTAGCCGTGGTAGCGTCTACGACTCTACAGCCGTCGATCCGTCATTCAGATACATCTGCCAAAATAGTCTGTTATCCCGCTGTAAGCCCCGTTCAAACCCCGAGTGCGTCCGGCGCAACAGGCGAGGCCCATGTCGAGGCTTACGCTTCCCCTACTCTGACCCAGCTTGGCAGCTACACCTTAAGAAAGGTACACTACTTTACGCTTTTCTTAGGTACCGTCCCTTGGAAACTGGGGATGACTGGGTGGAACTCTATTCTTTGCTCGCCGCAAGACCGTCTTGACCTTGCTTAGCCGTTCACGCAAAAGATCCCATGCAGCGGGCGTATGCTCAAACAAGTGGCTGCCTAGATCTGATAATTCAAAGATCGTCTTCGTCTTGCAGGCGATCTCGTGGGGCGTGCCGCTCCAAGGGTAACAAGGGGGAAAATTGCACGAAGGAGAGGACGGATACTGCTGTCAATGCTGGGATGACAAATGATACTGCGAACACGTCTCTGCAACCATACCACCGTTTCGGCCCTGATATCACAAGATATAGGGATTTACATACAAGCATCCATAGAGGAAACGCACATCTCTACGGCACAAGCACGAGTCAACAGCTCTTGTTGACGGCTCACATCTATCTATGTACTGTTGTATCGTAGTGCGGTCCTTAGCAAAACTGTTGGTCCAGGGACCTGATGTGGTCAGTTCTGCTTACATCTCTTTTCCTTGCATAAATCGCCACAGCCTAAGAGGGCGTCTAGACCCGACGCTACTCCGCCCGAAAAGCTTACACTGCAAACTGCGCGTCGCGGGACTTTGTGAACATGCTTGGCCTCCCCTCCCCCTACTACAAGTACATCTGAGTGGACGCCACGAAGGAGCGAGGCACGCGAGGCTCAGGCGGGTGCGGCGAAAGTGCACACTATCGCCGAGGGATCACTTGAGCCTGTCGTACCTTGTTGCATGATGAACGGATGTAAAGAGCTGCCGGGTGTATTATGTGCCACACTACCAAACACCTCATACGATGATCGGTTGTCACTGCCATCTACTACATGGTTGTAAGGGAGCACGCCATTCAAAGAGGCGGCATAGAGCTTTCGATCAGACGAAGATTGACCCAAGGTATTTCAGTCGCCGCCGCAAGTCGCCACGGAGCCAGATAAGACCAACGGGACCGGATTCCATCCCCGCAGCCGTCTCCGTTGCGTGCACACGCATGCCCTCCATGCTCCATGGTGAGCAACCCGGAAAAGGTACCGCAACGTCCCGGTTGGGAGGCGCTGGCGCTGAGGTCATTCCGTCCCCGGCGCGGGGGTTAAGGTATGGGCGGACCAACAACTCAAAAAAAGTTCGCTTTCAGGTCCCTTCGTGCAGAAAAATACCTTAGGTCCCGCTTCATCCATGACCATGACGACCGCCTTGAAATGTTTCGATGACTGCCTCAAGTATGCTGGTGTTATCCGGCTGCGTGTGTCGTGCTGCGTGCTGCGAGTACTTGGCTCCCGGGTGCGGCGGCACCGCAAGTGCGACTCGAGAGATGGTTCATGGAATGCCTTGATGCAAGCGATTCTCTCGTTTCCACGGTATGCAAGAGGCAATGGAAGGCCGCAAAATGCCACAGAATCGAAAGAGGTTCCGGCAGTGGCCGCGCCGGGGGGATCCACACGTGGACGTACTGCTGTCTCCCCGCATTGACCACCATGCAGCCGTCCAACACCCCGCCCGTCAGGGGGAAACGGAAGGGAAAGAGCAGCCTCATGTCAGAAGCCAGACATCATTCGTCCGCCCACAGCAGCTCTCAACTGTGTCTACACATCACACGACTTCGCCCCAAACTCCACTCCACACGAAAAGACCACAGCTTCAGCCTCGCGATAGGCTTTTCCCCCGAAAGGCCACCCAAATAACCACCACAAGCGTCGTCAACTCCAAGGAGCTTGGACTCTGCCGCCCTTGCCATGGATCTGGCGTACGACCACATCCAGGAGAACTCGCTCCCCAAGGATGCTGATAAGAAGAATGGCGACGCCAAGGACACCAAATCCGACCAGCCGCAGTCATCTTTGAACGATGACTTGCAGGAGGCCTACAAGGCCATCTCGTCCAGTCCTTGGGGCATGCGCATCGGTGGCTTCTTGGGAAGTGCCGTGAAGCAGGTGAGGCGATACACCATACAAGAGCTCCAAGGGAATCCAGGAATGAGCCGGCTAACCCGGTGATGCTAGGGACAAGAAGTCTACAAAGAGGCCTCCAAGGAGGTGACGGAGCTCGGTCAGGACGCATCCAAGGGCTTCAGCTCCATAATCAACCGAACGAGATCCCTCACCGTCAACACGACGACGCAAGATGAGTCTTCCGGAGACAAGAGCAAGGAGACCGACAGCCAGACGACGCCCACAAAGACCAGAGACTTGGCAGCTTCCGACGACGCCATGAGCAGCTCCGAGAACTACCTCACCAGGCTCCGTTCCGAGGCAGCCAAGCGGCTCAAGGACCTGCAAAAGGCCGAGGACGCCGCCGACGAGGCTCTCCTCCGCTTCGGCACCAATATCAGCAACTTCCTCAAGGAGGCCGTTAGCATCGCCCCGCCCACCGACGCCAACAGCCAGGGCGGCGCCGTCATGTTCGAGAGCAAGGACGCGCAGGGCAAGCGGGTCATCCACACCTCGAGGCAAGACGCCCAGCTGCACGTCATCCACACGAGCACCGAGAGCTTCGCAAAGGACCCTGCCACGGAGGAATTCGCGACCTGGGCCAAGACTTTCGACGCGGAGAAGAAGACGGCCGAGATTAGCGACGACTTGAACAAGTACCCCGAACTGCGAACGACAATGGAGAAGCTCGTACCCGACCAAGTCCCTTATGCTGAGTTCTGGAAGAGATACTACTTCCTCAGACATGGTCTGGAGGCCGCCGAGACCCGAAGACGCGATTTGCTCAAGGGTGAGTGAAGGGTATCTTGGATTGTCACAACTGTTTGCTAACTAGACACAGCTGCTTCTGCCGAGGATGAAGTTGGCTGGGATGATGACTCCGATGATGAGGCCACCACCACTACTGCTCCTGCCCCTGCTACCGCCGCCACTCCCGCCCCTGCTGCTGGCGCTGCTCCCAAGACTGAGAAGACGCAAGCACGCCCGCCATCAGCCGAGTCCTCCACTACCATCCAGCCTCCCGCCCAGACCTCCTCCACCCTGAAGCCTGCTGAGTCACGCAAGTCCAACGACGAAAAGTCCCAGGCCGACAGTGACACCAGCTACGACGTTGTCGGTGCCACCTCTGGCGTCCCCAGCCAAGCTCCCAACAGCCCCAAGGACTCCCGCAAGGCCGACGATAGTGACGATGACTGGGAGTAGTAGGATGAGCGTCTACATTTTGCTGACTGGCGTTGAATCTGGGATGGGTTTTTTGGATTTTGTTTTCTCTCTCTGGCTCGAATGGCAAGCTCTTAATTATGCGGACATTTGTACATCAGCCACGCGGGGCTCCTTTGTGAAGCATTTGCTTTTTGGAGAAACCAAAGTCGCGGTGGTGGAGGGGGTATTTCTTCTCTCTCTCTCTCTCTCTGTGTCTTCGCTTCTTTTTTTTTTCTTGCTTATAAGACAAAGTCCTTTATCTCTTCTTCTTGGTGACCGTGGTGAAACCGTCTTCGTCGACCTCGGGCTCCTGCTTCTCCTTTGGCGCACGCACAAGCTGGGGCGCATCGTCCATCTCGACATCATCACCCTCGTCGTCGTCTTCGCTGTCGTCGTCCTCCCAATCGGTATCCTGGTCGCCGGCCTCGACCTTTTTATACAAGCCCTCCACCTTGGCGCCCTTGCGGCTCTCCCACTTGGTGCGCAGCTCGTCGACGGCGGCGAAATTGCCCTTGGCGCACTCGGCGCGCAGCTTGACAATCTGCTCGGCGACGTCGTAGCCCGTCTCGTCGTCGACGTTGACCTCAAACTCGTCGAGCATGACCTGCAGCAGCATGGTCTCGACGTAGCCCGTGTCGGGCTCCTCTGCGGCGGCGGCGGCGGTGGCGGGCATGGCTTGGCCCGCGGCGGTGATTTTTGTAAAGGTGGGAAAGATCTCGGCGACGGCGCCGGCGAACCAGTCTCGTTTGTCGGCGGAATCGGGGCCGCCCCAGTGGTTTTGGACGGCGAGGGTGAGGGCGGGCCACATGTGGAGGGAGAGGGCGACGGCTTGTTCAAAGGTTGACTGGCAGGCCTCTACATTTCGGGTGTTAGGATTTCCAGTGTGGTAGAGATTTTGAGCATCAGCGTGTTTGGATCGTGAACTTGCCTGCCGTGATGGGGGCGGTGGTCGCCATTGTTTGGTGATGCTGCTGCTATTTCGCGGGGTATCAAAAAGTTATGGAGGGGCAGAGTCTGGCTTGGGGTGCGGTGACAGTTTTCGTTGCCAAATTTCCAGATCACAATTTTTTTCCCGCTTCCCCTGTAGGGTGGATAGTGCATGCGACGATTTGCACTGTCGGTTGTGCTGTGTGGGGTTTTCAACGGCCACCTCTCCCATCCCGGTCCCGCTTTCGGGTCTAGCCAGGCGCGTGCCAGGGCCCCGTACGGGCAGAGCAGCTGAAAACACCTGAAAAGGAACCTGAGCTTCTTCACTAACTGACCTTATGTGCAAAGTGGCTCAATTGCCCGCGTCTGAAATGTCGCTTAAATCTCAATAACTCATCTTGAGAAAGCATTGCATATCTTGGCAGCTAGACCAGCTCATTATTCATGATCCTGGCAGCTGGTGATGAAGCTACGGCCGGTTGACCAGGCCCAGCGGACATTGGCTCATCCACTTGGGCGCTGCAAGTGATGTCATCGGTCCCCTATTCCGGTAGTGAGCTCTCAGCCATCTGGGGTGGTGGAAGTTTCAGGGTTGCGGCTATTCTTCTGTGCTTCCCGCTCCGGGCTCCCTCGAAGCGTAACGTGATGGTCTGTTCCACAAACAAGATAGGATCGTCCACCAACTCGTCAAGGGGGGGAGCTTTCAAAAGCCAAGAGATCCCCCGCCGCCGTCCAAGGGGAGGAAGATTCTGTTGCTCCCTTCAGCTTCTGATCTGAGGACTGGACTGGACGCGAGAGAGGAATCATGAACCCGTTGAAGCTCAACACCACGTCGGTGTCATTGGCGGTCACGCCAACCGTCGTATCCACCCTCTTTTCACATGTGAGTCTCTCCCGAATCCCCTATTCACAAACCCACATCAGGTCGGCCCTGAATCTAGCTTTCCCCGGATTTGTTTCGTCACAGGATACGCAATGCAAACCCCACCGCGATAGCTACAGCTCAATGACCATGTACGCAAGTGCAATTGACTGATCCTCAATCTCACAACAGTACCTCAATCGAAAGACCTCAAAGCAAGGGCCCAACTCCCACTTATCCTACGATGAAGGCCTGCACCTCGTCCGATCCTTCCTCGAATTCGCTTCCCACCACACCGTCGAGGAGCTCCAAGCCTTCACGGCCCAATGGGTCCCGCACCCGCAATGGGTCAAGGTAGAAGACGTCGAGATCCCCGAGACCGAGCTCGAGAAGTCGGCCGGCCTGATCGAGGCCCAACTGGGGCCCCGAGGCGTACGGGCCGTGGGAGGTTGCAAGTGGTGGAAGTGGCGGAAGCCCCAGAGCCCCCTCAAGGCCGAGTGGATCGAGATGCGCGCCGACTACCACGAGCGCAAGAAGAACGGCGGCGCGACGAAGAGGGTGATGCTCTACGTCCACGGCGGCGCCTACTTCTTCGGCAGCGTTGACGAGCACCGCTACCAGATGCAGCGGCACGCCCGCAAGCTGAAGGCGAGGGTCCTTGCGCCACGGTACCGCCTCGCGCCGCAGTTCCCTTTTCCCTGCGGCCTCCAGGACTGTCTCGCCGCCTACCTCTACCTCCTCACCGTCCAGGACCCTACCACCATCGTCCTGGCGGGCGACTCGGCCGGCGGCGGCATGGTGCTCTCGATGCTGTGTATCCTACGAGACCGGGGCATCCCTTTGCCAGCGGGCGCCGTCCTCATCAGCCCCTGGGTCGATCTCACGCACTCGTTCCCCAGCGTCTCGGGGGATAATCAGATGGACTACATCCCCTCGTCCGGCTTCCACCACAAACCGTCCCGGGCCTGGCCGCCCCCGAACGAGGACGATATGGAGATGATGAGGGAGCAGGCCATCAAGGCGCGGGCGGGCAAGGAGAAGAGCGCCACGAAGCTCAACACGCTCGAGAAGAAGCAGGCGGCGCCCATCGCACTGGGCGACGGTAACGAGACGCTGGGGGGCACCTCTGACTCTTCTGGTAACGCCGATCCCACAAAGACGGCTCTGCAGCTTTCTGTTACCATTGACGGGAAGCTTACCACAGTCAAGGACCAAATCCAAGTAAGTCTTCCTAGGGGAGCTTCTTCCACCGACATGTTATACTAATAGCCCTTTCCAGATGTACACGACCAACGCCTTACTCTCACATCCCATGGTCAGCCCGGTAATGCAACCGACGCTGGGCGGCCTCCCGCCGCTCCTCATCATGGTAGGCGGCGGGGAGGTCCTGCGCGACGAGCAAATCTACGTGGCCCACAAGTGCGCGAATCCCGCCAAGTACCCGCCGCCAGGCCTCGACGACGCCGGGCTGGCGCAGCTGAAGCAGTACAAGCCGACGGACGTGCAGCTCCAGGTCTGGGACGACCTCTGCCACGTCGCCCCGACGCTCAGCTTCACCCGCCCCGCCAAGCACATGTACCGCGCCGTCGCGCAGTTTGGCGCCTGGGCGCTGGCGAGGGCGCAGCAGACGGAGATTGAGATCCTGGACGACGACGATATCTCCACGATTTCTTCCAGCTCCACCTCGGATTCGGATAAAGAGGACAACCAGACGGAGAACAACGCCGGCGGGGGCCAGCCTCCCGAGCTGGTGGGCAAGGCGGGCATGCCGCTGCCGCCCTTCAAGAAGCACATGATCCGCCAAAAGATCTCCACGCGCGGCGTCGTCTCCGACCTCCCGCCCGAATCCGAGCTGGACGGCTGCGTCATGAAGTCGGACGAGGTCGGCGTCGTCAGGCCCACGCCCGTGAGGCGGTGGCTCGACACCAAAGCCACCTTTGACAAGAAGTTCTCGAGCGCGAAGGCCAAGGTCCACAAGAGCATCATCAAGGACCTGGCGGACGGGTACATGGATTTCGGCGACGGCGAGCAGCCGCCGCCCACGGCGCTGGCCGGTCGACGAAAGGCGTCGGATGAGTTGGTGGACAGGAAGAAGACCAAGAGCATCGGTCTGGCGCTGTGGTCGCTTTGGGGCTCCAAGCACGACGAGACGACTACGAAAAGAGAAAAGAAGGCCGATTCTGATGCCGTCGCCGCCGGCAGGATGTCGCAGCAGACACGGGAGTCGCAGACTTCGCCTAGAGGCGGCGAGGGAGCGAGGTCCTTTGAGGATATCGAGCACCAGGACCCGGCGCCCCTTGGCTCACCTACGGGCAGCAAGCGGCGGTTCGTCCGGGACGGGCATCAGACGGATGAGGAGGAGACGCCAGCTTCCACGCAGATAGAAGAGTTTCAAACCACAGCAGTTGAAGAGACGACAACGACACCGGTAGCAGCCCTCATCGAGAAGAGGAAAGAACAAGAGAAGCACAACGAGCAGGCCGCCGTCGCCGCCGCCGCCGGCGGGAACCACCTGAGCCCGGATTTCGTCCCCGGCGGCACCGGCGTCGCGGGCAAGCGGCCCTTCCTCGACGGCATCGCGCTGCCGTTCAGCCTCGGCAAGAAGGACGCCGAGACGGCGAGCATGGTGACGCTCATGTCGGGCGCCGATAGCCGGCCCATCAGTCCCATGCCGCAGCTGAACCGGTCGGATACGGGCGCGACGACTGACGGGGTGGCGGTTAATGGGAACGGGATATCTGCTTCCGAGGCGAGTACTCAGGTGCCAACGGAGAACGAGAGTGCGAGGCCGCCGTTGGATACCTTTGTCACGGCGGCGGAGGATCTGCCTCTTGCGAAGGGGAAGGGGAAGGAGGTTGTGGGTGACCGGGGGTTGGAGCAGACTGCGTGAGATGTTTGCTGTGTAGATGAGAACAAGTATATAATAGCTTGATTCGTAATGTGTATACAAATTTTGATCACCATAGCTCTGTTGTCTTCCCTTTTTTGGGGGGAATCGTGTTCTCTCGTCCTTGGGGTCTCAATCGCGAATCCTCATACTCCACGAGACCCTGCCGCAATGTTGTTGAATGTGACTTTGTCTTTTTTTACATATTGTTACAGCGTCGAGGGTATATACAGCTCTTGTACACTCTTGTTTTGGGGGTGAGAACGTGATCCTGCCCCTTGTTTCTGGGGTTGTTTTTCGGGTTGTCTCTCCTGATACCGTCTCCCGTCAGCGAGCAGCAACAGGTCTCAATGCTGTGCTTCTCGTTTCCCCTTTCTTATTTTTCTCTCTCTCATCTTCCAGCCATGCAGACTCTCTCTCTCCTCCCCCACTTTAATCCACACCGTTCACCTGCTTCCAGTTCTCCAGGTAGAGCTTGGGGTCGCGGGGACCTTCTTTCGTGGGGTACGATCCCCTCAGGGGCCGCACAGCCTCGGAGACGAAGGGCGTAAGCTATAAACGTCAATCACCCAGTCAGTAAGTACACCCTCACATGCTTCGTGTTTTCGAGAGCAAAAGGGGGGGCGCTGAGCTCTTTCCGTGTACCCGCGGTTCTCTCCTTACCTTGAAATCCTTCAAGCCCTCCGGCACGACGTACGTCCGCACCTTGTGCCACTCGATCACGTAGCCTCCGTACTTTGTGTGGCGACCCATGGCGCCCGTCCGGTTTCCCTTGTAGAAGCCCTTGTTGACGTCCTTGGTCGTCAGCTTCAGGTGCCTGTACTTTAGCACCTGGAGGACGGGTGAGGGTCTCATGATGGGCGGGTTTTGGTTGTCGGCTCTTTCCCGAGCTCGAGGGGATTCGTGGGTGTGTGGTCTGGTTTGCGCTGGGGCTGGACTGGTCAATTGACCTTCTCTCGTCTTCGCTCGTTGCTTTCGTCGGCTGGTTGGTATCGTGGATACGCCTTGATGGCCGGGTTGGGCTGGGTGGTGCAATGGATAGCTTGGTAGGGACCCGAAATTTTGGCGATGCGCGATTGCGACGGATTAAGGGTTCGCCCATTGGCCGATGTTAGATCCCTGTCGGGTTTTTGGCTGCCATCCCTTGCTGTGGGGATAGGTGCGTTCCGCCCGGGTGCACGGACTCGGCGAGTTAATGCAAGTCGGCGCCGGCGGGTGGCGCTTCCTTCCCGGAGGGCTCCGGGACTGCTTACACGCCATCGGAACGGGGGAGAGTAAAGATGGCAGAGCTGCCTCTCACCAATCCGAATAATGGATTGCCATTGAATAGGATACGGTCTTACATATCATTGAAACTGCGGGGCCAGATTCGTGTACACTTACGGAGCATCTGAGCAAGATCCATTCGCTTCTCGAAGCTGTCTATGTACATAGTAGGCCAACTTGAAACCTGTGGCCTTCAGCTCACAAATTGAATAAGTAATCGCCTAGATAAAAGAACTTCATTTGCGTCCGTAACTAAAACTCATCCCCTTGTCTAGGCAACGGTGGCTTCTGTCATGCTCTTTCTGCGTCAAAGGCTGATGTCTCACGACAACAACGGGGTTGGAGTCCATCCAAGGTCGGATTTGGGATTTCTTGCACTTAGAAACCATGAATCTCTTTTGAAATGTAGCGTTTCTTTGTTTGGAGGCTAGTCGTCCTGAGGTTCTGAATGCACTCCTCAAAGAGGCCCGGTTTTCTTGCTTCCCTCTCCCGGAATGTAGTGGACGAATCTCCTATGAACATTTGAACCAAATCGATGAGATCTGGCTTTATATGCCGTTATAATATCGACAAAGTCCCATGAATCTTTTCTCCAACATGCAATGCAGCCATCATACAACGACACCAAGATGGATCTCACTGCTATATTTCGCCCTCGAGCAAGAGTGAGCACTCGGCCCATACCTTCGGGTTGGGTACTCAAGACTCCCACCGGACAATTAGAGGTCCAGAACACCTCTGTACAATTGGAGCTACGTTCCATTCTCCGCCAACTGCAGAAGCATAAACCGCGTCCTCCACGCCAAGGTACAACGTCTACCGCAAAGCCGCAGCCGCAGCCGCAGCCATTTCTGCCGTTCCAAACCGCCCCTCAAGTCTTGGACTCCATCGAAAAAGCGCAGTCGAAATTCGAAACACTGATGCGCTCCTTCACAGGAGGCGAGAGCTCTGCCGTCCGCAACTTCCCCGGCGCACAGGCACCTAACGCCGCGGAAGGCCGTCGGCAAGCAGAAACCCCGGGCAGAGTGAACGCCGAGGCCGCAAAGCTCAGACGCAGACACGACAGATTAGAGCTCGAGTTTCTGCTCTTTCAGAAGCGGATGGAAAATCGCCAGCGTCAGCCCGCTATCGCCAGAGAATGGTGGAAGAGGGAGAGCGCGGCGAGGATCAACCTCGCCAACGAACTCGGTCAGCTGAGGGAAGAGCATGAACGTCTGAAGACCGAGCTTGAGGAGGCCAGAGCCGTGATCAAGAAATTGGAGGAGCAGGTACTTTGATCGTCGATTTCGTCGACAAAGCCGAGACAGGCAGGACCTGCTGCCTCGATCATGAGCTTTATCTTGATGCCTACCAAGAACCCGATACCGATCCCAGCTACTGCTTGAAATGCGCAAACAATGATGGTCTGATAGAGTGTTTGAAGATCGAGTGTCTTGAACGCTCTAAGGGCGAGGGCAAGGTTTTCCGCTTCCCTCGAAGGCGTCATTAGAAGAGGGAACATTGTTGCCGGGAGGGCGGTGCTGCTGAGAAACCGGGCGCGGCGCATTGTGTTGATTCCTTCAAACGAGTATGAGAAAGTACGGATCATGGTACAAATTGGGTGGAAAAGGTCTGACTAGGAGTAGAGGTATCAATCAAGTATTGTTAGAAACTCCAGAATCACTGGGTACGGCCGAGATCCCATCCCCCTTCCACATGAAAAGATACATATACTCATGACTACATAGATACATTACCTTGTTAACTCGGAGTGAGAAGAAATTTTTACTTTTGTCGTGTATTTCTCCCTGAATCGAGATCGTAAAGCGAGTCCTGAACAGTGATGAGCATCCATCAAACGCCTCCCTTTGGTGATGGAAGGTCACGATATACTTGGTAAGCGTGGGGGCTGTCAAACGTAAGCCATTGAAGCCAGATCTAACTTGGCAAGTGGAGGCGTACGCTATTTCTATATATTCGCCTTCCTGCCAAGGCATTCGTGGTCCTGGAGCTGTGAACTAAGCATTGTGCAACTCGGCGTGGAAGCGGGCCCGGTCGGCATCCGGGACCCACTATCTGTCTGCCGGGTCCGGTAAGACCTCTCCGGTGCCGTCTTCTCATGTTCCACCTCAGGCAAAGTGGAATATGGGCGATAATTCGACTAAATCCTTGGGAAACTCGAGAATGCTTCACAGCCTATCGAATATCCGATTCTGGCAGCACTGGACATTTCTTTAGCCTAACAGTCAGTCGAGAGACAGAAGAAAGCGGACCGGGGAAAAGTGGGACGGCAGTGCAGTTTTGATGGAACGCTGCATCTCCACTTCACTACATTCTCACGCTTGCCACTCTCATTCTCATCCATCTCATCCATCTCACCTGCCACTTTATGATCTCATCATTGTGGACCGCTCAAACATACAAGACAGATAATCAATCCCGTAGACAGATCCCCTAACCTCACCCACAACACGACTTCACCGCCATTCACGAACCCGCCAACATGGTTCGTCACGACCCCCACGCCAACCACCCCGTCGGCCTCCTCGTCGAGCCAAACTCGGACGGCTACGTCGTCCGCCGCTTTCCCCACGACCACACGGATCTCTACGGCGAGAACCCAACCAATCTAGAACTCCCCGGCTCCCACGGGCCCCTCAACCTCGTCCACGTACGTTGCCACAACGCCATCACCCGGACCACCCTCGCCAACACCAACATCACCGTCCGCACCATCCAATTCGGGGACGACGACGACGAGCCCGTGGCGGCTCTCTCCCACCACACCGACTCCCTCGTCATCGCCGTCCACGGCGTCTGCCCGCCCCAGAACAGCCCGGACCAACCGCCCACCAAATCCGCCGTTGGCGTCCACCTCGGCCCCGGCAACCCGCTCAACCGCGCCTGCCGCATCCCCGACGCCAAAGACCGGGGCCACGTCATGAAGGACACGGACGGCAGCGACGGCCGCGACCGCCCGCAGCACACGCAGCAGCGCGCCGACCTCTACGCCGCCATCGTGGGGTTGATGGAGGCGACGACGATCGCCACCAAGGGACTGCCCACCATGCGGTCGTTGTCACGGCGGTCACAGCCGTCCTTCAAGTTGCACCACGTCGTCGTCAAGAGCGACTCGGCGTATCTCGTCGAGGGCGTCGCGGGCGGCAGGAACGGCGAGCCGCCGCACATGAAGAAGTGGCTCGCCAACGGGTGGAAGAACACAAAGGGCGAAAAGGTCAAGAACGAGGATCTGTGGGATAATTTGATGCTCACCATGATGTCGCTGGGCCAGGCGGGCGTGGCGGTGGAGTTTTGGCAGGTGCCGAAGAAGGAGAATAAGGAGGCGGACCGGCTTGCCAAGGCTGCGCTCGAGCAGGAGGTGAATTTCTTTGACGAGAAGAGTATCTTTGGTAAGGAGATAAGTAAGGACGCTGATGCGGACAAGCCGGTTGCGACCGGTGATGAGTTGGTTGCGATGGAATGATGATACACTTGCAGGCTGATGGGACTACGTTTGGAACATTTGGGGCGCACGAAAAAGTGGTTTGGATTTACCGTGAATCTACAGGAGTCGGATAGCGATGTTACATTAGATTGTAGTAGAGGTTTCAACGCCGGAAAGCAGTGGCATTGCTTCCGGCAAGCGGAAGGACCTCAATCACAGGCGTCTCGAAAATCTCCCAGTTATCCGACGCCTTGGGGTTACCAAAGGCCTTCAAAGCCGCGATACGCCACCTAGTTCGTGGGTGTTAGTCTACGTGGCCACATGATGGTATGAAACCCAGGTGAAGGATGACTTACTTGTACTTTCCAGGCTTAATCTGGCTTCCATCCGCCAGCTTGCCAAGCCACCACGACTCGTAGGGGGAATCGCGAGACTGGTCCTGCAGAGGATAAGAGAAGGTATTGTTCACGCTGTCGGTGGCCGGGTCGAAGACGGGGTAGTTGACGCTGTTGTAGACGTCGAAGCTGGCCACAGAGCCGACGTACTTATTCTCGCCGACGACGGGAGGGTATACCCACTCGCGCTCTTGGTAGGTGGGTTCGTAGACCTGCAGAGAAGACGAGGGTTAGTATTCCCTCGGTTCTTTGAGAGGGGAAAGAATCTCTGCTTACATCCCAGCGGACCTGGCGGGAGCCCCAGGTCAGAGCGACTTGGAGCCTTACAAAGTCTTGTTTGGCGAGGGAGAGGTCAAAGGTGAAGCTGATGATGGGTGTAAGTTTGTTGTCTCCCTTCACTTGTATACCTGGAAACCGTACCTAGGCTTCTCAGAGAGAGCGGTGCGGTTGACACCAGACGAGACACGGGGGTATCCGTAGGAGGTGTAAAACATATCGGCAATGTCATGCTTGATGCTACCGCCGACACCTTTGTACCTCTTGTCAGTGAAAAAGCTCAGCGCAAAAGGGGGAAACCAATGTTCACCATAATAGGGCACCGAGAGCACATCGCCGGCGCTCGATCCGATGAGAATCTTGCCGCTGAAGACGGGAAGTCTCGAAGCGTTGAGACCTTGGGGAATATCAAAGGAGAACCTTCGTCTCAGCGTTAGCCACGGCTGTCTCCATTCAGCTTCCCAACATTGGAAAAGAGGCAACTCACTTCGCAGTCTTGGTCTGCCCAGGCCCAACCTTGAACCCGCCCGCCGGCAAGCTGACAACAGCCCCAATCTTAACCGGCTCAATCTCAACAAGATCCTTGATACGCGGCACAGCCGAGATCCCAGCATCAGCAGCCTCAGCAGTCCAATATGCCTCGAATCCAGCGGCATTCTGCACCGTGAAAATATACTCGAGCTCCGTCGGGCCGGTATTCGTGATATCGACCTGGTGGTACCGCGAAAAGTGATGCGTGTCGTTCAACGCAAACTTTGTCTCCCCGGACAACTGCGACGTGGCGTTCAACACGGAGACGGCATCAATCAACCCGCTACCGACCTGGATCGGCGGCGCCCAGAACCCGAAATCCTTCGTCGTGCCGTCGGACCACGGGATCGCGCGGCCCGAGGCGACAATGCGCGCGTGCAGCGCCCTAGCAAAGCCCGCGCCGTGGATGGAGCGGCCGCCGCGCGCAGAGATATACAGCGCCGCGACGCCGGCGACGTACGGGCAAGCCATGGACGTTCCCGACAGGTCGCGGTAGCGGTGGCCGATGAACGGCGCAAAGATGCGCCCGCCCGGCGCCGTGACGTCAGGCTTGAGCTCGAGGTCAAAGGTACCGCCCCACGAGGTGAACTGCGAGGGTTTCCCGCCGCCGGCGTTGTACATGGCAACGTAGTTGCTGTTCTGGTCGAGCGAGAAGTCGGCCGTGACGCTGCCGCCGGCGATGACCGTCTTGACAATGGCCTCGCCCGCGTCCTTGGACAGGAGGCCCCATTTGCTCTGTGCCCAGCCGGAGCCCGAGAAGCCGACGACGGGCCGGTCGGTGAGGTAGAAGAGCATGAAGCGCGCGCCGCGCTCCTGGACCCATCGCTGGCGGATGTAATCCTGGCACCCCTCGTCGAAGCGCACGAGCGGGATGGTGTTTGTGAAGTTGAGACCCTCGGGGAGCGGCGAGCAGGCGTCGTTCTCGACGCTGATGTTGAGCGTGACGGGGACGATGGGCCAGCCGACGATCTCGGCCGGGAAGAGCTCCTCGGCGGGACGGTAGCCGAGGATGGTACGGTTGGACTGGCCGTCGAGCGTGAATGTGCCGGCGAACTGGCGGGCCGAGACGATGGAGGCGTCGGCGGAGCCGATGGCTAGCACGTCTTTGCCGGCGGCGCCGCTGCTGGGGAAGAAGGGACCGACGTCGCCCGAGTTGCCGGCGGCGATGGTGACGACGACGCCCTGCTCGACGATGCGGGAGGCCACGAGGGCCCAGGCGTTGTCGGACCAGCCGCCGGTGGAGCCGACGGAGGCGGTGATGATGTCGACGCCGTCGTCGTAGGCGCGCAGGAAAGCTTCGATTAGGACTTCCTCAGCTGTGCCCTCCTGAGAATTGATGTCAGCATGTCTCCAAGGGACGGGGGGGATCCAGACTGAGCAACTCACATTAGGGCCGAAGACCTTGTATGAGTAGATTGTGGCTTCAGGGGCAACTCCGGTGAACCTATTGACGCGTTTAGCTAAGGCTTTCGTTTCCCTGACCAAGCTAGTCCTGAGACGTTGTCACATACTCGGAGCTTTTGCCGGCAATGATGCCAGCGACGTGCGTTCCGTGACCGGCCTGGTCCATGGGGTCCTCATCAGGTTGCCGCTCTGCTCCGGGATAAGGCCAGTTCGCTGCTCAAAGTTAGTTCCATCGTCAGCTCAACGTGTAGTAGTCATGAACTCACTCTCGTCACCGACAAAGTCATACCCAGCAGCAACCTTACAACCCTCACCAAAGCACCCACCAAGCTGTTTTGTCACATGTCGTCAGTTCCTGAGATCTCATCATTCACCACTCCCTCCCCCAGACAGCCACAGAAAAGAGAGAGAGACTCACAGCAGGATGCGTATACTCCGTCCCCGTATCAACAACGCCAACCTTGACGCCCTTCCCAAAGATCCCCTGCTCATGGAGCTTGTCCACGCCCGTCATCCAGTGGATCGAGTAATTGAGCGCCCTCGCATCGTCGCTGAACGACTCCCCCGCCACGACGGGCGCGAGCTGGATGCGCGTCGAGTGCCACGCCTTGACGACGGGCACGATCGCCTCGAGCGAGTCCGTGTTCTCGCTTTCCGACTCGACGGCGATGCCGTTGAAGAGGGACGAGTCAAAGACCTTGAGGATCTTGCTGCCCGGGTCGTTGGCCTGGAGCTGCTGGACTACGGCATCCTTGTCGGCTCCCTATCAGGCGTATTAGCATGCGTCCTCTTACTAAGGTAGTCTGATGGTTTTCTCCTGTGGTCAGGAAGTAAGAAAAACGAACCTGCTCGAGTTCGACAATGAACTTCTTGGGCGCGACAGCTGTGTCGTTGGAAGGACGAGCATCTTCGTCGATGGCGCGCCGGGAAACTCGGGCTGTTCCCGCGCCGGCCAAGGCCAAGACGGAGATGAGGGCACTCGCGACACGCATAGTCGGTCAGTCGGTATGAAAAACGAATGTGAAGTCTCAAACGAAACGATCGTTCAGAAGAACCAGCCAGTCCCTGACTTTTCCTCTTCCTCTCAACGACATATTTGCCGGGTGATGAAGACCATTTATGAGAAAGAGAGCCGTTGGCAAACATGCCCGCTCTCGCGTGATACCATAATAGGACCTCTTGACGATCTCGTATCGACAATGTCGACACCACGACACGCCATGCACCCAGCGTGAAGAAACCCCGGTCTCCCATCCTCTTTCGGCAGTCGTCGCAGCGACATCTCCACCCCCGAGGCGACCTCACCTTGGAAGCCAAGCAACGCCGGTCCACACCTGGGCTGGGCGTCCAACACCCAAATCCTACGTATCACATCCCGTACCTTGCAGCGACCTGCCGTCTTGAGCTTGGTAACCTAAACCTTGACTCTATTCCCGCCCATATCTTTAATTTTCGGTATGCACGCTAGCAGACGCGCATCTTCGTATTCTGGAAATTCCGGAGGGATAAAGTCGGAAAGCACAGCGGCCTCGGAGTCCGGTGCCTATTATCGCGAGTACCGCGCTTTAGGTGCCAAGTTCCTTCGGGTGAGTGGTGCCAGAGTCGCAGCTTGCTTCGGAATGAGCCGTGGAGTTATGAGGCGATTGGTGTTCGTTTGGAGAATGATCCCACCTACCCCGCGGCGAATCACTCAATGGAAGGTTAGTTTAGGGCCTGGATGGAAATATGTAAATGGGCGTACTCACATCTTCTCAACAAGTCGAGGCGGTGGTTTAATCTGTTCGTCACGGTTCAGTCAAGGCAAACGCAAAGGGATCAGGAACTCATTGATTGCAAAGGTATTATTCATGATTCAAGAATAAATAAAAAAAAGAGCGAGGACATAGCGTGAGTCTAAATCTAAATAATTTTCCATGAGCGTTGTTGCCGTCAAAGATTGGTTTTCGCCTCCCAACCTCCCGCCGCTCTCTGCAACTCTCAACGAGGCCAGAGAACGGCGTGTATGTGTTTTGTTAATGAGAATGAGAAATAACATGCAAAGTGACGGAGGCTTTTTTGCCCCTTCGTCCCTATTTTCCCCCTCGGCTATGCGAGCGCTCGCGCGAGAGAGCCAATTCGTAGACCATGAACGAACGCTTTTGTTCAAACGCGATAGTTATGTGTGTGTATATAAAAAGAAGTTATACATCATTATACAACCAAGATAGGCCCCATAAGTCGGAAGTGAACCGGACCCCTGACCCAAAGACCAAACGTGACAAGAGGCGCGGCGCGGCGCGGCGTTTTTGTTTTGCGGCGCAAAGCGCATCGCGGCCTCCGGGTATTTGTGTTTTTTGTTTCGCATCGCAGTAATATTTGCATGATCTCTTTAAGGCTTTGATACCTGCTCCTTTCTGAAGAACTTGAAGAAGAGGATGGGGATCACCAGCTGGAAGCCCAGGCAGATCCAGAACCAGTAACTTGAGACTCCGGGCATCAGGCCCTGGGAGAAATCAGGGAAGGTTGTGTTGGGCGAGAGAGCGTTGGGACTCGTCGCGCGCGCCAGCATCGTGAAGGCACTGCCCACAATTTGAGCGCCGATGAGAACGGCCAACACGTGCTGGCGAGTCAGCGTCGCGAGCAGCATCATACCCAGACCGACACCCTGGATGTTGTCCAAGAGGCCAAGCCACAGCCACAGGCAGCGAGACAGGATGGCCGAGCCAACAGGGCCACCAGCCCAGGGAAGGTACATGCCCATGCTGCTGGTACCCCAAAGCATCTGCGCCCAACGAGGAGCGCACAAGCCGATGGCGAAGATTGGCAGAAGCCATGTGTGGCTCTCGGAGAAGAAGGAGAAGACGTAGAGGATGATGGACCAGAGGACGACGAAGAATCCAAGGGCGAGAAGAACAACACCCCATCCAGGGATAAACTGCGAGGAGAAGAGGAAACCCCAGTTGCGGCCGTAAGGCGCCGACAGCCAGTAGTTCTGGATGATGATCATGATGAAGAAGACGGGTACAAGCTTGCGGCGGGCGAGAGAGATGTAAAATCCAGGGATGTTGTCGGGCGCCTGGCGATAGTAGTCAGGAAGACCGAAGAACAGGACAAGACCGATGGACCAGAGCATGATGGCGATAGGAATACAGACGACAATACCCTTGGAGATATTGGTACCGTCGAAGAAGGCCAAGGGGGAAGTCTCCGGGGTGTGAGTAAGAGATCCCCAGTACCAGAGCATCAGGGAGTAGACCTGAGCAACACCAGCGACGGCCAAGGCACGAGTAATCCATTGCTTCGTGGGAGCACCACCTTCGTCACCAAAGTTGAGTGCGAATGACAGAGCACCAGCGCTGGCGCCAGCAGCATAAATGGCAGTGGCGGCGTCTTGCATAGCAGCGCTGGCTTGCCAAGGAGTCAGGTAAGGCGAGATTCCCAGGAGAGCGAAAGCGAGGCCGAAGAAGACCCAGGGCAGAGACAAGGCGTAAACGGACTTGGTGAAGCGCACCAGGATCCACCACAGGGCTGATGTTACTAGGTACGTTGCGGCAACGATGTAAAGCTTCAGAGGCGTCTGGTTGGTGTCACCCGTAAGCAGGACGATCTGGTACGAGTTGATGGAGATAACTTGAGCGAAGGCGAGGAAGAAGGCGTAGATGGGCCAGTCGCCGATGCGAATGGACAGGATCTTCTTGAGACCAGTAGGCGCGTTATAGTTGTCGCCCAGAAGGAACTCGTCGTCGACAGGGCTGTCATCATAGCGAGACGCTCCGGTGAGACCACTAGGAGTGCGACTACGGCCACGCTCATCGACGTCGAACTTGGCACCGAGTCCCTTGCTGGAGCCAGGGCGGCTGCCAGGCGCAGGGCTTCTTGACCTGCTGTGATCTCTGCGGCCGAGCTTGGCGTCTCTGTATCTTGCGAACCACTTCTTTTCACTCTTCTTGAGATAGTTTTCGATGCACAGGTCTGTGCCTGAGTTCTTGGCTGTAAGCTTGTTAAGCATCTGTTCGAACTCTGCGTAGAACTCTCCGTTCTTATCAGTGAAGTTCTGGTCCACATTCTGCAGCTTGAGGTCGTGGCGATCACCGACGACATCGGGCAGGGACAGCTGAGAGCTGTTGCGCTGCTGCTTGTAGAAACTCGGCTGGGGCAGGCCAAGAGCGTCGCCGAAGCCGGGAGTCTGAGGAGAGGAGATGTCGTTCTGGGCGCGAATCGCGAAGCTGTCAACACTAACCATACTCTCACGACCGCTGGCAAACATGCTGTCGCGGGGGGCAAGCATGCTGTCACGGCCACCGATTGAGCTCGAGAAAGAGCTGCGTCGGGAAGAGGAGATCGTCGACCACGGCATGTTGGGTGTCTGGAGGTCGGGAGAGTTGAGGCGGCCCGCAGGGCTGGCGATACGGCTCGGCGGCGGGAGAGGTGAGGGAGCTCTCGAGCCAGTGGGGGTGAGCTCAGCACCGTACTCGCTGACGGCAACGCTTGATCTCAAGGAAGAGTCGGTAAGGTTGCGAATGCCGCCAGCCTTCTTCTGCTTGGCAGCCTCCTTGTTGTGAACCTTAATAGAGTCGTTGTACAGAGTGTCGAGTTGTCTGATCCATTGCGCCACGGGGAAACGCTGCTTGGCACTCCATGCGCGCATAAGAGCACGCTTTCTAGGCTTGCAAGCAAGAGCTGAAGCAATGGCCTGCTTGAATTGGTGAAGCAAATGCTGGGGACTCATTGACTCAACGGTGAACCAAAAGCCAGGCATCTGGCCCAGGCCACCAACACGGGCACCAACACCCAAGGCACCCTTGCGACCGAACTCGACGGCGACAAGACCGAAGGGCTCGTCACGAGAGGGGATAAGAGCGAATTCAGCACCGCTGAAAATGTAGGGAGGCAGCTGAGTGAACTCAGGCTTGCTGAAAACACGGCCAGGGTACTTCTCCATGAGCTTGGCCAGCTTGAGGGCGGCGAACTTGCCGTACAAGTCGATGACTGGGCCAATAGCAATAAGCTGAACAGAGGGGTACTTCTCGAGGATGCTGGGGAACAGATCGGCAATCAGATCGACACCCTTTTGCAAACTCCATCTACCGACGAAGACGAAGAGATCCGCATTTGGGTTTACATCGAGACCGGCCCACTCTTGAGCTTGTCTTCTGAGGGTGGCGCGGTTGGCTTCGAAGGTCTCATCGATCTTGATCTCGTCGGTGGAGTTGCTGATATCCTCCTCGGGGTTCCATTCTCCAGTATCGGAAGGATCCGGGTTGGGGAGCTGACCAATGTTCTTCAAACTCCAGAAAATGGGGTAACGGGCCAAAGAACGGTCACCGTACTTCTTGGACACACCGACGGCACCAAAACCGCGCTGGTGGATACGAAGGTAACTGGCGGCGGCGTGCAACAGGTTGAAGGCGGAACCGTACTGAACGTAGTCCTTGACGACCTTGGCGGGAAGGTTGAAGACGCTGTAGACTTCCTTCTGCTCTTCTTCGGTTCTCATGGGCCACATGCCCTGGAACTCGGCATTGTGAAGCGACAAGCAGACGGGGATGGTCTGCGGGAGGAGGTAGAGAGGAGCAGCAGCTCCGTGGTAATCGTTGATGTGGTAAATGTCGGCGTTGAAGCGCTTGATGGATTCGGCGATACAGCTGTTCCAGGCACAGTATAGGATGGCACTCTCGAGATCGTCCATACGCGCGATGTAGGGGTCGGCCTTGGTTTGCTGGCGGAAGATGGGAGCATCGAGGAGGACGTACGTGATGTTCTTGTAGACGTGGTAGTTGACCTTGACCTCGAAGGAGTCGCCCATGACTTCAACGAACATCGGTTCGGCTTCGTGGTCCATGGGGTAGTCGACGTCGCCAACGCAAGGGACAACCCAGATCAGGTCCACGTGGGAGAGAGCTTGACTCATGAGCTTGGCCATGACACCAAGACCACCGATCTTGATGCTGATCTTCCAGTCGTCGATGTTGTACTCCATGGTGGCGATGAGGACCTTCCTTCGGGGGGCGCCACCGGTGGCTGCAACGGCAGCTGGCGTGACGGTTGGCGATGGAGGAATTTGGGACATCTCGAGACTTTTGCCTTTTTCGCCGAAGTTAATGTTGGACTCATTCCCGAGCTTGAGTGGTAACCAACCCTTCTTGGAGAATCCTGATTTGTTAATCTTAACTTGGTAGAAACCCTTCATATAGATCCAGCCAGCCAGTCCAGCCAGGATAATGGGCATGAGGCCGAGGAGGAAAAAGAAGACAATCTGAATCCACATGTTTCCTTGGGGAACGGCGACGTAGTTCCAGTTGGCGTCGTTGAGAACCAGCTTGTAGGAAAGCGCAGGCATCGGGGGCGGCGAAGTCAGGTTCACGACGTTGTCGGACAAACTGCTGGGGGGCAGACGGTCAAGGACACCATCGCCGTTGGGGTCGCCGTAAATGAAGGACGCATCAGGTTGGTTGTCAGGGTTGATGCCCCAGAGGTTGAGCTGAATCTGGGCGGGCCATTCGTACATGAAGTGAAGCTCCCACATGTTGTCGCCGACTTGGGTCATCAGGTTAGGCAGGCCAGCATCGTAACCCCACTTGTTAAAGGGTCCGTGGAGGAAAATGTGAGGGAAGCGACGCGAGAAGGGGATGACACTGTTGTCCGCATGCTGGATAAAAGACGACGAACCAAGGGGCTTGCTGAAGTACTGAACCATGAGATGCTCACCCTCCCACTTCTGGAGGTCGGTACCCTCCCAGGCTTGGGGGACCATGCGCTGCCTCGCACCAGTGTAGGGCATCCAGCTGCTCCAGGAAGAACCCCAGTTGGTGCTGTAGCGCCACTTGTTAGCACCAGGGGCGGCATGGTTGATGAAGTATTCAGTGCCGCTTTGCTGCATCAGAGACCGCGAGTAGTTGGCGGAAGCGGGGAAAACAACGGGGTTGATGGGCTTGCCAAAGCGGAGGAGGAAGTGATCCGTGGTGTTTGTGACTCCGTCGACAGTGATCTTGACAATGCCATCAGGGACGTTCTGGAGGTTGGCAGACCACTTCCAGACTGAAGCAATAGCGCCCGTCCACGACTCCTTCTCAATGGGATCCATAGCACCGCACACAGGGGTATCGAATGTGATGTTTGTCTGGGTGTTGGCGTCGACGTTGACGTAGGCAGAAACGGCCTTGGTGACATCGGCGCAAGTCATCTCGGTCGAGAACTTGAAGGCGATGGGAATCTTTCCGTTGGCATCCGTGGAGTCAATGGGAGTGTCATGGCCAGGCTCGAAACCGGTAATGGAAGAAGCAACCTCCAACCACTCGGTATCAGGAACGTAAGCGCGGAACTCGAAAGGCGTCATGGTGATGCTGCTGAGGCAGCCGGCCTTGTGACCCGCTCCCTTGAAGCCGTTCTCCTTTGTCGAACTCTCGAGAGTGATGGAGGCATCGGTGCTGAACAAGTTTCTGACCTTGGTGTTGCCGTCGAAGGGCGAGAGGAACGCATCTGCCTCATTGCTGCAGTCAAACTCGTAGGTGGTCTCGTTGGGGCTGTTGTGGTAAACCAGCCAAACCGGGTCACCAGTCTTGTTCTGGTTGCTCATATAGCCACGCGCGACACTCCAGATTCCGGTCTCGGTTGCAGTGGGACTGCCCGAGTACAAGACGCCATGAGTCTTGTTGGAAAGCTGCTCAAGGAGCCAGCCACCCTCAAGAACGGGATATTTGTCGCGGAAAGAGAACAAGCGCTTCATCCAGTTGCGTACCGAGGCCGAGGGATCACGGTGGTCGTACGCGACAGTCTCGTCCTCACAACCCTTCTTGCCCTTGGTAATGGGCCAGCCGACGTAGACGGAATTGTTGCCCGCGTAGCATCCGTGTGCTTTCCATGCCTGGGCGGCCGAGAAGGCCTGACGACCGAAAACGTAGTTCTCGGCAGTGTTGTCCAAAACATAGAAGTTCTGTTCCTCGCCATAGTAGACGAGCGGAGCACCGGGAAGAAGCAGGGTGGTGATGAAGTAGGCGAGCAGCATGCGCTCAGTTCCCTTCTCAATGGCGGGCCAGCGGAAAACGTCCTGGTTGGTGACACCATACAAGTGACGGGGGTCGAATTCTCCAGTGTTGGCGTTGTAGAAGTCGTTGGTGAGAATCATCTGGTTCCAGGTCTGAACCCAGTCGGTCGGCAGATCGTAGCCGGCCTCGAGATGACCGCTCAAACCGAGGAAACGGGTCATGAAACGGTAAATTGAGTAATGGAACGCGCCAGCGTCAAGGGCGCTCTTGCCTTGCTCACGAATGAAGCTGCCAGAGGTGGAAGAGCTGTTTGAATCCAGGTTCGTGGCGTCGGAAAGCTCGAGTGCGGAGGCCATGGAGGGGGTTCGGCCACGGCCCAGGTAGATAGATCCCAGAGTGTTACCACTGGTAATCTCACCGACGACCATGAAGTTTTCCTTGCCAAGGTCCTTTGCACACTTTCGCATGGCGGTACTCCACTCAGCCTGGGCATCGACTGTGACCTGAACAGCCTTGTCGATACGGAATCCATCAATGTCGAGGGTTTGAATGGTCATGCAGGAGAAGAGCTCAAGACGCTGGCGAACTGAGGGAACCCACTCACGCAGACGATCTTGCACGGAGGCGAACTTTGCCAATTGACGCTGCCAATCAGGGAAAACACCGAAAGCCTCAATGTCACCGTACTGATCAAAGTCACTGTCGTAGCAGCCTTTCAGCTGAGAAGAGACGTCGACCTTGTTTCCGTCCTCAAACCAGAAAGTCGGGTACGTGCAGGAGTCATTGTATTCGTTGCCGATGTCGAAGTCGAGGTATCTTCTGGATGTCTTCCACTGAACCTTGTGCTCCGAAGTTGAGAATGGAGTGGACGTGTTGAGGTATCCTTCGAAACCGATCAAATCACCCATGCTAGAGGCGGTGAGTAACAGAAAAGAGGCCGACGTGAGCCATCGAATACTTACGTTGCCATAGTCTGGTCCATGACCACATACATCCCTCTCTTGTGAATCTCATCAATAGCTTCTTGCCACGCCGTGATGTTACCATAGTGCTTGTCGAGGAGAGTGAGGTCGAGGGGCTGCGAAATGTCAGTATTCGCGTCACTGCCGTGGATCGTGTGCTCCTAGGCTTTTATCGTACCGAGTATGAATCCGCCTTCCACGGGTCGTTGATGAACGGTGAACCAGCAATGTAGAGTGCCTTGATCCCCATGCCCTGAATGTAATCCAACGTATCGACGAGGCCAGCCAAATCTCCTCCGTGACGGAGCTGGTTACTCATGATATCATGTTCGAAAAGTGTGCCGTTGGCATTGTCGTTATCGGGGTCGCCATTTACGAATCGATCGATGAATAACGTGTAGTAGGGAAACCGCCAGTTGGGGGGTGATGGTGTGAAGGTGTGGCCATCTCTCTTTCCTGAGTATTCGGCAGGGCTCTTTGCTAATCTGTTGGTGTTGAGGTTGTAATCGACTTCGCTCGCGGTGTATTTGAGGCCTGAAACGAGGGTTGATGATGTGGTAAGGAGTGTAAGTGCCCAAGCCAATACTGAATTAGACATTTTGTGTGAACTCTTACTCGCCGGGAGGGGCGAGTGAGCAAAAGATTGTACAAGCAAAAAAAAAGACAAACAGGAATGAGTGACGAAGTGAAGCTCGAAGGAGTGTGGTGGTGATGGGATGGGGGGAGGAGAGAAAGGCCGCGAAGCAGACCAGCAAGCAAGCAAGAACGAATGACGGGATGGGTTGCAAGGCAAAGCGCGGGACGGATGGGAAGAAAACTCGGCCGTCAACGCCACGCTGGTACCGGTAGAAAAGGGGGTAATCTCGTAGGAGCTTGGGTCAGTCCAATTGCAATATGCCCCAGGCTGAAGGCGGAAAGGGGGATCACTGGCGAAGGCACAGGCAAAGGCACAAGAAGCACGGGCACAGGAATTGAGGGAACAGGCACATGGTACAATAGCAGAGTGGCTGGGGGGGCCACCGTAGAAGAGTCCATGGAAAGGATCTTTCCGTCCGCCTCGCCTCTCAAGGCTCCAGTCTGACACTGTCAGGTCTGCGAGTCTTGGTCTTGGGTCTTGGTTCTTGGGTCTGGGGGGCGAGAGTGGGATGGGGATGGGGAAGGGGATGCAGGCGAGCAGGCCGCAGGGCCGCAGGGCATCGATTCCGTGATGGGCGGATGGGGCTTCCTTCTGCAGGAACGGGCCAGCCGAATCGTTAGCCCTTTCTCTCGGAAGCAGGACCTCGCTGTGCCTCTTCTCCAGTTTCCACTGTCCAGAGAGCGAGTCTGTAGGCCGTGGGTAGGGAGTATAAAGTAAGCGCAGTAAAGAAAAGGCAAAGAAAGGTACCTGTGCCTGCTCCTCTTGTTCGTCAGACCCCTCTCTCTTGGTACATGACAATGTGGCTCCGGGGGTGTAGTGGTCAGGGCTAATTCTGGCTATACGAAGTTTGGAATATGGATATGCAAAGGGTGCAGGCAAGTGCCTGGGTGGGAGCGAACCATGAGTGCGATGGGAGATTGGCGGGCTCCGTCTTGAATTACCATTTTGGACAATATCCACAAAAGAGACTGTCCAATACGGTGGCCCCGAGGTCAGCGGCGAACAGGGGCGAGGATGTCATTCTGGCCAGTGTGCGCGTAGCGTGTTGAAGACCAAGGATAAGCCGGCACGGTCTGGTGCATCTTGTTGGTCGGTTCGGGCGAGCTCCGTCGTCGGTCCAAGTATCCGCTGTCAAGTAGGGCCCCTGGCTCCAAGGACGTGCTCTCCTGTATCGAGTCAGTTTTGCTTCGGGCGGTACCCCCAGGAAGAATACGAGACGTTGGAGACGAACCAGGCTGTCAGGACGGGTGATCCATGCTGTCAAAGATTATCCAGAAAACAGTGATTTCCCAGTCGGGAACAGTTGGAGACTTGAGGCTCAAGGGGCCGGACCCGTTCAAAGGCGGTGGGCAACGGGAGGTGCGAGGTGCGGCGTGCCTGGCCTGGCCTGGCAGGCAGGCTGAGGGTGGGCGTTGTGGCCGCGTCGTTGGCAGATGGAAATCGGAGGGGTTCATCTCAACTAGCATAAACCGTTTATGCTCAGAGGGCGATGGTGTGGCACCCCGTCCGTACTGGCTACTGCTAGCTCGACCGGCTGTTGCTGCTTCCTGTCTAACAAGTCACCAAGTCTTTCAGGACTAAAGGTGCTGTAGTGTACGGAGTATCTCATGGTAGTTTCGTACTGTGTAGTAAGGCGCCTTAGTGCGGCGTAGACTTGGGCCAAGCCAGGAACAGGAACACGTCGGGCGCGTTTGTCTGATCGTGATCGTGACGTCGACTCGTGGGGAAGCTAACGCAGGAGGAAGCGACAAGTCTGCCATGGCGGCATGGAAGGATTTGAGAAGGAAGGTCGAGAAAAGCAAATCAAATTTGATCTTGTCCTGCCTAGACCGCGCGCATTAGCATCCGGGTCGCCAGCAGTGCTAAGAAATGCGCTTTTGAGCCGTGACTACAGCTTACCTAATGTCGCACACAAAAAGTGATTAAGTAGGTACTTTGGTGGATGCAACAGCGCCGAAGAAAAGGAACAACACTGAACAAAGAGTGGTCCCAGCCCTGGGGAACTGCACATGGAGCTTGGAATTATTTTCCCCGAGTGACACCGTGTGACAGATTGCAATGCGGGAGGAAGAGAATGTCGAATGTCTGATGTCTCCCGAATCCTACTGGGGAGAAAGGCTGAGGCCAGGCAGTCAGTCTGAACTTCTGAAGGATTAACAGCGGCCGTTGCAATCATTGCGCTGAAAACAACTCCTCAGCCACGGGAGATCCACTTGGCGGTGTCTTGGCCAATACTTGGCTCCAAATCAATCAATGTCAGCCACGCTCAAGACATAGTGTGGCTTCCTTCCCTCAAGCCCTGCCGCTCCTGCTGTCCTTGACTCCAGTCTACGAGTTCCTTTGTGAGTTTGAGGATTCCTTTGCTCGCCTGCCACCTGCCACGCCGGCAAAGAGTACGTCTCAAGAAACTCCACTACTGTGTAAGGTACCTTACTGCGTTTCCAGCTCTTCCCTTGTCCAGCTATTTTGTACTCATGTACGTACCTACACAGTGCTGCGGTGGAAGCAGGGTCCCTGGACTTCTCAAGGACTTGACCCACTTGGGCAGGAGGAGGTAGCCTCGAATAGGACGGCTGGGACCGGGGTACCAGGGCCAGGGGTCGGTCGGAGGAGCACCTGCGCTTGCTGCCGACCGGGGCCGGGCCCCCTTGCACAAGTCCACGACTCCTACCGCGGTGCAGCACTTGCCCGCGACGATCGGCCGTATCGCACAAGAGCGGTCGGTGCAATCAAGCGAGTCAGAGGAGAGAAGCCCTCTTGGTTCTCTTTACTGGCGTGTCTGGGCATCTTCTGGGCGCGACGTGATGGGAAGGACTGATGCCGTGGTTCGCTGCTGCCAGTCGCTAGAATCACATTGGATCTTGGGAAGGAGGGGAACACTGCGAGAAGAAGGGCAAGAACGAGTGAGTTGATGGATAAAGATTGAGGAAGGAGACGGGTCTGGAGGGGAAAGCGGGAAGGGGTGATGTTCGCCTAAACCAGAAGCCACGCCGAGCTGAGAGCCAAGGGTCCAAGGCCACGCGAACTCCTTTTCTTTTGGTGGCGTTGGCCCTTTCTTCGCCTCACTGCCCTGTCCTGCCCTACGTCTCATCATGACAAGACACACGACCGATTGATGATGGTATCTGGGGAGTCCCATGCCTTCCAGCTATTTTTCCAAGTTCCGGTTTCCAGGAGTTGACGAGAAACTCAATTCAGGGCTCACTCAGCCTTCAGGAGGCCTATCGAGCGAAAGCCGTCGAAGAAGCCGTGCCTTGCACGGCGAGGGGCTGCCTCGAAAGGCTTTATAGAGTTTAAGTGAGTTCCCCAGTCAATTCGGTATTCCCCTCTTCTTTTCCTCCCTTCCCCCCTCTCCCCTGGAGAAGCAAGAATCCATGGAGTTGGGATGTTTGTGGGACAGGACGGTGGGAGTTGCGTCCATTTCGGGACTGATTTCCTCCAGTTGTCCAATTATTGTTGATTATCTAAGCAAGTAGCGAAAGTAATGGCGCCCACACTTGGCACTCGCACCAACCACAAGTCAGCAACACACAGACTCCTTTTTTCCCCCTTTGCCAAATTGACCACGGGCTTCTTATCATCTGTCAACAAAATATAACGCCCGCGTTCACCTGCAGGACACGCTACCTTACCTTATGCACTCCGACTGCCAGATAGGCTGTCACTGGTCAGGCAGGGAGGGAAAAGGACTGGCAGAATTTGCTCTCGCACTCTCTATCGAATTTCGGCTGCCACTGGTTGGAATGCGAGTGCTCAATTGCAAGCCAACCAGGCCCCGAAGCCATCAAATGTCGTCTCATCAAGACTCTTGAGTCTGGACAGGAGTCTTAGTAAGAGAAGCTGCGGCGCAGACAAGCAAACACCAAGCAACGCGGGCCAATAACCAGACAACAAGCCTCCCGTTGTCCAGCGCCGCTGCCAAGAAGACACCAAGAACATGTCTGCCACGCTGTGCCCTCTCAGGTCCATCTGTCTTCAGAATGGTACACAGTAAACACCAAGTCGGCTCATCAAGAGAAGGGCCAATCTCGGTCGTTTACAGCGCCGTCGCGTCGCCACGTCTTTGCATCAGCGTCGCCAGCGCCAACCGTCAACCCGTCAACAAGACAAAGCACGCTATTAAGTTTGTTCATCAGTGCTCACACTGCCAGACTACCAGTGCCATTCGAGTCTTGGTGCCATCAGTTCGTGTCCAACGCGACCAATTGTCACTGCCGACGTGACGTCCCATGTCGTGGTACCACCACACTCTTTTGGGATAAGCTCGCAATCCCATTCCAAAAAGTTCCCACGGCTTTTCAAGGCCGCACCGTTGGCGGCGTTGGCGGCGCTGCACTGGCGTTTCTTGGCAGGGGAAACGAGGTTTTCCAAGCAGCCAAAGCAGCCAAAGCAGCCAAAGCCAGATACGTACCTTTTGGGATTGGTTGCTGTCCAAAATAACACAGGTTTGACAGGTTCGACCTTGTACCAATTCCATCCCTCATCTCTCGCCGAGTCTCTCGTATTTCTTCGTACCTGCACAGTTTGAACACTCCAATTGCTCCTTCTCATTGGTCAAGCAGCCACGCATTCATCACAGCACCGTCCGTTTTGCTGCGCCGTTGGCGGCAGTTTCCCACCACCTTTTCACCCTTTTCACCACACCACACCACTTTGACCACACACCATCGTGACCAACGACACCACCATTAATTATCCTCATCCTTTCCGCCCATTGTCACGTCTAGGCATGCATCATCGATCAAGAGCCTTTCCATAGCCGTGCATCGCTGTGGCTATATCCTGGCGGGCCTCACTCAGCACACAGCTTCTGTTCCCCTCGCCTTCATTTTCCGTACATACATATCGCCGTTTGGGTGCTGAGTACGCAACTCTCTACCAATCCTACCTACTACGTCTCCATCTGCATCTTGGACGGCTTTCCACTTCCTCATGTCGCTTCTGCAGTCTCCTGCCCTCTCTCTCTCCTCTTCAAATACAAGACTCTGCTTCCCTCACCCAACGCTCGGGTTTCCTTTCCGTCAGTGTCACTATCCCCTTCTAGCGCGGTCGCCTCCACACCCCCCGGCTTGGCCGCCGTATCGACCATCGTATCCCCCGTGGTCTCTCTCTTCTCTCTGTCTCTCTCTCTCTTCCTCTGCTTGGGTTCAATTTCCCGTCAACCAGCTGTTGGTCATGGTTATTGACACACTTGCGCCCCCCGTGTGGGCCTCGTCGTCCCATTCGATCCGAGGCATTGACATTTGCGGCCAAGTACGGCAAAGTTGCCAGGAACCGTCATTTCCTCCAAGCCATTTCCAAGCCCATCCGTCCCTCGGCCTGTTGTTCCGTGACCCTCTTGTCTTTGTCTGCTTCTCCGCGCTGTCTGTGTTTCTGGTACCTTGCATTGGTTCATCCGCAGTCCCGAACCCTCTGCCCAGTGCCGTCAGAAGGTACGGAGTACGGAACATTATTGAGTACACTACCCGTACTACGGAGGAGTATGTGCGAATATAGATACACATCCAACACTTGTGACTGCTAAGAGTTTGCCTAGTATACCGTAGACTGTCCCTAGTCACCTAGTCCACCACACTCTCTCGGTTTTTTTTTCCCTCTGCTGATCGACCCTCGTGTTCACAGCGTGAGTCTCGTTTTGACGCGCTTGGCCCCTCTTCTTTCACTGTCAACCGATCAACCGACTCCACGTCCTACTCTAGTCACTCGTCTAATCTACCCGGGCTTCCCACCCCTTTTTTTCTCTTGCAAGCTCCCAGAGCCAGTCACTCGTTGCCACTCCATTCTCCATTGAAGGGTTCCCCGTCCATTCGTTCATCGGTCCTGTCCCTCTTACATCCCAAAGGTCTATATCGTTGTGTGTGCGCCGCAAATCCTCTCCGACCCTATCCATTCCTTTCATCACGCTCGCACCCAAGCGCAAAACCAATCGTTAATTCAACGCCCATACGCGGCGCAGTCGTTCGTTCAAACAGACATCATCAGTCAAAATCATCACCATGCGTACCTCAACACTTGCGTGGGCCGCCGTCACGGCCCTCTCTGCTCTCGTCGAGGCTGCCGACCTCGAGGCGTGGAAGTCCAGATCCATCTACCAGGTCATGATCGATCGTTACGCTCATACCGATGGCTCAACCGACCACGAGTGTGAGCTTTACAAGTTCTGTGGTGGCACATGGGCCGGCTTGACCAACAAGCTCGACTACATCCAAAGTGAGTAAATGACTGTAGATGAATGCATCACGGGCTTTAGCCCAGAGACCCTGGGCCTCCCAACTGACCATGACCACCAGACATGGGCTTCACTGCTATCCAGATCAGCCCCATTGTCAAGAACATGGACGATGACACCGCCGTCGGTGAGGCTTACCACGGTTACTGGTCTCTCGATAACTACGCCCTCAACGATAAGTTCGGTACCTCGGACGACTTCAAGAACCTGGTCAAGGAGATGCACAACCGTGACATGTACCTCATGGTCGATGTCGTCGTCAACAACATGGTCCAGAAGCTCGACAGCCTGCCCCCCAAGCTCGACTACTCCAAGTTCAACCCCTTCAACGAGGAGTCCGACTTCCACCCTTACTGCAACGTCACCGAGTGGGACAACAGCACCAACTACCAGGACTGCTGGCTCTACCCCTACGGCGTTGCCCTCGCCGATCTGGCCACCGAGAAGACCACCGTCGTCGATGAGTTTGGCAAGTGGATCAAGGAACTCGTCTCCAACTACTCTATCGATGGTCTCCGTATCGATGCGGCCAAGCACGTCAACGATGCCTTCCTGCCTACCTTTGTCAACGCCTCTGGCGTCTTCGCCTTCGGTGAGGTCCTGACCGGAGCCCCCGCCGACTTCTGCCGCTACCAGACCCTGAACCTGCTGCCCGGCATGCCCAACTACATCGAGTACTACCCCCTCAACAAGGTCTTCTTCGGTGGTGACATGAACGAGCTCGCCGACTGGCGCTCCCAGGCCCGCGATGGCTGCACCGACATCTTCGCCCTCGGATCTTTCGTCGAGAACCACGACATGCCCCGTTTCGCCGTCTATGATGAGGATATCGAGCTTGCCAAGAACGCCATGGCTTACATCCTTTTGACTGACGGTATCCCCACCGTCTACCAGGGACAGGAGCAGCACTTCAACGGTAACTCGACTCCCTTCAACCGTGAGCCCCTCTGGCAATCCAAGTACGACACCACCGCGCCCATCTACCAGCTCACCTCTACCCTCCTCAAGACCCGTAACGCCCTCCAGGCCACCAACAAGGACTTCGCCACCACGGCCTCTGAGCAGCTCTTCGTCGAGAACACCCACCTGTGCCTCCGCAAGGGCCCCGCGGGCGCCCAGGTCGTCTTCTGCGTCACCAACAAGAGCTCCAAGGGCGACACCTACCAGCTCAGCGTTGGCGGCTTCAACCCCGGTGATGCGGTCGTCGAGGTCACCACCTGCGGCACCAGCACCGCCGACGGCACCGGCAACGTCACTCTGTACATGGAGAAGGGCCAGCCCCGTGCCGTCGTTCTTGCGTCCTCCATCGACGCCACCAAGATCTGCCCCAATGGCACCACTGCCGCTGGCCAGAGCAAGAGCGCCGCCGGCTTCATCGGCAGCAGCATGACCCTGGTCCTGGCTTCCGTCATGGCCGTTTCTTTTGCGCTCCTCGCATAAGCCACCCACCATTGGTTATGAAATGTGAGACATTGACAAAAAAAGGGCAAAAATCAGCAGAGAAGAAAAATAGGGCGCGACTCGGGCGGGTGTACTGCAAGCCAGACACATGTTTTCTTCTTCACATCGTCGAGTCTTTTTTTTCGCAAGCAAGCGGAGTTTGGATAATTCAATGGCGGCTATCATGACGCAGACTATCATCTCTTATCAGTGTAATTATCCTCCCCCACCCCCGGGCCGCATGTTCCAAACGAAGCTCTCACGTGGTCTGGTGAGTAATGCTATTCCATCCTTTTACAATGTATCTTGGTTTTATTTTTCTTGCATTTGTTCATAGTGATACCAGACCAATCTTTTCGGAAATAAATTAGTCATAATATCAACGTTGAGCTTCTGTGAGAATTGGTACTCGGTACATAAAACAAAGAAGCGCGACGGACGGCTCCGTGACCATCTATGAGATCATTGAAATGCTCGATACGGCCCGGCTAGCACATTCCGCCCGCGAAACTTCACGATAGCGGCGGATAGCTGGGGTTCGTTTCCATTATCTGCCCATGCCCAGGACCCGTTCCAAATCGAGACAACGCAGACGCGCTACGGAGTAAACTCCCTCTCTCTCTCTCCCCAGAATATTCGCCCGCCGGGTGCTGGCTGCACATCACTTGTCCAAGTGGCCAGTATTAAACGGAGGCCGAAAACAGCCGAGTCCATAGTATCATGCCATTCAGAATGGAACTGCATGAACGGTGAAGAAGCAATCCCCCTTCCCCAAACAATCCCCCGTTTGTTTATTTATTTTTCCCCCTTCTTTCCTTCTCCTCGGCGCTGAACAGTTCGGCGTCCTCCGTATATTAATCGTGGCCAAGCTTTTCTTTCCCTGGGCATTATTTAGTTATCCATCTATCCCGGGTAACCCAGCATTTGCACAGCCACCACGTGAGTTGACAAAAACTGGATAACGATAGCTTATCGGGTATCCTAAGACTATCCTTAAGTGTAAAACGTGGAGCAACAACCCTCTCGAGGTACGTTACCCGATTGTTGTGCCGAGTTTCCCCCCCTGGGTCTCCAGTGAAAAAAGAGAGACAAAGGATCCTTTCGACAAGTTGGGATTTTTTTACAATGGGGACGGTGACATGGTGAGTGACAGACAATAGGGGCTGGTGGAGGGTGGGTGGTAGAACAGGGGGGGTGGACGCTCCATCGATCTATCGGTCGAGTCGGACGAGTCGGGGTCCCACCGTCTAGACGGTACCTTGCACTAAGAGATTCAGCGCGCGAAGAGAGAGACCCAAAGGAAAAACAATAGGTAACGGACCGAACCCCGTTTTTAGCCCCCCAGCTAGGTAGGTATTAAAAGCCAAAAAGACAGAGTTGTACCTGACCTTAGTGCTTAGTTTATGGAGAGATACACTATTGGAGCCGCTCGTGGATACCTATAGGGGTGGGTGGGTGGGTGAGTGAGTGAGCCATTGGGGTCTTTTTATGCAACGTTTAGTTCCAAATTATGGGGAACGAGTATTCCGTATTAGAAGTTGAGCGCGCACACGGTGTGCCCAGCGTCCACCGTGTGCCACACTCAGTTTTTTCGATTTTTCGCTCGCCGTTCGATACGAAGGGATCGGCCGTTGGAGGTGTGGACCTTGGGCCTTGGACACCAGAAAGGAAACCGGGGCAGAGAGGAACAAAGGAAAACCGTTGGTTGGCTGGCGAAACATGGTTCGCTGAAAGAAAAGAAAAAACGGGATTCATCCATACGTAGGACAAAGAAGGGCAGTCCATCCGTACCCGGAACTTTTTTTGGACTACGTGACTACCAATAGGGTCGATTATCTGGACGATTCGATCGATTGACAGTTTTGGCAATGTATGGGAGAGAACATAGGAAAGGATACGGAATCTGCTACTGCCCAGAGAAGGAGGCGAAAAGAGGGACACACTTGGCAGCCTGAGTGGTCAATGGCAAGGTAGAGTGTGAAGGGTTGTAGATTAGGGGGTGGGATGGGCTCTGCGCGGGCTGCGCGGACGACGCGCGCTGTGCGTTCGGGACGCGAGGCGGCCAACGGAGAGAAGGATGGGAGAGAGGGAGAGATAAGACATGCATAAGATAAAGGCACATATTCTGCTCCGCAGAGTCTGGGTAGAAATCCTGCCTGCTTGCCTTTTATGCAGCTCCGAGACCTTGATTCTTCTTTGTACATCATGTAATGCAGATGCAGATGCAAATGCCCAAGAACAAGCGCCCGCCATTGGAAGCGATGTGATGAGATTTGATCCCCTCAACTAAAGCAAGGCAAGATAATGACGGGTGATCACTCACCACTGACCACTGGGCGGACTGCCAGGCTAGGACATATGTATGTCTAAGACCTCTCTGCGTGTGTGTTTTATCTTTTTTTCTCCTTTCTTTCTGCCTGCGTGAGAGAATACTCGGATGCCTGCTTGCCTGACTGGTTGATGGGATCACCACTGCAAAGGCCCTCGGCAGATGAGTGTCTCTGGGACTCGGGGAGATGGGGGCCGGATATTGAGAGTGGCATGCGGGCGTCCTCAATAGGCTTGGCGCTTGCCATCACGGCGCGACGGGTTCAAACCACCACCACCAGCAGTCTCCTCGTCCTCCCTTACTTCTAGGCTTTGACTTTCCTTTTTGTTTCTCGAGAGACATGTGTATCTACACAAGCTGAACTGTGAAAATTGAATAAAAGATATGCGTACCGCGTGATTGATAGAGCCTTGTATTTTCATGGTGATTGGGAGGGGGAGCATAATGCTTTCCTGTTTTGCTCTGGCCTTGCCGTCTTTGCAACTTGTTTCGTGGAGAAGGTGTCACGATGCAACCTCCACGACCAGCGTGCCACCCAACGAACCAAAGCATATCCGAACTTTTTTGCTGCCGCTATCGAGCGCGCTCGGGCTTTACCTATCTAATCTGCGGGGGATCGCTTTGCACCGTTTCATTGGGTGTCCGGTTCTCCCTACTGGCCTATGTACAGACCTTTCGGACCCTCGGAGACGAATGCAAACAGAAACGGAAGATCGCGTTCTTTTTATGCTGATCCTACCACCTCATGATAAAGCATTGCGGCACAGACTGTCTGAACGATGGGAGATGAATGGGGTCAACGAGGAGAAGATGCTCGAGCCCTCGACGATCCTTCGCTCAGGGTGCCGGGTCATATTCGGCCCCTCGTCCTGTCAAAGACCAGAAGGCCAAGAGATGTTCATTCATTGCCTGGTCGTTATTGGAGTACGAAGTACGGATACGCTTTCACCCTTGCAGAGTTCCCTTGCAGTTGGAGTCTCCTCACGAAAAGAGCTCCCGAGCCAAAATGTCTCTAGATGGGTCGATGGACACCGCTTTGCCTAATTCCCTCTCAGAAAGTTCGAGACTGACGGTAATGTGGTATTCTTACAAGGAAATTCTATTTTTGAAAAGCGAAAAAGAGAGCCCAACGTCGATCACCCCGCTCAGGCCGGACATTTATTTTTCTTTCTCAATTTCTATCGATTTGTAAGATTTCTCTCATCGCTTCCCTCATCTCGCGTGGACCGCGTGATGTGGATTCTTGCGTACTTGTTTTTATTGCTTTCCCATCGCATTTCATTCCCTTCACCTGTATTCAAGATTTTTTTCAACCGAACAGAGAGTAATCTGCCAACCTGCAGGCTGCCTTACGGCCGGAGAAACGAATATTGGTCCGTGAGGACCTGGTAAAGGCCACGAGGATCGGCATGTGGGAACTTGGGATTTCTTGGGAAGGGGACGCATGTCTCATCGCCTTCATTTGACAGTGACATGAAGGTCTCGGTTGTTGCTTATTCCTCCTCCTCCTCTCTCTGCTGCTTTTGAAACGAGACTTTTGGTTCTCGGGTAGAGGACCGCATGCGTCTCTGGGTCGAGAGTTAGAGACATGCATGCCGCGCAGGCTTCGCCCTGTGGGCGACGAGGCTGACTTTGCTTGAGCATATCTTTGCCAATGAGTATTGCGTATGACAGGCACCTTGCGTTACGTCCATCACGGTATGATGAGGCTGCTCTTCTTGGTTGCGTCTTGTCTCCGACCTGTCATCGCGATAACGACATCGCCGCTTAGGGTTGGAGGTTGGAGTTTTGACGTCCAAGTGGTTCGTCCGAAAAAATGGGGGTATACTTTTTCCTCCGTCCCCCATCTTGAGCATTTGGACGAATGCAGAAAATATGCATCAATAAACAAACAAGAAGGCGAAATGAAAGCTCCAATCATCAAAAATGTCAAAATTTTCCGAAACCGAGAATCGAACTCGGGGCTATGCCTAACCTCTCACAAAGATGAGAGGGCATCATGTTGGCCACTACACCATATCGGATGTTGTTGGAAAATCCGGCAAATCCAACGCTTATGTAGCTCTGTAGACCCGCTCAGTGCACGTGACTAGTGCAGCAACACCACACATCAGGCTCATGCCTCCCTTTTGGAAGGGAAAGAAAGACCCAGGTAATGCAGCAATCTAGTAAATCTGCTCTCTAATTTTCTCTTCTTCAATGCGGTGTCACCTTCAAGCACCGTGCCCTTAGCCTGCCGTCTCGATAAAGTTCTGTGGAATGCTGTGTTGCAGCTCGCGAGAGAGCCGCATGTACGACCTTGTTTACGGATACGTGATCCGGGCCACGACACATGTGTGCCACATCCCCCAGTTTTCAAGGTTTTTATCTCAGTTAGTTAGACTATTACGATTAGGTTAAGTACAGTTCACATCAGATCGGAATGCTGGATGATGGACTTGGAAGCGGATGCTCCCGCCGCTTCCTTGCGCTTCCCCCGAGAGGGAGACGGTGTCTGCCGAGGAATGCGGAAGGGCACTACTACGTATGTGCGGGTTCCAAGGGAATTGGATTCCATGCTTCTTTTGACTTCGTCGTGTTTGTGGAGGTTGTCTCGAGATCTCCAGCCTTCTTACGCATGAACATTTGATTTTCCGCAGTAGTTAAATGGCCATACAAAATCCCGAGGTGTACTTCGGAGCCCATTTCAACTTGACGACTCCCTTACACAATTTCACAACACCAACATATCGAATACAATTCCTACGTAGTATTTGATTACACCACAAGTTTCTCATGTTTATTCAATGTAATTCCTTTCAACCTATACCCCTCTTTACAGTTCCGCTCCGTGTGGTTATTGCGGTTGAGACTGCATCTCCATCTTGGCGAACCGTCAACGTACCAACACTCTCGTAAACGCCCGTTGAGACAGCATCCTACAGAATCGAAGTCTCGTGCATGTCGAGACAAATGCATCCAAAATTGTTCTTGCTGCCATGGCGGGAGGCCCTGTGGTCTGGTCCCCTCGTCGGAGCATACCAACCGCGCGCGTCTCAGAGCAAGCAATGCTAGCGCGTGGTTATCTAACATGAAGATTGCGGCCTCGCGATCACGTTAGACTGAGCGAGCTACGGCTTCGTCATTTTCCTCGACCGGTGTCTCTGGGTTACGCGACCAGGCAAGATGGATTTTTGAAGACCGTTAAGCTCAATTACCCTCGTGAACTACCACTGGCCACCGCAGGCGATGATGCTATAGCAGAGATTCCGCCTACCGCGCCGGCTTGGGAATATGTTTGAGCTTTGCAGTTAACGCCGTGTGGCTACTGAATCCCTTTAAACCCTGACAACAGGAGCTACCGATTCCTCCGAGGCGCCGGTCCTGAACATCCGTATCCTGGAGAATGGAAGGATGGCGATGGCTGCCAGGTCAAAGAACACGAACAGAATGCATCGATATCTCCATCATCTCCCTGGATCACTCAACTTTCAAGCCACAGCACCGTTCCGTTTTCTGAACTAAATTCTGGGCTTGCAATCGCGCTCAAGCCAGGCCAACGGGTGGCCTTCTTATCTGGAAGGCATATCTATGTAGGAAGCCCAACGTCTTTCATCGTTCTGTGATTCTGGAACGAAATCTCCTCTTCAAAAGACACAAAGACAGGCTAGAATAGAACGGAGGGACACGTGAGCTCCAGCACAGTTATTAAGGGGAAATTGCCATATTCTTTGCTTCCGATTATCCAGACATCTCCTTCAGAGCGGCCATCCATGAGCGCATGCCCGAAACTGCGGAGGAACTGGGGAAACGGATTGGTCCGCCAACGATCAACGGTGCTACCATTGATGTCTATATGCTCTGGAGAACATTTGTCTCCCCAGTCTCTACATGAAAGTAGTAGCGGATTTTCCGATCAGCCCATTTCTACAATACTGTTTCGAGGCATGCTCAGCCCCCGCTGGCCAGGTTCAGAGAGAGCAACATCAGAATTTCGTAAATTGGAAGTTCAAGTTCCATCAAATGTCAATTTACACGTGTTACGCCAAGCTGGTCCGGGACGTCCACCGTAAAGCTTGGCCTCTGGTAGTGGTGGTCTTGGAGTAAGATGCTATGCACCAAAGTCAAGAGAGGACACGGTCACCGCATGCTAGTTCGCGATGTGCAGAACCCAACTCTCTACGTCCGGCGTGCGGCTTGTTACGGAGAAGGACAGGGATTCCTGGTCCGTGGATGAGGCGGTGCCGACGAAGATGAGATGACACGAGCCTCTTGCCTTTTCGTCTGTTGATTCTGCACAAGGGTTTCAGCTGAAATTTTCACGGGATGGAAAGTAGACACATTTCCCAGGACACCGGTCACTACTCATTTCTAGTGGAGCGAATATAGAAGAAACAAATTCATCGTCAAGCCACTCCGCTGGGCATAACTTGACTGAATCGGAGAATAAGTGAACTCGACGACAAACCTCGGGTCGATGGCATCGTGCTAAAAAGTGAATCAGATCTCATCAAGGCGCCTGGATCGACTGTTCAAACATATGTATTCACTGGTGGAAATCGGCTGGTTCTTACTTGGCTGGAGCATGTTCGGCTCGGATCTCAGTTGAACGATTGAGAATATCTGACGACAAGTCGGCTGTAAGAAAGAGGTATATAAACCCATGCAAAGGTATCTCTCGCTCTGGCCCCCACCCCATCAACTCTCCTCCGCATTGTAATGCACCTCCCTCTCCTTCTATCGGACCTCCTTGGTGAGGGCGAATCAGTGACATCACCTCTGCCTGCTCTGTCGTATACGTGGCATACACCACGCAGCACCAAGAAATCTCTCTTCCTTCTTTCCCCCTTTTCTCCCCCGTCTCTTTCTTCCTTTTCTCAAATGGTGCAGAAAACAGTAACACCCCCCTCAGCAGCCCCATTCTGCGTCATCTGGATATACGTCGCGGGCGGACTGCTGCTGCCCGCGGGACAGTTCCACTGGTTCTTGAACGCCGCCGGCAACGGCCCTCCGCTGGTGGACTTTTTCGCGCCGGTGCAGTACGTGTTGCGGATGGCCTGGCGGCACGGGTTCGGGCACGTCTCGTCGCAGGACTCCGGGTTGGGCTTGGGGACGGGCTCCGGGAGGGCGAGGGCGGCGGCGGTGGCGGCGAAGAGGAGGATGGTGGGGAGCTGCATTGTGGGCGGCGGTTTGTGTGGTTTGTTGTTGAAAGTGGTACAAGGTATAAGTTGTGAGTGAGGTTGAGTGTACTATTTGGTTTGATGTAAAAGAGTGTTTGTGAGCGAGTGACTGAGTGAGTATAGGTATGATGGAGAGATAGTGGTATCAAGACAACGAGAACGCGAGAGATGGAACGGCTGATTTGGAGCTATAAGTTACCTTACCTATTATACTTCTTCTGCTCAAGCTCTGTCCGTATATCAAAATCGTATACGGATACGGATACACGGCAATGGGAATGCAGTCAGATATTGCTGCGTATCGAGTACGGAGTAGACCGAGTCATTCAGAATTGCCTCACTTCCTACTCAACTCTATCCAGCTACGCACTTACGCCATGACCCTCTCAGCCCGGACGGAGTTAACGAGTAAAGAACAGACCTGCAAAATAGCCGTCGTTACAGCATCGAGTCATTCAAAACCATCTCATATTAAACACAATAACAAGCAGAAGCCAGTTCCACCCAGTGGTCTATGGTACCGTACAGGCGGGTGGGTTTAAGGTTTTCCAAGAAGCCGAAGCCTCGTCTCCATCTCATCTTACTTGGTAGTCGGTTCCCGGGTTTCGAGTAGACAGTTCGTCTCGTCTTACTGCGTAGTGCGTACGGATACTCCTTCTGCACTTCCCGTCGCCAAGAATTATGCCTCCTCCTTCTACTGCATAGGACTTCGACGACTTTCAGCCGCCTGCTGGCGGGGAGGTAGGGGGGAGTAGTCCAGGACACCAGATCAAGGCACGGCCATCCAAAAGTGTCCGTACAGGACAACTCCATTTCGTTCCCGAGAAAATGACCCGCCTTGAAAGTCCGCGATGCTCTATCGGCATGATGAGCGGCAAGTTGCTGTGCCATCATCTTGCCACCGCCGTACCCAACATCTTCACCACAGACTCACCGAAAGTGAGACTCTCCCGAATCTCACCGAGATTCTGAAAAACAATACCGCCGTCCATAGGACATGACCGTGAAGACTTGACACGGACCTCTGAGCCAATCAATGTAGTCTGTTCTTGTGAGTCCCTCAGATGAGACTCAAAATGCTTGCCCCAAATTTACTGCCGGTCAACCCGCATATGCAAAGCAGACCCCGGAAGGCAAGTAAAGTCAAGTTGCACTCGTCTTGCTCGGGGTCCTTCACGGGAAGTGGGGGATGAGTGGCAGCTTGGGGTTGAGAGAGAAGAGGGGAGAGAGGAAGGGGGAGTGGGAGGAACGTGTCACCAGATGCCGGGGTGAATACTTCATCAAAACTATGTAGAAGGGTAATCTTGGAAAGCCCAAGATATGGACACATCCAGTACAGATATAAAGTAGTCAAGAAGCTGGACTATTGAGAGTTCACGACAGCATCAGATGATGCTTCTCAGTCACAATCACAAATGAGAACAAAGCATGTGTTCAAGAGGTCTCATTTATGCGTTGTATACTTTACACAATGGTGGAGTCATGCTCCATGCTGCCGACGCCGATTAACCTGCCAACACCAGAGACGAAAAATTGCATGGAATCTTTGGGTACTGTCTCTTTTGAATCCCGAAACGAAGCAACAACAACAAATCTATGGAATTTAGAGCTCGTCGTGGGAGGGGGGCTCGTCCTCGCCACCAGCGCCACCGGCGCCCTGGTACATCTTGGAGGTGATGGGGTAGGCGACGTTGGACAGCTTCTCCTTCTGCTCCTCGAAGTCCTCAGTGTTGGCGGTGGCGCCGTTCTCCTCAAGCCAGTCGGTGGTCTCCTTGACAGCCTCGAGGATCTGGAAATCATGTTAGTAATCTGTCGATACACGGTGAAAGGCTTGTGGCAACTTACAGTCTCCTTGTCCTCATCGTCAATCTTGCCACCGAGACCCTCGTCGTCGTTGACCTGGTTCTTCAGGGAGAAAGCGTAGTTCTCGAGACCGTTGCGAGCCTCAATGCGCTCACGGGTGGCCTTGTCCTCCTCGGCGTACTTCTCAGCCTCGGCAACCATGCGGTCAATCTCATCCTGGGTGAGACGGCCCTTGTCGTTGGTAATGGTGATGGACTCCTGCTTGCCAGTGCCCTTGTCGTGGGCAGAGACCTTGAGAATTCCGTTGGCATCGAGCTCGAAGGAGACCTCGATCTGGGGGACGCCACGGGGCGCGGGAGGGATGCCAGTGAGCTCGAACTTGCCGAGAAGGTTGTTGTCCTTGGTAAGGGAACGCTCACCCTCGTAAACCTGGATGAGAACGACGGGCTGGTTGTCGGCGGCGGTGGAGAAGATCTGGCTCTTGCGGGTAGGGATGGGGGTGTTGCGCTGGATAAGCTTGGTCATGACACCTCCAGTGGTCTCGATACCGAGAGTCAAGGGGTTGACGTCCATGAGGACGATGTCCTCAGTACCCTCCTCGCCGGAAAGGACACCGGCCTGAACGGCGGCACCGAAAGCGACAGCCTCATCGGGGTTGATACCCTTGGAAGCCTTCTTTCCGCTGAAGTACTCCTCAATGAGGTTGACAACCTTGGGAATACGGGTAGAGCCACCAACGAGAACGATGTCGTCAACATCCTCCTTCTTGACCTTGGCGTCCTTGAGCACCTGCTCAACGGGCTTGAGGGTCTTCTTGAAGAGATCCATGTTGAGCTCCTCGAACTTGGCGCGGGTAAGGGTCTCGGAGAAGTCCTTGCCCTCGAAGAAGGCCTCGATTTCAATGCGAGTGGACATCTGGGAAGAGAGGGTACGCTTCGCCTTCTCGGCCTCACGCTTGAGCTTACCCATGGCCTTGAGGTCCTTGGTGATGTCGACGTTGTTCTTCTTGTTGTAGGACTTGGCGAAGAAGTTGATGATGCGCTGGTCGAAATCCTCACCACCCAAGTGGGTGTCACCGGCGGTAGCCAGAACCTCGAAGACACCCTGGTCGATGGACAGAAGGGAAACATCGAAAGTACCACCACCAAGGTCGTAAACAATGATCTGGCGCTCACCCTCGGTCTTGTCAAGACCGTAGGCGATAGCGGCGGCGGTGGGCTCGTTGACAATGCGGAGAACGTTAAGTCCGGCAATGACACCGGCATCCTTGGTGGCCTGGCGCTGGTTGTCGTTGAAGTAGGCGGGGACGGTAACGACGGCGTGGGTAACCTTCTTGCCAAGGTAGGCCTCGGCGACCTCCTTCATCTTGCCCAAGATCATGGCGGAAACCTCCTCGGGGGTGAAGCGCTTGGCGGAGCCAGAAACCTCGACCTCGACGACGGGCTTGCCATCCTTCTCGATGACCTTGTAGGGGAAGTGCTTGATATCGGACTGAACGGCCTTGTCGGAGAACTTCTGGCCAATCATACGCCTAGAAGAGTAATTAGCAATGTTATCTCGAGCGGTCGACGGTCGGGGTAGGAGCTCACTTGATATCGAAGATGGTGTTGGTGGGGTTAGCGGCGGCCTGGTTCTTGGCGGCGTCACCGACGAGTCTCTCCTCCTCCGTGAATGCGACGTAAGACGGGGTGATACGGTTTCCTATAAATCAGAAGAGTCAGTAAAGTTGCTGAAATTGGGCGATTGGGAGCAGGAGCAGCTGCGCCCGCGATAAGACTTACCCTGGTCGTTGACGAGAATCTCAACCTTGCCCTTCTGCATCACACCGACGCAAGAGTAGGTAGTTCCAAGATCCTGGAGAATGAAAGTTAGAAGAACGTCGAATTTATTTGAATCTGTTGGCGACAGAAGATTGGCCGACAAAGGGCGCAATCATCGCCAGGGAAGCTAGGAGGTGTAACTTACGATACCGATGACAGTTCCGTAGCTCTCAGTGTCCTGAGCCTGGGCAGTCTGAACGAAAGCCAGGGGGGAGAAGAGGAGAGCCATCCAGGCCAAGAGGCCGAAGCCCAAGGCCATCGAGTTTCTGGATCTCGACATTGTGATTTTTTTTTTTTTGGCGGTGCCGTGAAGCTCCCCTGTGTGTGGTATTGGGATAGCTCTTCGTACCTCGAAAGCTGGTGTCGGGGAAAAAAAGAAAGGAGAAAAAAGACGTCAAAGACGCGCTGATGAGAGAGGGTTTTTGGATTCCCTTCTACTATTTACACACCCAATCGACTTGAGGTGGCTTTGGCAGTGGTGAATTGGGAGAGGTAAAGTGTCGGCGGTGGAAAGGAAGAGCTGCCGCCTTTATGAATGCCTTCTCCAAAAAAAAGTCGAGGTGTCCAGATTGCACAAAAGGCCAGATTTCACGTTGCGAGGCGCCACACGTGACAGGGGTCTCTTCCTTTTGGGGTGTGGGTGTCACTGGTGGATCCTTACTGTGTGGACCCTTGGTGCAGCCGTACTCTATTTGGTGCCTTTACCTACCTTAAGGTAAGGTACCTAGGTATGGAAGGCACCACCGGCACGCAGCAGGTGAGCAGCAAGGTACCTCAATGCACTGCTGCTCGGCAGATGGAGACACCCAAGGTTGGGATGGCAGGCAGGAATTAGGTGCTCGGGGGACACATCTCCGTTGCAGCAGAACAGTGAGCATGTACCGTGCGAGGTTTCTCCCCTAGCCACGGGAATCAAGGTGTGCGCGCCTCACCGCTGCCGCTGCCTGCCGTCCGTGCTGGGGTCATTCCTTTCTGCCCCACCAAGGCTGCGATTCTGGAGATTTCGATTACTGGTGGTCCCCCCTGGACGTTTGGCACTTGGGGAGTCTTGAACGTGGCCTTTCTGTTCGCTTTGCTTCCACAGCTTCGGTTGAGTTCTATGCCGCAGTCTGACAAACTTCAAAGGCACCTTGTATGTTTGTCCATCTCCATTGGAAGTGACTCACGATCCAGCAAAAAATTACCCATGGTGAGAGGCAATGAACTTGGCCACTTGCTTTACAATCCTACTTAGGTGGCATCTCATTGATTCTTGGTAGCCTTGCAGTGTCCTCTACCCGTCTAGTGGTCTACCTGTCCCATTCAACTTGCGAAGCAGCTCCGGAAGGAACAGAGTGGCCTCAAACCAACCGGTCCAACCCCCCAATCCATCTCGATCTCGGGGAGAGCCATGCGCACCTCTCCCCTTTCGAGAATATTCCCACCACTAGCCTACCTACAGCCTGCGGGGAGGGGAGGGGGAAAAAAGGAGGAACGCGGCAATACGGTAAGCGGAAGGTGCTAATTCGTAGGTAAGGCGAGAGCGACAAGGCAAGGTACGCGAGACTTTACCTCACTTAAGGTGCTCTAAGCAGTGCCATCCCGTCTTTCGCCCTGAGATGAGGGGGGGCCACGGGGGGCTGCAAGCCGTAAAGAGGGGGGAAGTATGCAGGGGTTGAGCTTTGGCTGCTGGCCCATGCTCTCCCGAGGCGGCGCGTGGGCACGACGGCGTCATTTCCGTCGCTTCAGCCGGATGGGGCCATGTCAATCTGTCAATTTGGCCTTTTCGAGAGGCAAGATACCATAGAACACAATGACAGATTCCACTGTCCAAGACCCCAAAACAGTCCAAAGAGTCACTCACGGAATCATCAAACCCTTGAAAAGGAAGGAGGATTACAAACTGAGCATTGTCAGCTTGGTTCGCAAAATAGCTCAACCATAATCAAGGATCCGTGGTGCTTGGAAACTGAGGTGTTCATTTCGCATCTACGGATCTCTAAGTTATGAATTAGGCACGCCCCCATTGGCTGCGCTTCAACTAAAGTTGCAGCCAACTCTATTTTCAGCACACCCAAGTGACCCCAACTCTAATCGAGCCTCAATGCCAGCGCCGCCTCTCGTAACTTAACTCGCACGCCATGCATGGGAATATCTCGTTTCGGTCGTCAAGTGCCCACCACCTGCTATATACGAATCCGCGCCACGTTGCTTCTTTCGATTCTGCACCGTTTTATTCCAGCAGCCCTGCCGCAATTGTCTCGCCGCCACTGCGCAGCACCACTCGCTGCCCAGCCTCCAACGGTACTTTCGAGTCAAGCTTGACAACAACCCGCGCAACCTTGCCTGGCTGCACGATCCTGGGGTTCTTCTTCACCGTTGCTCCCGTCAACTTGTCCAGTACGGCTGGGATGACCTCAACTCTCCCAGCCGCATGCAGACGACCACGGTGGACGTCCACCGGCATTGGCATCAAGTGGTCGAAGGCCAGTACCTTCATGGTCAGCCTGTCGCTTGTCTCGATGGGAGCTGTCTTGGTGCTGATGATATCGCCCACGCGTACGTGAATCGGGTCGATGCCGTACAGGCCGATGTTGACGTTCTGTCCCGCAACGGCCCATTCTTGTACATCGGCGTCTACCTCGATCGATCGTATTGAGGCAGACTCTCCGCTTGGTTGCACAATCAATGCCTCGCCGTTTTGTACCGTGCCAGATTCTATCCGGCCGGCTACAGTGAGTTGACTTTGCTGCGATCTGTAGATTTCCGAGATCGACATTCGGAAAGGCTTCTCAATCGCTCTCGCCATTGGATCAGAGTCTTCCAATGCCTCGATGAGTGTCGGGCCTGTGTACCATGACAGCCCTTCATCGGCTGGCTTCTCCACCAGATTGGCGCCGCTCAGTCCAGATATGGGTACGAAGGTGACGTTCTTGAGTATGAAGCCATTGCCCTTCATGAAGCCAGTGACCTGCTCTGAGATTTCATCAAAGCGATCCTTTGACCATCCAACCATGTCCAGCTTATTCACAGCGACGATGACTCGCTGGACGCCCAGACTTCTCAGGAGCAGAGCATGCTCTCTTGTCTGGCCTTTCAAGCCCTTCTCGAAGGCTCCGGTGTTGGCATCGATGACGAGAATGGCAAAGTCTGCCTGACTTGCTCCAGCAATCATGTTGGGGACAAAGTCCCGATGACCAGGGGCGTCGAGAATCGTAAATCGTGTTTTTTCCGTCTCAAACATATTCGTGGCGATGTCGATGGTAACACCACGCTCCCGCTCCTCCTCTCGCTGATCCATGACCCAGGCAAGAGCGAATGACGACTTTCCAATCTTCTCACCCTGGCGTCGATAACGATCGATCAGATGTTGCTCAATGTACTTTAGTTCCAAGAGCAATCTGCCCATCAATGTGCTCTTGCCAGCATCAACGTGTCCTATTGGGTATTAGTTGTATGTTGGGGAGGAAAAAGGTACAGATTCACTCACCAACTACCACAAAGCTGGCACTTCTCTTGTTTTCGCTCTTTGCGAACTCCTTTACGACATCCAGCTTTTTGTTCTTTGGTGCTGCTGAGTCGTCAAGTTGAAGTTGCTTCATCTCGGAATTGGGGGTTTGTGAGCCACTTGACTTGGCCACCACTTTTTTGCTTGCGCTCTTGGCCGCAGCGTCAAACTTGGAGCCCGCTAGAGATCATTAGAGTCAGCATCTTACTGTGTCTTCGCGAATCGCGAACCTTTCGCCTGAGCAGCGAGCACGACATCGTCAGGGCTTGGTTGAGAGAAAGCACTGGGCACATAGGCGGAAGAGTCCATGTACGGCAGGGAGTACGTCTGAGAGGCGGCGGCAGTATCTTGAGCAGGTCCGAACAGGGTCTGAGCAAAGGCAGACGGCCTCGTAGATGGGATCACGAAACAGTCATCCTCGGCCTTCTTTCGATCCTCGGCAGAAACTTCGTTGGCCGTGTCGACATCCATACTGACTGCTTCGGAAGCTGCGTCGGCCTGCTGCGAGGGCGAAGCTGATTTTGAGGTCTGGGTCCTCGCGGCGGGGTCTTCTGCCAACTTTTGTCGCTTCGCTAGTATGCTCAACCCGCCTCTCTGATTCTCCTTGGACGATTCATCAATGGCAAGAGTTGACATTCTCTTCTCGGCTCGATCAACCTTGTCGTCTGTCTTGTTCACCTCAGCCGTCTTCTTCTTTCGTGCAGCAGCAAGGGCCTGAAGTTTTGATAGCTTAGGACCATCACCGCCGCCCAGAAGCCCCCCAGGAACGGGACGAGGGGGGACGAAGATGGCTTGTCGGCTCTTGGGAACGTTCATCCATGAAATGCCGTGGAAGTAAGAAGCAGGGGATAGTGGTGCCACCCTGGGAACTGGATATGTCGAAGTCGATGCCACGCCGTAAGTCGTAATCTTGTCGTCCATGCCTCCACAACCAAACCCATCTGCTGCCGAAACGCTCAACTTCTGGTACTGCCGCCACCTCTCCGGGAAACCTGCCCTCACATGACTTTAAAAGAAATGAACTTACCATCTTTAGCCTTCTTCTCCTGCTTTGGCGCAGGTGGAGGTGCGATGAATTTCTTCTGTAGATAAGACACCGTCTTCTCGATGTCGTAGTAGTAATGCCACAGCGACTCTTGAATTTGCTGCACAGTCACTTTGTCGGCATCGGGACCAAGGGTGCTCTGCACTGTCGCAGTTCCTATTGCCATGGCCTCACGATCTTCTGCGCTGAGTTGATCAGCCTCTCCCTCCTCTTCGTAATCATCGCCCTCGAATTCGTCGAGGGCCTCCTCATAGTCGAGGTTGCGTACTGCCTGGTGGCGCGACATCTTGACGTAGTTGAGGTAGGTGAGCTGGGTGTTCTTAGTGGATGGATTGGTGTGAGGGAAGTCGCAGAAACCCAAGCTTTCAAGGTGAGAGAATGGAAGTGACCTGGGTGGTATGTGATTTCCAGTGATTCATTCACTTGACCGGGGGGTAGAAGCTCTTTAACAACTGGATTTGCAGCTTTTCGGAGATGACGCTGTGGACTTGAGTTTGGTCATGGCCTGAAGTGGCATGTGTGGGGCGCTTGGGGCGCTTGGGTCATGGCCACCGCAGTAGCCATGGAGGGGCAACCACGTCCATGGCGGGGTACTTGCTGTTGCCTCCAGGCCTTGCCAGGCGGTGAGCCGCCGGATTATCTGCACCCCGGCAACCGAAGCTTCTGGTCCCCCAGAATGGCAGGCACCACCAATTATTCAGAAATTTTGGTCCACCACGACCCGATCCTTGGAGCTCACCCCCCCTCAACGCACGATACCTCTCCTTCCCCCGGCGTCACTCCCAGTTGAATCGCACTACCCATCCGAAACCCCAGTGACGTGCGAAAACCTTCAACATGGCTATGAGTATGTGGTACCCGGCCCTTTGAAATATTTTATTGCATGTAACTAACATGATGTCTAGACCTTGATATGGCCAATGGTAATCAACACCACGATCCGAGCTTCCAGACCATATATACTGACGAAATGACACTGTAGCGGCCGTGATGAAGGACGAGCAAGGCCGTCCCTTCATCGTTGTCAGAGAGTAAGCTTGCCCTCTCTTGCCCTGCCCCGAACCCCTGATAAGGAGGCCCAAGACTGATTGCCCCGCAGCCAAGGAAAGAAGAAGAGACAATATGGCAACGAAGCCGTCAAGAACCACATCCTCGCCGCCAGAACGGTCGCGAACATCGTCAAGACCTCCCTGGGACCCCGCGGCCTCGACAAGATTCTCATCTCCCCCGATGGAGACATCACAGTGACGAACGACGGTGCTACGATTCTGCAACAGATGGAGATCTCGAACCACGTCGCTAAGCTTTTGGTGGAGCTTTCAAAGTCGCAAGATGACGAGATTGGTGATGGTACAACCGGCGTCGTCGTGCTTGCTGGTGCTCTCCTTGAGCAGGCGGCAGAGCTGATCGACAAGGGAATCCACCCTATCCGCATTGCGGACGGATACGACCAGGCTTGCGACATCGCCGTGTCAGAGCTTGACAAGATTTCAGATGTCATCGAGTTCAGCAAAGAAGAGACAGGAAATCTGCTGAAGGTTGCGCGAACAAGTTTGGGCAGCAAGATTGTTTCCAAGGCGCACGACCAGTTCTCTCAGATCGCAGTGGACGCTGTCCTCTCCGTTGCCGACCTGGACCGGAGGGACGTTGACTTTGAGCTGATCAAGGTCGACGGCAAGGTCGGAGGAGCTCTGGAGGATACCATGCTCGTCAAGGGCGTCATTATCGACAAGGATTTCTCTCACCCCCAGATGCCTTCCGAAGTCAAGGACGCCAAGATCGCAATTCTTACCTGCGCCTTCGAGCCCCCTAAGCCTAAGACTAAGCACAAGCTCGACATCACCAGCGTCGAGGAGTACAAGAAGTTGCAGAGCTACGAACGCGAGAAGTTTATCGAGATGATTCAACAAATCAAGGATGCCGGTGCCAACTTGGCTCTCTGCCAGTGGGGTTTCGACGATGAGGCGAACCACCTGCTGCTCCAGAACGACTTGCCTGCCGTGCGGTGGGTTGGAGGACCAGAGATCGAGTTGGTGGCTATTGCGACAAACGGCCGTATCGTGCCGCGGTTCGAGGACCTCAAGCCCGAGAAGCTCGGAACTGCAGGCATTGTCAGAGAAATGACCTTTGGCACAACAAGAGAGAAAATGCTGGTCATCGAGGAGTGCGCCAACACCCGCGCGGTGACCGTCTTTGTGCGCGGTAGCAACAAGATGGTGCGTTCCTGACAAAATGTTTGAGATTAACCAAAAGCTAACCCCTAATGTCAGATCATTGACGAGGCGAAGCGCTCCCTCCACGATGCCCTGTGCGTCGTGCGCAACCTTGTCAAGGACAACCGCGTGGTCTACGGTGGTGGTGCTGCTGAGATTGCCTGCTCATTGGCGGTCGAGGATGCCGCCGCCAAGACCCCTGGCCTTGAGCAATACGCCATGCGCGGATTTGCCGAGGCCCTCGACGCCGTCCCGATGGCCCTGGCCGAGAACAGCGGTCTGAACCCCATCGCGACGCTGGCCGACATCAAGAGTCAACAGGTCAAGGCCGGCCCTGGAGTCCGTGGCAAGCTCGGTGTCGACTGCATGCAGCGCGGCAGCAACGACATGAAGGATGCGTTTGTCATCGACCCCCTTATCAGCAAGAAGCAGCAACTCCAGCTCGCGACGCAATTATGCCGTATGGTCCTGAAGGTGAACAACGTCATCGTTGCCGGGTCCGGCGAGGAAGACTTTTAAAAGTTTATAAAACGGTAAAAAAGGTTCTAGATAGGTCTATGGTGTTTGGGATTATACCAAGCTGTGTACTATGCAAATAGAGAGGCCCCCACAATGTCGAGACCACGATTTCTGTCCTCCCACGCAACGAACCGTCTAGTGCTTGCCCTGCCCACCTCGACACTTACTGCATCCAGCCTCTCTCGGGGCTATACTTGAGATACGGTTCCATCTCACGATAGAAGGTTTGGCGGAGCTCGGCCTGTTGCTCGGGCGTCGGGCGGGTATCCTCGCCCTTGCGACGTTGCCAGCTCTCCTGCGTCTCCTTGAGGAGGGCCTTGGGGTCCTGTCCCGTGGCGTCTGCGAATTCGTACGATCTGTACTCGGTGTTCTCCCAGCCAGTTGCTACGCTTAGAATTAGTGAACGGCTCCCATCTCACTCAACCCCACGCCATTGGGGTGTCATAGGAGATATTCGAGAAACAAATAAAGAATCTCGAAAACGAGAAGAAAACGTACCCTTCTTGGGAGCAATCCCATACCAATCATCCGTCAAAAAGTGCAAGATGCCGCCGTGCGTGACGACCACGACCTGCGCGTCCCCGGACACGTCCCCGCCCACGAGCTCCCTCAGCGCCCTCCTCGCCTCGGCAGACCTCGCCTCCAGCTTCTCCAGCGTCGGCTCCCATCTCGAGTCGGGGCCGGCCTTGTCGATCCAGTCCTCGGGCACCCTGCTGAAATCCACGCGGCCGGCGAACTCGGCCTCGATGTCCTTGACGGCCGAGCCGGTGTCGCACGGCGCGTCGGAGACTTCTTGTACCTCGGGCAGGGCGAGGACCTTGAGGGACTTGCTTCCGGACTCGGGAGAGGAGGGGTCAGAGGGGCCGAAGCCCAGGAGACAGGTGTAGAGGGTCCGGCGGAGGGGGCTGGCGACGAGGTGGGTGATGCGGTCGTGGTGGGGGAAGGCGGCGCGGAGGTCGGCGCACTGCTGTTTTCCCTTTTCCGTGAGGAGGGGGTCGCGGAGGGCTTCATTTTCGAGGGAGAGGTTGTGGAAACCCTGGGCGTGGCGGACGAGGTGGATTTGGACTGGCATTTTGTTTGAGGTTGTGGTTGGTTTTCTAATGAACTTTTCTTCAGGTGTGATGATGACGAGCTTGAGATGAATTGGCGGGGTGGCGGGGCAAGGTGCTTATGTGTATGCCGTTACACAACGTCTTTGATTCTAGTGGGAAACAGAAAGTAATAAAAAAAGTAGTATGTGGTCTGATTGAACCTCTAGATTTCACAATGATGATGGGGAAGACGGGATTCTCGACAGATGTTCGGATGGTTCACGATCCAATTATATATAAACAAAAGCTCTAGCAAGTTGAGAGGATGAGCTACGTAATGCGTCCCTCCACCCCCCAATTCTCGGGAAAGTTTCCTTGTTTGGTGTGGGTGTGGGCAACCCGGCGGAGGGAACGGGAAAGTCTGTCAAGCCTGTGTCTAGAAATGACTCAGATGAACCGCCTTTTTTACCTTGGGACGGGCGTCGGAACTCACCTAGACTAAGGTAGGTACCTTATAATCAGGCACCCGAGTAGAGAAATCACGACACCGGAAGGGTTCCACGTGGGCTGCCATAGGGGCCTTCTACGGTGCATTATGTAGGGGCGCTTCGCGTTGCTGGTTTCAAGAATGCTTGAAAGGTAAGCTGCTGTAATAGCGGTCCGCAGTCGCACCATTCGGCGCCGATGACCGGGGCGGAAAGTGGAGACACAGGCCGCGCTGGCGCCGTGCCGTGGTTGGCCGGAGAGGGTTGGACGCGGGCTTTTGTTGCTTCTTTTTGCATGATTGGTCCGGCAAGAGGAGCGGGTGGCCGGCTGCCTTAACTTACCTTACCTACGGTCAAAAGCCGGTGGAATGGATTTCTACTTCTAGATTTGCTCACCGGCGGAAACTGTGAGTCAGAAGGAATTATTGACTTTGACGACGCGCTTTAATACCGTTTGAGAAGGCTCGTGACGGGCGAGGATATTTACAGAGTATGATGGTGAAGAGGGCTATAGTCATGGCTTAGGCACGCAAAGTTGATCTGTGTGAAGCCTGTGTTGGAAACGTACATATCATTGGGGGATTCTTGACGTGGCATTCATCCGCGTCTGTTTGTTAGTAATGCTAAGTGAATTATTCACATAAGTCCTTGCCTGGATGCTCCAACCTGAGTCTTCACACAGGGCCCATTATCAACATCACAGTCATAAGTTGGAGAGTAACTATGATCCAATATAAGTTTCATTTTACAGCTCATTCTCAAGTCTGAAGATGCTAGTGTTGGGCTCTCCCTGACCCTGAAACGCCGAGAACTAATGGCCTGCATGCTTCCTAATTACTCTCCTGTCTTTCAAAGATCAATGAGACTCTCCTCCACTGCTGGCTGCTTGGGTGCGTTTTGCGGAGCAGACGGGAATGATTCCTGGGTATATCCGCTATTGTACTGGCCTTGCCAATGCTGTTGGGGGTGCGCCGATTGCTGCGGTACTGATGGTTGCCAGTAGCTTTGCTGCTGGGGCGGAGCCTGTTGTTGCGTGGGCTGTGCCGGCTGAGCAGGCGTTTGGGTAGGTGTTTGTTGGGGTGGCATGGACTGTCGGTATTGCGCTGGCTGCTGGAGATTTGGGTACGGCGATGAGTTAGAATCCGCGTTCGGCGGAGCAGAAGGAGGTGCGCTAGGCTGCTGAGGGTTGAAGTAATAAGAAGCGTTGGGGTCTGCCGAAGGGGTGCTCGGAGGTTGACCTGGCTGGTTCTGGTGATTTGCTTGAGGCGGCTCGCTCGGAGCATAAGGCTGCTGGGGTGCATATTGGCCGTCAGGTACGGGACCAGCTCCGCTTCTCCAGCTATCCGTTCTTTGAGGCTCTTGGCCAGGGTACGGTCCTCCCGGCGGGCCAGCCATGGATGCGCGCTTGTCAAACGTCGCGTACTGAGGTTGTGGAGTGTGCTGTGGGTGATGTGCGTAGACTTGAGGTGGCGGTGCGTGACCGTAGTCCATCTGCTGTGATCCGGTATAGAAGTTCTCGGCCGGGCCGGCACCCCCAGGTGCACTGCCTTGCAGCGTAGGGTAAGCGCCAGACTGGCGAGGGGGAAGGTTGTACCCTCCCCCAATAGCGTGCTGGCTGTATGCCTTGGACAGGCGCTCTTCCAGCATCCTGTCGTAGTAGCGGACAACGGTGGAAAGTTTGGCATGTAGGTCGAGTAGTGTATCTAAACGCTGTGTGAGAAGACAAGAGACGGACATCTGGAAATCCAGGGGTATTTACCATGCTTGCTCATAGTCTCGCCGTAAGTTCGGGCAAGCTTAGGCCGCAGTGTGCCGATGCTATCGTAAAGTTCTTGGATTTGGGGCTCGCGCAGAATGGTGCCGGGGGGTTGTGTTTGCAGGCGGTCGACGAGAGTTGCAAAAAGGTTGATGTTCTCAGCCTCAACCGGTGTTAGCTCGTAATCGTTCTTGGGAAGAGAAAACTGCTGGGTAGGGTTTGGTCCGGGATTCGAGGTGTGCTCCTTCAATACCGCCGCATGTCTCTGCTTCTGCTCCTCCATATCAGCTAGTGAAGCGGCGATGGCAGCCTTGAGGTCGTCATCTTCCTCGTCCGCGCCAGAAGATGCTGCAGGCGCAGAGCTGCCGTTGACCTTGGCTCCTGAGGGACCATTGGCTGTAGGTGCAACGTAGCCCTGAGAGTAGCCCTTCACCTCCTCCAAGCTCATAGCTAGCGCCTTCTTCAGGTCCTCGTCGAATGCATCGTCGACGCGGGCATTGCGTGGTTGCATGGCCGACGTGCTTCGTGTCTTGTAAGGATAGGTGGGAGATCGGTCTTGCGGCAGCGGCGAAGGTGGTGCAGCACCCCCCTTGGCCGATCTGTCCATGAGCTTCGCATAGCAGCCGTCATCGACGCGGACGGGCTGCATGATACCGAGGTGGGGGAGGGGTAGCGACTTGGCCGAACATTGTTGATCGAAGCAGTTGCCGCAGTTTCGGCAATGATGCTTTCGGTTCGTGAAGGTAAAGGCGGTGCGGCATCGCATGCAGACATCTGAATCCACCCACTCAGGGGGCTTTGAGAAGCTTGTCAGTTTGGGCTGGGAAGGTTCATAGCCGTGGATGAGAACCTACCGCGCTGCTGTCGATCATGCTGCTGGAGACGCTGATTCTAGGAGGAAACTGGTGACCTTCCCTCTGCAATGTCTTGTAGACCTCTCCGATGTATCCAAGTTCAAGGCGTCCTTCGGTGGCGGCGGCCCAAGATTGTATCAGCTCGAGAATCTTCTGCTTGACCTCGTGGTTGACGGCGGCGGGCCCGACAGCTTGAAGGAGGGAGGTCAGGTTGTCCATGAACTCCCTTGAGGCGATTTCGGCGAGGAAGTGGGTGCCTCCATTCTTTACACACGTGTCGGTGAGCTGCAGGCGGACAGAGTCAGTTCAGTCAAGCGTGATCAGGCAGCAACGGTGACCTACATTCAGTGCGCTCAGCTGGGTATTAGGGTTCTTGTTGCCGATGCGCCTCTTCAAGGAGCGCATGGCCTCCTTGGGCTGAACGGTCTTCGATCTGATGACATCAGAGATCTCGAGATTCAGGGCGATATCCTCCCTGTACCGATGTTAGAAGAGCATCACAACGGATGACAGAGGGTCGTACAAGCTGCTGCCTGTGGCCTTCTCAATTTGCTCGTCCAAGGCCGTGTTGGCCGAGCTGGACCACCAGCCCATCATTTTGAAGGCTGGAAATGTTGTGTCGGGCGGGGAGCTAGAGCAAACAGGCGGCTATCGATTGTCGGGATGGTTTATCTAGCTGAAGGAAGCGGGCGCGCAATCGCGAGGCTGTCGTCGTCTTTGTCGTCGTACGTAAAGCGGGCCAGATGGGTTGCGCGTATGTAGGAGATGTGGATGAAAGGCAAAGAGGAAAGCTTGTGTGTGTTTCTAATGGTTGCCCAGATGCGGCAGCCTCAGGGTCGGGTGTGCGTACACAGTAAGGTAAGGCCTAGTTGGAGATGCAGCAGGCTTAGGCGTAGTCGGCATAGGCTAAAGCAGTGGAGGCGTGGGCAGCTGCGGGCAGTGGTGTCGAAGACAGTCAAGGTCCGCCGGGTTACGTTGGCTTAGTACGAATTAGCAGGGGTTGGAATGTGTCGGGCAGTGGATGGACGGTGGATTTAGAGTCGCTGCCTTGGGTTGGAGGAGTCTAACTACGGATACCCATTTGCATCTTCAGGTTGCTGTCGTCGCGGACTCGTGGCTGCTCCGCTTTGGAACACGGCCCTGTGACGAACGGAGGTCTCCGCGCTAAACCCAAAGAAACAGTGTAATATTGAGAATGGGGGGAATGGGATTTTGGCAAGGCCAGCTGCCCACCTCAGCTCGTTCCCGTTTCCTCCCCCAGAAGCAGGCACGGAGTACGTATCCTCTATGACGATGGCGGTGGAGCATCTGTGGCGCGTGCCATTTGAGGCTGAACCGAACGCTTCGAGTTGGGAAGGAGACTCTTGTGAGGTGACTTGCTTCCCACTACTGGGCATGTGGGCTGGCAGCTACGTAATCAAGGGACCTCATTACCTAGGTACCTTACACTTACCCAGGCCTGACTCTGCTTCCTGGGAGGCATGGTCACCAACTTCCAGTTTACGGTTCTTCGGCAGGCCTTGAGCAATAAACAATGTAACTTACTTTCGGAGCAGATGCTCTCATCAAAGGAAATAAACAATTCAACTGCCTAAAGTGGGCATTCATAAGCCAAGTTATATTGGTTGTGGCGCTGCATGATATGTGAGTTGTCAAGGCCAAGGACGTGGATCATCTCCGTCAGTGCAAGTCGCCGCTCAAAACTCGGGGCCGGGTGACTTGAGGTGGGCGAGAAGCAGGGCACTGCCCGCCAGTTCCAGTGCCCGAACCACTGTTCAGTCCGCATGCGTCAGTGAGATGGCCTCCACTGTGGTGGAAGGTGGTTTATTCACCTGCTCTGCAGCGCAACGCCCTGGAAAAAGAGTACGGGCCCTGTCGGAAAAGGTACCGAGTCACCCCTCCCCAGCACAGCCGCCGCAACGGTACCGTTTCCTCTCCACAATGTCTTGCTATTGTTGAAACTGTTAGCGCCAGCGAGCGAGGCTGTCCCTCCACCACGGACCATCTGGCTTTCACAGGACCGCTGCGCACCTGCCAATCCAACTTCATCCATCAAAGACTGACATTCTTTTCTTTCGCCCATCCTACCCAACCACACCACAACCCTTCTTTTCGAGCTTCGTCTCAATCTAGAGAACAATGTCTATTCAACCTCGCCCTGCAGTACCCAAATAAACCATCCTGCGGCCAAACACAAACGTCTACAAAACGACCTAGTCTGCGTCACTGCCACTCATGACGAACCCGTCGCCGACTATCGTTGCGTCCCCGTCCTGTCCCCGTCCTCGTCCGACCTACCTCGACTCTTCCAATTTCCACACTTCCTCGACATCACCAGCGATAGCTTCTTTTCCCTGCATCCGAGCCACCAAGCTTACAACGACATGATTCAAGCTCCATACCCGATTCCAAGACATCCATTTCCGTTCACATGAGCTCCACGGCCTCTTCAGCCACCAGAACCGTCCTCGGCGGCGGCGGCGGTCCGGTCTTATCCAACGGCTCCGGACTACATACCTTCGCCATGGGCGGAGATGGGGGCTCTGCCGGCCGCGGCGGCAAGCCCCCGCTGCCACATATAGATGACCTCACATCCACAGCTCCTCACATCGACATGAACCTACCCTTGCGCAAAATCCTCGAGATGGCTGACAACGCCATGCGACAAGCCGAGACCTTTCGTGACTTTGGTCGACCCGATATGGCCTTCAAAGAGTACATCAAGGCCTCCCTGATCGCTGTCAAATACGTGCCTATGCACACCGAGTCCGTGTCGGTCAAGGGCGGCCGCGGGGATCTGAACCGCATTTACACCGCCCTCATGAAGAAGATAGATTCACAGCATGGAAACTTTGAAAAGATCAAGGCCGACATCATTGCGGATAACCAGAAAACGGGCGTAAGACCCACCATATCAAGACCAACCTCCATCAGCAACGGGGATGCCATCCGCCCGCGGACACCGCAAAGCCCCCCGGTCATGAGCCCCACACGAGCCGAAGCCGGGACGCAGGTCCACGGGTCGCCGGCAACGAAAACGAAGCCGGCGGTTCAACCGAAACCCCAGTCGCTGCATGGAAATGTGATACGTTCCGGGGCCGGCGGCCCTGGCCTTCCTAAGAGCAAGGCCGCCGAGGACTTAGCTGCCCGTTTCGCCAATCTGCGAGGACCAGTGGCATTGCCCGGTCAGGACCCCCGCATACGGACACACCCCATTATGCCCCCAAGACCGGCAGGACCAAGAGCGATGCCAGATCCGCCCGAAAAGCCAAAGGTGGCCGTTGTGACAAGCCTACCAGATCTGCCCAAGATGCCAGATGCGATCTACAGCCCGGCCAGGGGGACTGTATCCAACGAAGCGGCTTCACTGCCTTCGAGCACACCAAGGGGCCTGTTTAGTCGGACAGGCTCTTCAGCTTCTATCAATACCGTCGTTGCGGCTAGCAGATCATCCGCCGACTACTTTAATGCCTCCAATGCTGCCGCTACTTCCAGAACCTCGAGCATTTCGATACCCGAGGGCGATTCAATTACTGCTGACGATCTAATGAATTACATCAAAAGGGGCTCCGCAACCCTACAAGTCTTAATCATCGATGTTCGAGGTCGAGAGGACTTTGACGAAGGCCACATACTTTCACAAGCGGTCATCTGCATTGAACCTAGCATTCTCTTACGAGAAAATATCACAGCGGAGCAAATAGCTGAGAGCATGGTCCTCTCGCCCCCTCAGGAGTACCACCATTTCGAAAGGCGGGATGCTTTTGATCTTGTGGTGTTTCACGACCAGGATTCGGACTCAATACCGCGCTACATCTCTCCCGATATGGACGCTGCTGCTTTGTTGTCTCTTCAACGCGCATTAACGTACTTCAACTACGGCAAAGACTTGAAGAACCCTCCTAAGCTGCTACAAGGAGGCTTAGATGCTTGGACCGACCTCATGGGCAGAAGCGCCCTCGCCACTTCGCAGACTGCCGGTGCTGTTAGAGCACCCATGGCTCGTTCTCCGTTGAAACCTGCCATCTCCATCTCCAAGCCTAGCAGGAAGTACAAGGTGACGCCATTGAGGCCCGAAGAGGTCAAGCTTTGGGAGGAAACACTGCACCATGCTGAGATTGAGACGGCGCGGTCTCCCGGTTTCATGCATGTGCGCAGTACAGAGGAATTCTTGAGAAGATTCCCTGCGGTAGCCACAGAGCAGGAATCCATGCAGTCGCCAATCAGCCCTGATCGGCCAAACCATGGCTACTCCCAAAATCATGGCGATATCTACTCCGAGTTACCATCGCCGCCTACTCGACCCGCACCGGCTGTGCCTCGTCCGAGTTACAGTGGGTTATCGCAGACCCAGGATGACCACGAGGCTCACGCCGGTATTGCTATGGCTGCTCAGGGCCGGAATCTGAAGCAGGGCCCTCTTGCTCGTCCAGATTCTCCCTCGATCGCAAACGCCGCCAAGGATACTCTACACATCACAGGTCTCAACAACCCTGGTGTGTGGTGCTATGCCAACAGCACGATCCAAGTACTTCGAATGTCGCCTGGGTTCGGCAGAGAGCTCGCCTCGTTCGAGTGGCAAAATATGTACAAGGTGCCAAGGAAGGCCGACGAGAAGAATGATCACCCCCAGTTGATGTCTCGGATCTTATCCAACTTGTTCCACTGGCTAGAATCCGGCAAGTTTGACGTTATGAAGGCTCAAACGCTTATGGTTTGTCTTGCTCACCTTTCTCAGTGTGGCAAATGCTAACTAGCAACAGGACTATTCTCGATCAGTCTGCGAGAAGAGCCGCATCAAGGATAAGGGCGATGAGTTTGGTGGCAGTCGACAACAGGATGCTCAAGAATTCATGTCATGGCTCCTAACATACCTCCACGACGAGACAAACCAACGTCGAGACCGCGCTGAACCAGACAATATCCCTCCGCCTTCAATGGGGGGCGGCAAATCAATGTTGCAAGGCAGTTATGAGTGGTGGGGCCAATATCAAAAGAAGAACTTATCCATCGTCGACAAATACTGGCGAGGCTTGGAGCTTTCGACTGTGGTCTGCATGCAGTGCAACAACCGCACATACACCTGGTCTCACTACGACTTTCTTTCGGTGCCCGTCAACTCAAACCTACACACCCTTGAAGACTGCGTGAGGTCGTTACTCGAACCCGAAATTCTTGCAGACTATCAATGCGACAACTGCAAGAAGACGGGACAGGGCAGAAAGCAGTCTAAGCTTGCACGGATGCCCGAACTATTCTGTCTCTCTTTGAAACGATTCAGTTACACGGAGTACGGTAGAGCATCAAAGGACAGCAGCAAAATTACGTGGGACTTCAACAAATTCAACCTTGACGAGTTCTTTATCCCGCCTGAAGAACGCCAGACGGTTGACCCTCCACCGGACCAGAAGTTTGAGCTCCCATTCGACTATGAGTGCTACGCCGTCATTGTCCACTCGGGATCATCCATCAGTACTGGGCACTATTACGCCTATGTCAGAGACTCCAACAGCCCCGATCCGGCGGCTTGGTACAAGATCAACGATTCCAAAGTCACTCACATTCGGATCGATGGGACGGGCCGAGGGTCTGACGTAAGCAATACGGTGTTCAGAAACGGCAGCAGCGACGTGCCGTATCTTATCTTCTTCCGGAGAAAAGGCGGCCGGTCGACGGGGAGATGAGAAGTAGGTGGTGGTAATAGAGAATTGAAGTTAGGGGGAGAAGGATGTCACATGGCGAGGTACTAGAAAGATTCTGGATTATCTCGAAAGCACTTGTCTCATTCCTTCTTTCATGTATAGAACGGGGATGTGCGTATGTTGCTTTCCAAGCATGGCAATGATGTGTGTATGTGTGTGATTGTGCGTGTGGGTGTGTATTAGTCGAGGAGGGGACCTATGTGTTTCGAGCGCTTTATAAGCATGGCGTCTGGGCGGTTTGTCGAAAGCCCCTTTTTGTTTGTGTGAGGGGAATGGGATTCGCTATGAGGCCACGACAGTATAGTTTATACAATGAAAGAGTTCTACATGCGCATGCTGATCGAGAGATATGCAAGCCCGAAGGACCTTATTTTCGGGACTGAGTTGCGATTCGGTTCCTATGTACAGGAGGCAGTTCTGACGTGACCTTGAGTACTGAAGTCAATGTCCATGGGGGCGAAGCTTTGTTTGCCGTGACGTGAAAGAAGCTTGTACACAAAAAACCCATTCTGAGGAAGACTTTGGAGGAATGAGGTCTCGTAGCACAAGCATCAGTGAATCTGGAGTTTCTCGTGGGTTAAGTCTGGGGTTTGAGTCCTCTAGGGTGACTTGTGATTTGGGTCCTTGTGGGTGTATTTTGGGTGTACCCATGGGTTTGGGTCCCCATGGGTCGAATTCAAGATGACTACCCGTGGGGGGTTTTGAATACCTACAAATCATCGAAAATGGGAGGAGACTTTTCTCGACAGTACTGCAAACTATCGTACGTACCTACGCAAACGATCCCACACAAAGCCAATGTCTACACCAAGCTCAGGCCGAATTCCAGTTGCATGTCTGTCCATTGAACCTTTCGTTCTTCAAGTATGCATGCCTATCATAACAAGAATATCCCATCGGTCAAGGCTATACAAGCCACGCAAGCCACCTTCGCATCCTACGCTACCTAACCTACCCGCTACGCCCACCCGTCTTGCCGTCGTCCCGAATACCTACGCCTATATTGCAAGCTGTCTAATCACACACCGAAAGGAGCCTCACACTGACTTTAGCGCCGGGGGGAAAACATCGATTGACGTCCGTAGTGTCCGTGGCGTCGTATAGGTCAAGCACATCACAATTTTTGGGACACAAGCCACTCATCATCATCCAATAATTCCCCTTATATTCCCCCATGGTCGATCTATATTGCGAAAAAGAAGAAAAAAAGATCTTGTGAGACTTTGATCCATGGCCTCATTAAATAGGGTGTGATTTTACAATCGAAAAAAGGAAAGTTTGGTGGAATGGGAAAGGATAACTACAAAGGAAGAAACGGGAACCCGATCCAAACGCCTCCTCGCCCGGCGGCGCCCTAAATCCCAATCGATTGACGCCTTTACCCGGGTACCTATCTGATGGTTAGATTTACATATTTTTCATTATACACTAGCCTCCCTCATCTCAAACATTCGAGAATGATGGATAACAATCTGCGTCAAGGTGGTAAGAGAATTCGTAGCGATGTCATCGCTGTGCTCATTTATGGCGTGTGGTGATTCGGCTGCAAAGGATGCGCTTCCGTGGGCGAAGTGAGGGGCTCATCACCATCCACAAACGCCGCCGCTGTGGCCGCCGCCTCGCGGAGGTCACTGCGTGCAGAGAACCTCCTGATAGACCGCGTGGAGGCGTCAGAATATCTCCTCATGATGTTCCGCTCGCTGGCCGAAGCCCTGCGCTCCGGTGTGGTCGGAGCCGTCGCCGCGGCCGGGGGTGCCGAGGGCATGTACTCCTTATGCTCCTTGGGCGAAGGCTCCTGACTGCCGCTGCCGGATGACGGCTCGCCGCGCAGAGTCATGGCGTTGGACCATCTCTCGGTGTTGGGGCGCGAGGGCTTGAGCATGAAGGAGCGCCTGTCGGGAAGTTCTTTCATGGGGAAGGGGCTGTCGAGAAGCATGGCTTTCTGCGCGGCATGCTCGTCTTCATATCTGGATGATGAGGTGGAAGGGGGGTCCAGGGGTGTGATCTCGTCAATGTCGGCAACCATCGGGGAGGCGAAGCTTGACACACGCTTGTCATGACCGTCACGGAGAGCTGTGGGCTCCTTGATTGTCATGGCATTCGACCAACTCTCGCTGCCGCGCTTCTTGTTGCTGTCCTTGCCGCCGACCTTCTCGTTCATGTCATCTCCGGCAGCGTCCTTGAGCGTCATGGCTGACGACCACCGCTCGCTGTTGCGTCTGAAGCTAGGGGGTATCATGGGTACTGGTTCGATGGAATCCTCATCCATGAGCCTCTTGCCAGCCGTCTTCTCGCTGGAAGACGACCCTGCGATAGAAGCGTCCATGCTGGCCGTCTTCTTGAGAATGTCGTCCTTGCTGACGGCCTTCTCGCTCTGGGATTCGCCCTCGAGTCTCAGGGTCAGATACGTGACGCCCGAGGGGTAGTAGCCCTCCTCAATAGCCCGGGTGAGATCGTAGCGGGCCTGGTCGCTGATCGACCTGGTGAGGCGGAGCTTCTTAATGTTCTCAGCGTCGACAGTCTCTTCCCAAGTCTTCTGGAAGAAGAGCGCAATCTCGTTGATCAAGAGAAGGACGTAGAATCCGGCAATGACGGCCAAGTCCTGCACCTGGTGCGTCGTCGGATAATCAGTTCCCATTCGCCGAAACTCTGGGAATCGCATGCTTGAGCGCTGAATCGTGAGGATCTTGATAATGGTGACAGCGACGCTCATGATCCAGAAAATGATGTTAGCCACCTGCCAGTTGCGAATCTTGCCCTTGATGCCGCGGGTGGCCTGCATGACTGCACATACGCCGCAGCCAGCGAAGACGAAAGGAAGAAGGCCAATGGCATAGCGAATCTCTGCGAGTCTGGCGATTTCCATAATCTCCATGAGAAACACGACGAGTATAGAGAAGAAATAGACGGATAATTGAGCGTGCCTCTGCCATTCCTTCTTCACGGTATATCGCTTAACCTTGTCGACGATGAGAACCGGCACAATGAAGTGGAAAAGGGCGAAAGTGACTGTCAGACGAATCCACGCCGGTAAAGGAATAATGATGGTATCGAAGAAACACATCGACGGAAGAGGACTGAACCTCGAGTCTACCGTCTGGGCGGAGCATTAGCTACAATATCGTAGGACGCTGGCCAAGGACCATGGAAATGGAAGCAACTCACCAGCCCTTCAGGGCGCATACCACACAATCGCGACATGATGGCTGGCTACCGCGAGAAAGGAAGCAGGGGGGCTGTGTTCGAGCCAGTCAGCAGCTCTAGATCGGCGGGAAACAGGACAGGAGTTCATCTCGAAAGAGAGAGGGAAACAGCTGCGACATAACTCTATCTTAATATCATCAATGCCGTGCCGACAACACGTCTCGGAGGTGCGCCTCCCCGCCGCCTCCTCCTAGAGTCTCCGCCAGGCGACAGGACCCAGGCCTCCCTTGGGCGTCTCTGTGCTTGTGGCTCTTGGGGCACGTTGTGTAGGCGCACGCTCGGGGCTTGCAAAAGGGGCGTTTCATTGTTGTGACACTGGTGACGACGAGTATATTTCGAGAACTGTGCAGCAAGGTCGGAGGTCGAGCGGTCCTGCCGCTGGTGTTAGCTGATTGGCCGCGCGAGGGACGGGAGAGACACGATGGTGGAGGTAATAGTCCGATGGGGGAAGTCCATTCTAGAACTACGATGGCCGTTAGTTGCAGCAGAGGACACCATGTGGTTTGCCTACACCACGGCAGGGCCACTAGATTGCTGCATGTTTACATGAGTGCGGCGTTCCTGTCTGTAGAGGATGAGGCTAAACACACGGCCCTGTGGTACGAGGGAGTGCCGAGCGGTGCTGTTTTAGTTCCAAAGTGTAAGCCGTTAGACCAGCGTAGATCCCGCTAGCACAATGACGGGCTCGACGCTGGGGAGGCATGTTTATCAAAGCTGACGATGCAGGACACGTGCGTGAATGAGGCACAGGGCTGGCATATTAGGAGCCATCATGGTGTCTGGACGTCTCTGGCTGTGTGATTGCTTTTGTCCGACATCCTACCCAGCCCACACTTATTTCGAGGTTGGCAAAACTGGCCGCTTGCTGTACTGGGATGAGGGGCCCGAATGGATCTCCGACTAGGAGACAGGTTCCCTTAAGGACCGGATTCTTGATCGGGTCCGTCTGAACGCTCGGCCCGCATCGAAAAAGAGAAAGTATGTGTGTAAGATTGAGATGGACGCAGTGCTGCTATTAATTGCTCTTTGACCGGCGGCCACACGATGAACTCTCACCGCGTGCGGTCCGGATCTTGACCTGAGCCGGGTTCGACCACTTTGTTTGGTTTCTGTGGTTTCCGTGACAGTTCTCTTGGCCACCGCACAGCACGCCGTCGTCATGGTGTAGATGAGGGGTTTGATGTTTTCTGGTCTGGTCCCAGTATCAAGCTGGAACAACAAGCTGAGGACGTTACAAACTCCTGGGCCGGGCTTCAGCTACTGGTGGCTCACTGTGGCCATAGCTTTCCCAACGTTGAAGCGACATTCATGCGGGCTGGCCGTGGACTTTTCTTCATGACGAGAACCAAATCTGACTCAGGCGCACGATTCGGCAGGATTGGGCAGAGCGTCAGCACGACGTATGTCGGCAGTTTCGCGACGTGGGGATAGCCTCAAAAGTGGTGAGATGCGAGTAACAAGTCAGAGGCAAAAGGATCGCAGACAAGAAGCTCGGACGGTTGGTTGGAATTGTGCGATGAACCGAACTCTGTCTTGGACGGATTTCGGATAACGAACGGGTTGTCGTTTGGGGATATGCCCAAGATGCTGCCCGTCCGCATGGAGTAGGATCGTTGGAGCAAAGCAGGGTTTGTCTGCAGGTGGATAGAAGACAGTGGCACAGTGGCACCCAGAAGCCAGGGAGCCCACTGGGAGCCTCTTTTTCTTTGTTCTGGCCTCGGCTGTCGGTGCATGCCCGCCGCATGTGTCAGCAATTGAGGCTGGAATTTGCACGTGAGCGGATGAAGAACCCAGCCATTGTCAGTTGTCAGCAGAGTCGCGTAGATAGGCGAGGTTTGGCAAGAGGTGCTCCGAGACCAAAGAAGCCGTGTTTCCGTGGCGGTCGGGGTTATCTACGGAGTATTCGTTTGTACTCTGAATAGGCGTCGTGGCGCGAGTGGTTCGGCCCCGGTTTTTTTCGAGTCAAAAGGCCTGCAGACAATAATTTAACAAAAGCCCATTTCGATATCGAGATGTGGACCAAAACCTTTCCTCGGGCGGTACGGGTACGCCGTCTTCATCGGAAGTTCTCTGCAGATTGCAGATTGCAGACTGTAGCCTTTGATCTTGGACATTTTCCGACCTTCCCTGCTCGGACTCGAGCGTGGGCTGCCGCCGAAACCGAAGCCTTCTGTCATGTGCTTGTTCATTGTCTATTATTTGTGCGTGATCATTGATGGAGTGTAGCATTGTTGAGCGTTGGGGATAATTGTTGGAGAGAATAAGTTGCCAAGTTGTCAGCATAGGCGGGGAATGAAGGTCATCTGGAGAGCTCCCAAGACTAAGTGATGAAGTGTTGAGAACGAGTAAGATTTAATACCTAGTAACCTTACTCAGACTCAGAGTAGGTACCTAGGTACAGATAGAATATGCAGGAAAGAGTTGTCACAAGAGCAATTTGTCCTGTCATATTCTCAATACCTTAGGAAAGCACGAAACATGGTGATGAGGAAGGTAAAGGATAGGCAAGAGCGATCTAGCATCTTGCATCTTGCTCTTGCATCTTCCCCAAGGAACGTGCCAAGCCGAGGAGGAGCAGCCCAGTTTCCTCCCCTCTTTTTTATCCGCACGCTAGCAACGGCCCTGGTGCTGGTTAATGGTCCTGACTGAGCAGCGACCGGCGGGTTGCATTTGGCCCACAAGAAGCTGCCAATTCACTCGGTCTTTGCTGCTCTTGAAACTCGTGAGGCCGAGGCAAGTACGATCCTTTTCCAGGTGAGCACCTCACGTTGCAGATGTAAAGTGTGGTGGTTGAGGAGGAGGAGGAAGAGCTGTCTGCTCCGTAGTGCTGTGCCACTGGCGTACGTATGTCACTCCGGCTCTTCCAGCTTTCAGAGCTTGCCACATTGCCCAAGGCTGACGAAAAAAAAAAAAAGGTCATATGCCCCTATGCTGAGACTCTCTGGAATCGCCGGAACAAGATCTGATAACCAGATTCTGCAGTACATAGCTGCAGCCAAGCAGCCAAGCTGTCGTGGCTGTCCACGATCCATATCCTCGTCGTCGTCGTACGTTGCAAGCAAGGTAACGTAGAGGCTGATAATAATCGACAGAGGTAGCTCTAATTAGCTCTCATGTCTGCGGCCACCAAGACAAATGCAGCCCCGGCCAGGCAGGGAGCTTGACTAGTGGCTCAGCATTCCCACCCCAGGGACAGGTGTGCTTGAGATGTGCCTAGACAATGTGCAATGAGAGAAGGGGAATTACCTCAGAAATTCGGAATGGGGGACAGGCATGAAAGATACGTACCTTGCTTGGTGAGCGGGAGACCCACCCAAGCATCGGCCGGTGGCGGATCTACCTACCTGCGGCATCCCTACCCTCAGTACCTACCCTGTACATAGTACAGTCCCTGCCAGCTGCTGCTGCTGCTGCACCTGCTGCACTGCTGTTTGCTTGTCTATCAGCTCCAGACCCCATTCCATTGGATGCCCCATGCTCCCCAGCTCTCAACCGTGACGCAATTAAAGTCCCGTTGCCCATCTTTTTGCTGCGTACCTAACTTTTGCGCCTCCTGCCCGCACACCACGCACGTACTCACTCAACGCACTGCTCCCGAGTCTCGTGTGCCAGCAGCTACAGCTACGGATACAGCTACGTAACCTAGCCGACAGCCAGCACTTCGAAGAAGCTCCTCCTCATCGGCCCTGTCAAAGTCTCACATTCCCCCTCATCTTTGCCAAATCTTTGCGAGAAAAAAAGCTACGACCATACAACCCTTCCGGCCAACCTCTTCGACCACCTCAAAATTGCAAACTTACTGCCGTCATTCACCTAGCTCACCTCGAAATCCGTAGCTTTACCTCAGAGCTCCCTCCCCCGCCTCGGCCCATCCGTCAATTCCGTCTCCGTTCAACAACAACATCATCATCGTCCCTAGGCTTGCTTCCGTGAACTCTGCCATCATTCCGTCCAACATCACCGCCGCCCTCGTCCTCCTCCTCGCCATCCTCACCGTTCTATTTTACGCTAGATTCCCTACGAACCCCACCGCCGCCGATATGCCAGACTACACGACGGGCGTGATGCCCTTGTACCAGGTGCACAAACCTCCCTTCTCTGTCGAGTCGCCTGGGTACGAGCGCGTTGAGGGCGAGACTCTTCCCCGTCGCCATTGGAAAGCCAAGAATGGTCTCCGAACCCAACCCCATCCCGACGTTCACACCGTCTACGACATTGTCAAGCGAAGTGCCCAGGTCTACCCTAACGAGCCTGCCGTTGGCACCAGGAAGCTCGTGCACCTTCACAAGGAGAAGAAGAAGGTCCCCAAGAACGTCGACGGAGAGGTCATAGAGGTTGAAAAGGAGTGGCAGTATTTCGAGCTGTCTCGTTACTCTTACCTGACCTATGCCGACCTCCTCACCTATATCAACCAAATTGGCTCAGGCCTGCGGAAGCTGGGTCTGAGCAAAGGAAGCAGAGTCCACCTATTTGCTACCACAACGTACGTCCGAGAGCAGAACCCTCTTTGTCCTACCTATCCTCTCAGTCCCAAGGTCCCGAGCACTCCGCACTCGAACCCCTCCGAGCCTGGGCCTGCCGAGAAGAAGCTAACCCGACCTTCTGGAATCTAGTGCAAACTGGATGGCCATGTCCCACGCCTGCGGCTCCCAGTCCATCTCTATTGTCACCGCTTACGATACCCTCGGCGCCAGCGGCGTCGAGCATTCGCTGCTCCAGTCCAATGCCGATGCTATGTACATCGACCCTCAACTCCTCAAGACAGCAAGCGGTGCCCTGAAGAAGGCCGAAAATGTCAAGTTTGTCATTTACAACAACAGCTCCCTCTTTTCCGATGGCACTGAAGTCGACGCCTTCAAGAAGGCCAACCCCGATATCAAACTTGTCAGTATCGAGGAGGTGCGTGCATTGGGCGAGGAGAACCCCGTTGAGACCGTAGAGGCAAAGCCTGAGGACTTGTTCTGCATCATGTACACTTCTGGTTCCACGGGTCCGCC